GGGCCCTAAAAAATATAAATCCCGACTTCATAATGGCCCCAACATCATTGGTGCGCGCTAACTGATCCATGGCAGGGTTTCAATGCAATCAGGCACAGAAAGGGAACCAAGACAACCAAAAAGTTCTCTTATTGAAAGACGTCAAGTGGAACACAATACTCAGCAGCGTGCTTTTACCCGTATTCAGGGAAGAGACGATTTGCGCACCCAAGGCATTACCATTCTCCGTCAGCTTGACATGATTGCACACGACGAACTCCGGTGTGCCTAGTTCGAGAGATCCGGTACACAATTTCAAGCCGTCTAAAGATGAAATGACAGCGAGGACATCCCATGCACAAAGCATGCTGAAGCTCATCTTTCGTCCGAAAGAGCCCGTTGTAGTTGAGTTTACTCGGTTGATCGAACTTTCCTGGGTACGATGGAAATGTATCAGGGAAATTGAGACTCCCAGTCCTCCTGGACGCGAAGAATGACCCCTGGGGTTTATTATTGGGGCGAAACAAGACTCCACCTATTCTTTGAAACCCCCTGAAGGTAACATGGCAGCGTGCAAACATTATGTGACCTTTCACTGATTATTTTGGCAGAAATCAATCCTCTCATTGTGGAAGATGGTCGAATGATCGGCAATACCAGGTTCGAGGCAAGCTTCAACCAGGCTCGAACTTAGTTGGAGACTTGTAGGCGTGAGCATGATCACTGAGCGTCTATTGACCAAAACTCTCGCCCGGCGAGACTTTTACGGCTCGACAGATGCAGCGAATCGGTGAGCCTGTGTACAGAATCCAGTCTTCCCCCAGGCGTCGAGTACGCGACGTTGAGTCACTGCTGGGGAGGCACTGTACCTGGGCAGTTGAAAATGAACAACATTAAAGCATTGAAAACTTCTATTCCCCCAGATTTCTTTGGAAAAACCTTCCGCGATGCTGCTGAGGTAGCCCTTGAATTGGGCATAAGCTTCGTCTGGATCGACAGTCTCTGCATCATCAAAGATTCGCCCGAAGACTGGCAAAACGAATCCGTGCAGATGTCTCAGGTATACGGCAACTCATCATGCAATATAGGAGCTACCTCTTCCTCCAACACATTTGGGGGGTGTTTCAGCTCACAGAATTGTGACGAGTTGAAACCAATCAAGTATAAGTTCAATGAGCAACACGATGGCGTCGAATTCTACCTCACGAACGCCACGCATTGATGGAAACGCTTTCAGAGCGAGCCATTGAATCACAGAGCTTGGATCGTGCAAGAACGTCTACTATCGCCGCACAACCTTCACTATACCCAGGGACAACTCGTTTGGGAGTGCAATGACCTCCTTGTTGAGATGAACGAGGTTATGGTGAGTGAAGTGATTGATTAGTTGGTTGAGTATCTGTACGTATCTATGGGAGTAGAGAAAGGTATATGTATATAGTCTATAGTGGAGCATGAAGCCCGAAATGAAGGAGGCTGGGCTCCTATTTCAACACTCCTTGCATCCGAAGCATTCCCTCGAGGCTATGGGAGTCTTTTGAGCAGTCAGACGAGACCCGTCCGTGTATCTCTTGATTCAGCAATGCGCAATGCACAACAGGAAGAAATACCTGGACAAGCCCTCGCACAGATTTGGCGGCCTGTCGTCAATGCATTCACCGCAACCGGCATTACAAAACCGACAGACAGACTTATTGCTCTGTACGGGGTCGGCTCCCGGATCAAGAGAGTATGTGGCTGGCCCTATGTGGCTGGCATGTTTTTGAAGAATCTTCAAAGCCAACTTTGTTGGAAAGTCACTGAAGAAAGCAAGTCGACAAGACCAGAAACACCCATCGCCCCGACTTGGTCGTGGGCATCTATCAGCAGCCCGGTAAACATGATGCCCCAATGGGAACTGATTGAGCGCGACGAGACTGGCGAGGGACCACAGGCCGGAGATCTGAACAAGCAGTATCTATGCGATGTCCTGAGCATTGAACCTGGCACTTCGGCGGCCGAGAACTCAGGCCATACCAGCAGTGCAACGCTTCATGTCAGCTGTCACCTAGTCCCAGCCACGATTTTTGAGTCCCAACCGCTTAGTCTACGTTTCAATCCTGTGTAGGAGGAATACTGGGAAGCAGTTCTACAGAGTGATGAAGCAGTATCTACTGCTGCCGGACCGGGTTCCACGGCTCCCACGGCTGACGTGGAAGTGAAAATAACATGGGACGGTTGTGATGATACCAAGCCGCACGAAGCCAGTAACTTGATGTTCATGCCTGTATACCAAATTCAGGAATTTGTGCACTGGAAGCCCTCTGTTATTTATACAAGGCGCGAGGCAATGCACGGCTTGATATTGCAAGCAGGGGAGAAAGGCGTATCTCGTCGTTGCGGAACCTTCACTGTAAGAGAAGAAAGCGAAAGCTACACGAACCGTGGGCGGCTGCCTACAGTGCTTGGGCTGGATCAATTCTGGCGTCAAGTCATGCGAACCAAGAGGGAAGTCCCACTTGATGGAATCGATTGCTTCCCTCGTGACGGTATATTATGGCCGGAGAGGGGAAGCAATCTCACAAAGCAGGACGGGATCCCGCAATATCAAATTCGTATCTCCTAGTATGAGCAGATGAGGTCTTGAATGTTGTAGACACCCGACTTCAGCTTGATTTCTCAGCTTCACTTTTCATTACTTAACTCCATGGAAGATCTTGGCTGATGTCAGAGGTACTCTTGTGGGCATTTTCATCAACATAACTGCATGTAGACTTGTCGGAGGCCGCATGCAGCCCAGTTTACCATAAAGTTTTGGGGTACATGTTTCTCAAGAACCAACGTACGATTTTCATACGTTGTGAAACTCGAGTACAGCCTGAGACGAGCCCTATGACCTATATAATGCCAACTTTTCAATCTCAACATCCTGCATTCTGTGGCGCTGAAGAGCCGAGGCATAGCTTTGACCTTGTCATTCCACCGATGGTGTCTCAAGGTCTATAAACGGATTTTCAATTTTTGAGTGTTCTGAAATTTAAAGTCGGAGCTAGAACTTCATCTTGATGCAATCATCAAACGTGACATGGTTTGGGTTATTGCCACAGGATTATTCGATGCCGTGGCTGGCTTTACGAAAACCTGCCCATATAGTAGTGAAAGCTGAAACCACTCTTCAAGCTGTAATATTAAAATCGGGTTTGTTCATTCATGTTGTCATGTTGGAGGTTTCAATGTGGGCCGCAATAATGCCTGCCTAGTACCTGGCTTGCGCTGCACCTCCATTTCCCTAAAGCGGATAATGACTCAAGAAATGCGCCAAGGACCTTTTCGGAGAATGTTTTTGTATAGTATTGGAGGGAAAAAAGAAGAAGAGATACTATTTCGGCAACCGCCTACAGACATTATGCAGTGGAAGACACCATTCGGTAATCATGCAGATGACTGTAGATGTAGAAGTTGGAGGTGAGTGTTTGACCAAAAGACATGTCCAAATACCCCGCGAATCCATTGGTATTCAATGTTGTATTTTTATTGCTACCTGGTAAGCCGCCGACGCTTTGGGCGAACAACGCTGTTTGGCTCGCTTGGCCATGCATTACCCCAGGTTTTATCCTTGTTATTGCGTTGGTGGCTTTATTGGTTCAACGGCGCCTAATGACCGACATCCGCCCCCTTTGAAAAGACTGCCAGTCGGTCAGGACTTTCTGTCCTTTGGCTCTGCAATTGGAAAGATGCACTGATCGGATCAGGAGTGAGCCCATACTCCAATTCCGGTTATATGTCCGCTGTCAACATTGAAGCTTAAAAGGCTACCTGCCTGCCTTGGTGCCTATGGTCTGTGAGGGCCTCTCACCAGCTGACTGCTTACCTACAGAAACGCAAGGAAGATGCTGGAAAACATCACGATGGCTGCGTCGAGAAGAGACTCAAAGAATTCCATTTGGAGCATTCATAGGTATACATGCGCATAACGTCATCATGCGTTCAGCTTTCGGTCGTCCCCGTGATGCTATTCTGGAATGCCATACACAACCCCACCCACAGTCCAATGGACATCAATGGCCATCGCAGATGTTCACCGGTGCGAGAACCTCCGGATGAACTCTTGGCTTGCAGTTGAAATTAGGCTAGCCACCAACCCGCACCACCTCCAAGGAGTAAGCACAAAAAGCCGTTGAAACTAGGTCCAGAGGGCTTGAGTCTATTTAGTACCGCCTATGTAGGTTGCAGTAAAGTCCGATGCACATTACCACCCCATGGCACACGCCAAGCCCTGTGCAAACGCTTCCCTCCACTCCCAAAGCGGCACTTCTGCGGCTGAGTTGCAGGTATTGGTCAATGGAACTGTCTCGATCGATCGATCCTCGGTAAGGTTGCTTCAAAGAGTGATAGGTCGCGACCGATCAAGGAACAACAGTTTTCGCTTTGCTTGTTTCTCGAAAGTCGCTTATGACGAACCGTTGCTGAATAGCATGGCTATCTACATAGTAGTTTCTTGTCACCAGCTTGTACATGTGCCCTCCAAGTACTTGCTTTGGGTACATTGATCTTGTGCATGTTGAAAGCATATCTTACGTTCTGTAGAGTACAGTCGGTATCCTGCATGACATTAAGGGACTGATGCAGACCTTCAGGCCTCTGGTCCTATTGCTGGACACTCGCGATCCGTCCATACATAGCATACCACTATCATTCATCAAGAAGTCTCATTAGGATGCATACTTCCCAGGGGCCTCTCAGAGAATTGATCCTTGCAGCCTCGAATGATGACTGCATACCCCTCACTGCAATCGCCTCGCCCCCGATGTAGCATCAAGTCGACCAATGCCTCTCCCCTGTCGATCCATAGCCCTGGGTGAGGCATGCCCAGCTTCGCTAGCTGAGTCTGGACCTCATCCAATTCTGTACGGGGTATGGGTTAAGCAAGGTATCATTAAGCATATTCATAGTGTGTCTATGACAGATGTAGACAAAAATTCGATTGGTGCAGAGACCAAGAAGTTCCGCTATAACGAAAAGCCTTGCACCTTTTTGTATGTCATGGTCTGGAACGTCGATATGTAGAGGCATCTTGTTCTTTCGAATCAAACACAGGCTACGATTCGATAACTGTATTGGGAAACCTTGTCCATGCTGGAAACATCATTCCGGATTGTATTAGTATATGGGATTGGCCAAACGGCGTCCATGTAAAAGCACCATATATGTATACCACTGCTATTAGCCAATTGTTTTACCTCTTCTTGCTGATAATCCTATAACGGCTAGCTCGAAAAGAAGGTGCCGTAGATGAGAATGTTGATCAGGTACAATTAACTCTCCCGTCCCAATGGCGCAAATTGATCCACGTGGGCCCCATTTATCCGGGCGAATTGCAAAAAGTTCAGGTGTTGGCAGAAACTGGATTCAAGTAACTTTAACCTTGTGCCAAATATAGACAAGTGGCCACTGAGTGCGAGACGGTTGGATCACAACATACTAACCAATTCTGACAACAGGTTCGGCTATGCTGCGAACCACTGATAATCATGTCGTACAAAGTTTCGTTCCATCAAACCTATAATTCTTAAGTAAAAAGCTAGCTTTGAATAGAAGCTACAACAGTGTGTAGGCACAGACCAATGATAGGAATTATCTTGTGCCAGCCGCGGCACGATGACCAACAGAAACAACAAAGCATTCAGAGGGATGACAACATGTTGTATTGTGGCTTGCCGTGACCTGTAGGTCTCATTTGGCACATATCAATATAATTGTAAACGAGTGTCACAGCAACAGTCTTGGCAAAATGAAACTACATGCATAGTTCACGGCAGTGAGAAAGATTTCGGCATTGGCTATTGCTTTCGATACTCAGGCTTACCTACGTGAATAGTATCACCATCGAAAATGCCTGAATTGTTGGTGCCCGTATTGGTATCCAATTTCTTTGATCACACCCTCAACTTCGGGTGTGCCTGTGCACAGAGACACGTTGTGGCAGACGTCTCAGAGCAAAGGAGCACCTGGACCCATGAACATGATGTTACAACTTACATGTAAGGCTACACATACGCAAATAGTCTCATGCAGCATTCCTCATCCTAGGACCAGTCAACGATATCAGAGACCATATAGACCGCGGTCATGATTTTGAATTCCTGATTTGGGCGAAATCTTTTGCAAGTAGTGCCGGAGGTCTTGCTCAAATGGAGCCAAAGGTGACCAAAAATTTGTCAAACCCCCTCGAAATGAGCATGATACAATCGATTTCTCCCCAATTTCGAGATCTGGGCTATACTTTTCAACATGCCGTGTAACTCTGTGGCTAGATTCGCAGCCAGTGACTATCCTGGAAGTCCTCCATGCTCGATCATGAACGAGTCTACTCTCAAGCCAAGGTCAGGCATTGACCCAAGTGAAACTCCTCTATATCAGGTCCCATTTGTGTGAAAACGATTGGATCATCGTCAAGATTCCAAGTATAAAGAGGTGGGTTTCCCTCATCATTTTTCATCTCTCCTCTGATCAGCAGCAGCACTCAAGCACTTCATTCACTCTTCTCCATTCATTCACGACCAAACAACCAGACTCCAAGAAACCAGCTTGAAGACCCTTTTCTTCAATATGCAGCTTAAAGCGCTCCTTCTTCTCCTTGGCGCCACTCTGGCCATTGCCAAGCCACTCCAGGTCCGTGGAGGTGGCGGCGATGAGGGCGGCGGCGGCGGTGAGGGCGGCGGTGATGGTGATGGCGGGTTCGTACTGTCCTCGACATTGTACCAGCACACACTGGACTTTTTAGATCTTTTTTGAAGCTGACCTGATTTTCACGATATTAGCTCCGGAGGCGGTGGTGACGGTGGCGGTGACGGTGGCGGTGACGACGGTGGCTCCGACTACGTCGCTTGCACCCCCGGTGCTCTCTACACCAACGCCCAGTGCTGCGCTACTGATGTTGGCGGAATCGCAGACCTCGACTGCGAGAACCGTGAGTCTCTTGCAAACTGTACATGAGGTGACTGTAAAGAAAGAAGAGCTGACATCCAAATGCAACAGCCGGGACCATCCCCACCAGCGCTGATGACTTTGCCGCCAGTTGCGCTACTGTTGGCAAGACGGCTCGCTGCTGTGTCATCCCCGTGGTAAGTTGCCCAAGATAGATTGCAACTGGGTTTACCGCCAAAAGCTAATACATCATCAGCTCGGCCAGGATGTCCTATGCACCGACCCCCAGGGCCTTTAAGTGCGACGACATACTAAGCTCATGAGTGACTGACGGCTACCTGGTCTGAGATACAACTTGTGCTTGCGCAAGGCTTGCAGCTCAATACCTCTTGAATGGAGAAAGTGAACTCGGGATGATGGACAAGGGTTTTGTGATGGATGAATGTTTCTTGGAGTCGCTCGTTTAGTTCTGATTATCCTCAAGGCAACAATATAATCAGTTCACTAATTCGTGAAACCACGAGCTTTCAACCGGAAGTTTTTGGCACACTTTGATACTCTGTGGAAAACAACCAAAACATTTGTATTGAGTGATTTCAAACTGTGCATGTTCATGAACTTCTGGTCTCAATGCTTGAATATTCGTTTCTTCAACATTCTACAAAATCTTGGCGCCGTTAATTAACCTATTTTGGACCCGAATTCAAATATACTGAGGCTGTCCCCACTCCACCTTTATCCTACAGGGGATCAATTTCAGCGGAGTCTTAGCGCAATCGATTGTGATCTTCAACACCAAAACCAATCCGTAAAACCAATCCCGTTTACACACCAGTTGAATACCGAGATAAATCACGCGCTCCTAAAGATCTCTACAATATCTTGACTTGAAAGACATCAGCACACTTATTGCTGTCACAATCTCATGGATGTCGACGTGCCCCTGCTTCTGTTCCGGGCGCAGTATCTTCAATGCCTCGATCCCGACTTCCTGACCTGGCCTCCCACGGCCTTACTCAGGCAGCTGGACGCACAAGTCTTCCTCTATAAGCGCATATTTGATCCCGTCAAAGTTCCATATAGACCGTCCGTCAGCTACGAAGTGAAGGTGCTCGAGATGCTGATTGACAGGATACAAAAAGCCATGCCCGGCGCGGCAGCAGCGGAAAGTGTTAGTCCAGGCTACCATATATCTCTATTCGTGGCATGACTTCGGATTCACTGAAATACCATGACAGGAACCTCTCAAAAACATGCAAAGCCGCCTCGCCACCTTGCGAGAGACCTCGTCATCTCCCTCTCAAGATCCCCTGTCCTGGCAGGATGCATACCTCACCTACAACTGCAGCCCCACGCTCGAGGCCTGGCAGCCCATCACTCTGCACGAGCCGAGGTCCCGGATCGCTGGCACGGCGCATACGGGCCACCGGACCTGGGAGGGTGCCCTCAACCTCGCGACCTACCTCGTGGCGCACCCCGCGCTGGTGGACGGGAAACGGGTGCTCGAGCTCGGCGCCGGCACCGGCTTCCTCAGCATCCTCTGCCGCAAGTTCCTAGGCGCCGGCGCCGCGACGGCTACAGATGGCGAAGACGCTGTCGTGGAGGGCATGCGCGAGAACCTGCGCCTGAATGACGTCGACGATAACGCTCAGATTGGCGTTGCGGCGCGGAGGCTGTGGTGGGGAACGGAGCTCGAGGGCAACTGGCGCGGCGACGACGACGACAATGTCTCAAAAGCGCCGGTGGTCGATACCGTCATTGGAGCCGACATTGTGAGTCGTTCAACAGCACTTTATACCACGGATTCGTATTGACACAATACCTACTTACCCTCGGTTTACTGCAGATTTACCAAAAAGAAGGCACTCGGGCGCTGGTCAAGGCTCTGCGCGCCATCCTAGATCTTCAGCCACAGAGCACAATTATCTTGTCCAATGCTCGTCGTTTTCCAGCCGTCTTCCAGGTTTTCGAAGAGGACTGCCGTGGGTCGCTTGGAAACCTCCTGTGTAGCTTGGGTTGCTGACGGCTTTTATAGAGGAGAACAACTTGTGCATTCGGACCATCTCAAATCCCGTCACCCCAATATCAAAGCAGCAGTCCCTCTTCTTTTCGACTGCAATCCCACTTGAACTCATCGAGATCAAGCACGCCGTCGAGTGATGGTTCCGAGACTTCTTTGACACCGGTGGAGTTTTTCCAATAATGTGGCAACAGTCTGAAACTTTACGGACTATTCTTCACTCGGCAGAGAATATGGTCACTTGTTACCATCCATGACGTGGTGGTTTCTGCAACATCTGTATTGAGTAGACGGAGGCAAACAGCCCTCGATACAATAGGAAAGACATTGTCCACTGACTCGCTAACTCTCTGTCCAATCATGTCGTGAACGACATTTTCCGCGACAACAGTCTAAAACATGATTCTGGAATCCGTCTGGTGAAAGAACAAGATCCTCCAATACTCCTTTACCAATGCAAACCATGGGTATCATGTACCTTGCCAATGCAAAAACAAAACAATGACCATTGTCCAACACCTCAAACGTCTTCAGCTCCTCCACAAATGATGTTTTCGGCATCTCGCTCGCCAGATTCGTCTCTCGTTGCGATTCTCAAGTTGGCTCTGCAAACAGAAAGAGATCTGAGTCATGTTTCCAGAATCATTCAGAAGGGCTCTGGTGAAACATGAGCGAAAAAAAAAACACATTGCAGACCACCACACTAAGAATCATAGACTCGGCAAAGCCGATACTGGTTGGAGTCTTCACCAGCCTAAGCCATTAGGCCATGCCAGATATCGCTGTCAATGAGCAACAAGACTCTTGATAAGCCTTTCCAGATCATGCTGCTAGCGAAATCGTCCATCAGAGACACTACAGAAGCTGGTAGGGACGAGAGTCATCCAACTCCATAGTGGTGTCGGTATTAGCGGCATGCTCCTGAGGTAGATTAATTAGATCCGGCATCTCAGTATCAGTGTCGGGTGCAACACCTTCAATCGTCTCGACGTTGACACTATCGCTTGTCGATTGTGTAATGGGTGCTCGCTTCGGAATTCCAACCAAGTTGCTCTTGTCAGCATCGCGGACATACGCGACATAGCAAGGATCTCCAGTCGTATTGAGCTCATCAATGACGGCCTGGGGTTCGCGGGTGTCGACAGTCACGGTACTGTCGTTGTATTTTATCCAGACGTTGCGCTCAAAGTCACGGATCCAGATCCAGTAGTGGCCGGCTCTAGCATTGCCAGAGTGACAGATGATGGCGTGCAGGCGGTACTTGTGCTGAGTCAAGCTCTCGTAGTACGCAGCAACATCCTCCTCAGTGCGGGTCGGCTTTAAACTCTCAATAGCCATACTCTCGTTCTTCTTCAGCAAGGCATTGATATCTTGCAAGCAGCTGTCATTCCTCTTTGAGCTTGAGTCGATATTGCGCTTCTTGATAGGGCGCTTGAAACCATGAGGAGCCAAATCCAAGATTCCCTTCATTACCTCCTCGTAGGAATCCAGTGCAGAGGGTTGACCGGGGTCGATATTCTCGACGTTACTATCCTCATTATTGTTCACTTTTTGCTCCGATTGAGTCTTCGAGGATATACCAGCCGCGCGAATCTGGTCTTCCATCAACAGCCGATGGTTTCGCATAGCCCAGTCCTGGCTGCGCATGAGAGCAAGCTTGGAGTCACGAGGTGTGTCCATGTAACGGTCCAGATAGAGTTCATCGACCAGGAGGATGGGGTTTGTATTCTTGGCGCTAGCCGAAGTCAATCGCTGAATCCGTATGTGCAAAATTGGTGGAAGACTGTGCAATGCGTTGTAACGTGCCCTTTTACTGCCATCTTCGAGCATTTGTAGGGTAAAGTTACGGTCCAGCGCCTGGTATATCGTGGTGGAAACCCCCGTCTGGTCGTGCGGAAATGCGTTGATCCATCTGTCCGGGACCAATTGAACGCTCTCGACATCCGAGGTTCTGGGGTTGAGCACATAATTACTCATAATCGGAAAGAATGTTTCTGTGATGGTGTCTGCCTGAAGATCAGACCGTCCGGGCATCGGGCCATTGGAGGAGATGGAGCGCATGAGGTGTTCGATGATGAAACCAATAATCTCCTCGACATCCTGCTGGTCTGTTCCCTTCCTATCAGACTGCTCCAAAAGCTGCGAAATCCTCTCGGACACGGTTTCCAGGTTGTAAATGTCGACGGTGGGATGTTCTGATAGCTTTTCTAGATCAGGCGCTTGGGAAGGGGTGGGCTGCGCCACAGGACGAGGGGATTCCTGCGTTGTTCCCGTATTCTCATCCATATTGTCATTGGCCACGTTGCCGTAGTCGTCTACAAGAGTCTGGGAGCTCACGTTACTGGCGGTCTCGACCGAATCGTTGATAGGCTGAACAGTGACACTGATCTTGTTGGTCTCAGCTGAAGTCGATTCGGGTGGTCCAGGAGAAGGACGAGCAGGCAAAGGTGGAGCCGTGTTTCCAGACTTTCTGGCCTTCTCTTCCATCTCCAAAAGGGTCGAAGCTGAACGAAGAGCCGTGTTGGCGAGTTTCTGCGACGGTTCGCTCGCAATATTGGGGGTTGACAAGAGATCTTTGAAGAGCGACTGCAGGCATTCGACAACTGGAAAATAATCAGTACAAGTCATGGAAAATTTTTAGAGTAAACGACTCACATTGCCTTCCGACGATTGCCTCCTCCAGACTGACTTCAAGGCCGTTTGCAAAGCCAAGTCTCCGCTTGGTGACAGCCTCGGAATTCAGATCGAGACTGTGATCAGGATAGTTAACCACCAGGTCACGAATAGTGGTGACAGAGAAGAGGTACTGCAATAGACTGTTCAGATAACAGGTATTGCCGATGTTGTGAAGACCCGGAGGTGTGTTCGGGTCGATTGCTTGCTTTGTTGTGGGAGGGGAAGCGTCGATAGCGGGGTGATTAGTCGACTTGAAGATACCGGCCCAACTAACAAGCTGAGCTGCAAGAGCGGGGTTCGATGCTTGATGGTGTTCAGCAAACACCTCAAGAGCCTCTGCAACTCGCGCGCGATCTGCCGTCACGTCTTGGGCCTAATCAAAATGGTTAGCCTTTGCAGCCTGGTGCTACAAGCGTTGAACTTGCCTTTTGATTAACTATATCCTGCAAGATCTCATCAGTATAATCAAGGTCGGCACTATTCAGAATGGCCTTGGCCTCAGAAACGCTCATCTTGGAGCTCGTGGACGAAGCATGGAGCAACGATAGATCCTCTGGGGATATTGGACCGGACAAATCCGTACCCAAGTGATTTCCGACGATCTGCAGACATTCCAGAGCACGCTTTTTGAAAGGAATGGACTTGTCAGCATCAACCATGACCAGGTATCTGCTTATGAAGTGGTCCGGTGCTCTCTGATCGATGCTGGCGTCGAAAAACTTGAAAGCATCCAAGACCTCTTTTTTCGGTCTGCTCTCTACTTCGGACTGGTACATGGCGAGTGCCTCAGCGGCATTGTAGTCCTCTTTGATAACTCGTGCAGCAGCTCCAATAAACTCCTCATACCGTTGCGGACATCTCTCTGCAAGTAGTACGGCTACTTGGACAACGTCCTTGGGTTTGAAATTTCGACAGCAACCCAGCAGAGCTATGTCAGCTTCCTCGACATCACGGTGGCTGTTCTCATGGTCGTACACAGCGCAACCGATGACTCGTTTCAGCATGTCCCAAGCACTTCTGATTGTTCGGCTAGAGGGCTCAGCAGGTTTGGCGCCAAGTGCTCTACACTCGGCCTCGACATCTTCCCATCTGGCGCGGAAGGTTCCCCAGTTTGTCCGTGTACTAGAAGACTCTTCAAGGACTGGGAAGACCCAAGCCTCATCTCCATCAGGGTGCCTCTGCTGGGTACAGCCAAGCGAACGCCACAACACATCAAAGTCGTTCTTAAAAGCAACCATAAACTTTTTGTTGTGGAGCTTGATTCTGCGGGGATCCTCGCCGGGCTTTGTGTCCAGGCAATCTCTGGAGTATCGCTGTAGCATGGCGACTATATCCGGGTCATAGTGTTCCAATTCCTTCAGTCTGCCAGGCTCCTTGGCACGTGCTTCTTCCAGGTTTCGGGCCACTCGCTGCTTGTCAAACATGGAAGCAACCTGTCGAAGACTAATGCGAGGTGGCAGTCGCTCGATCACCATCTTGCATTGGCAGTTGGGGACGACACATAGGAGGTGGACCCTATCAAGAACTAAGTCCTCGCCACAGTCCATATCTTCGATGCCGTCGTAACCTGAACTGTACAACTCATCCCGGCTGTACAAGAGGAACATGTGCATCTTCATGGGGTGGTGATGGGACAAGTCGGTAGCTGCACCAGCGGTGAAGCTGATTCTGAAATGATGGCGACATGCAGTACACAGACAAGACACAACCTCATTCTTGCTATCATGAAATGAGCTGTTAAAACTTTTTCCCGATTGGTTGGGCAAAAGATATAGCTCGTGAGTCTCGCAGTCTTCGTTGCCAGGCCGTAACAGCCTTCCGGCAAGTAGTTGTTCAAGAAGGCGAGCCGACGTGAAAGCTACAAAGGCAAAATCTGGTTAGTCGTCCTTTGTAGATAACATAGGATGGAGGTCATCTGGACTTGCCTTGAATGGACGAGCCCTGAGGGTTGCCAAAGGCGTCGAGAATCTTAGCCTCCATTACGAGATTGTCGCCTTGGGCGACGTGCTGAGGTTCAGCCATGATACCGGCTTAGACCGCGGCCGGCGACGAGGCAGTGATCTCCACGCCGCGAAGTAGGCGGGCAGGAGCGGACAAATTTAAGAAGCTGTGAGGATACGGTGGGATGAATCTCGGAAACCTGTTCCTGGCGTCAGTCACTGTAGCTTTCATCCAGCAAACCTAGCGACCAAGCAGAATGTTGTGGTGGTGGTGCCACCAGCAAAGACAAGTTGGTGAGACTGAAAGAGCCGCCTAGGACTTGGTTTGAAGCAGTTCGAAATGGTGTAGCAAACGCTTAGTGTTGTGATATGGTCGTGAGGCCTTGAGCCCCAATGATGATGAGCTGGCGACCTAGTGACAACAAAGCAGTGGTACTGCTCAGGTGTTTGTCCAGCCCTGCTAACCAGTCACACACCCCTTTGCCTTACCACCCTGCCCGGCACGGCGATATCAAGAACCTATTGGAGGAGATTGTCGTACCTGAACAAAAATACCGTAGAACCAGTTTCAACAGAAAGAGTTGTGAAGATGAGTGAAACGGCGAGGCGTGTTGGTCATGCGGTCAGGAAGACAGTACGTGAATCAACTGGGGTATCATAGAAGCGCCGTTGAATGAGAAATGCTGCTACGCCTAAATGCCAGGCCTGGATGCGAACGCTGAAGTTATGCTGACGTCGAAAAAAAGAGAGACCGAAATGAGATACTCTTCCGCTGGGACCAGATGGAAATAAAACACCGTAGATCGTGAAGATGCTTCCCACGCTTGCGTAAAGAAACGAAAATGCGACGCAAACGTGATGCGTCGTCGGCAGACAAGGCTGGTCCAGAAGGGGTGTTGATGGCGGGATGTCTGTGAACGAGGCTGATGATCGTTAGCAGCACCTACAAGCTCAGAGCTGTCTGGCAGCTTCTGGGGTCTGCCCGCTGCAGTGAGAGTCTACGTAATTGGGGCAAGGGCGGCCCTGGGGCCCAGGTACATGCGCTAGCGTCCGGTCAGGACCCCACGGAATACAGACTAAGGATATTCAGATATTCCGGCAACCGAGACCGCCTGCAAGGTTCTGTTGCAGTGGGGCTCCAGCTTCAGTCCCATTCCAGCAGCCACGCAGCCTGGCCCGTCCATTTCGAACCTGACTTTGGATGTAAACGGACCCCCAGGTTCACCGGAAGATCCTCGGAGCATTCAACCTTTGACCAACCAGCGTGAGCCAATTCGAGCTTGCTACAACCTCCAAGCTCTCGAAAGCCGACGATTGGAAGACCATCATCTCAATCCTCGCCAATTGCGACCACCCGTCCCGCCGCCCCAAGATGGCGAATCCGCACCCCATCGCGAAGCTCTACCCAGAGGAGCCCTATCACGCCAAGAATGCCATTACATCTGGTGTCAATGGTGCGGCCATTGGAGGTGCCGCAGGTCTGATTGCCGCCGCCGTCCAGAACTCTTTGGCCAAGTCGAGTGTCGGAGCTGGTGGTATCTTTTCGCGGTCCGGCGCCACAATTGCGACCATGAGTACGTGAAGATCGAGCGGACGGGGAAAACAGACGCCAAGTTATGGCCGTGTTTAATCAAGGAAACCTGGCTGATTTGGGACTTGTAGCTGCCGTTCCTACCGTCTACTGCTTCGTCAAGGATGCCTCGGCCAACCTACGAGAGAAGGATGATACCCTCAACACCACCATAGGCGCGTTCTTTGGAGGTGCTATGCTTGGTCTACGATGTGAGAAATTCCGATAAATATTGGGGTCATCGGTGCAGCAGAAGGGCTAACACTACTACCGGGACAGCTCTCCGCATGCCTCAGATTCTCGGCCAGGGCGCACTTATCTCGGTCGTGCTGACCGCTTTCGACTACACTGGAGGCCGCCTCTCGGGCTCCAAGACCGACTCGCAATTCGTTGATGAGTACGAGCGCAAAGAGTACCTCAGAAACAACCGCAGGCGGCCGTTAACAGAGACGGTGGCAGATCTCGGAGAGGGCAGAGGTACAATCCAACATCATCTTTTCACATAGGTCATATACTGACGCGCTAATCATAGGAATCGAACCCCCCGGATACGAGGAGCGGAGACGGGAGAGACTGAGGGAGAAGTACGGTGTAGAGATCAACCCTGTCTCTGCCACAGTCGAGTAGACGACAGCTGGCTATGGAGACAATACAGTGTACATAAGAATCAATGGCAATTTGTTTGAATTGGACCGTATCATTTGGTGCAATATTGTATCGAGAAGACCCTGAATACCATGGCGTGAAGCGCATTCAGAGACATGGTCACTCCAGAGAGTCAAAGCCTTTGAATCGCTCTTGAAACACAATTCAGGAATCACTGATTTCAAGAGGAATGAATTGGAATGGCCTAGAGGGCAGTGGCTTCGCCAATTCCACGATCTGGTCAGTCCAAACTTTTGAATGCTGGCGCATAGCAATTGATTTGGAAGGCTGGTGTTCAGTATCCAGCCAGCCTGGAATCCAGTCCAAGACGACGTTCTGCCGGGGCGCCATTTGACGAGGAATGCCATGCAGCCTCGAAGCTGCTATCTATGTTACAAGATAGAGAGGAGATATACTTGTCACGAATAGCATCAACAAATAGCATCATCAGCTGCACTTCAAGGCCTTGTGCCTATCTTCTGGCCAGCTGGTATAGAGGCATCATTGTTATATCAAACGTGGCGGGTCGATTTCGCGTCATATCTAGAGTTTATAAAGGGTAGGGGAAGATTTGAGAAGAGAAGAATAAGGCAAATCGAATAAAGCACCAATCTCACAGGGACCAAAAAAGAGGTCGTGTCCGAGCTGGGCGGTGCTCGAACAAGAGACCCGGAAAATTCGTCGTAGATGAACGCTAGAGCTATGTGCGTTGCTACGTTTTACCTGGCCAGCATCCTCGACAGTGAATCTTACCACTGGGCCATTGAACCAGGGCGATGTGCCCCATGACCTTTGTAGCTGGTTGTTGAGAATCGCCGCTACCTACATTTATGTGTCTTGCTTTTCTTTGTCCCATAATCTCCTGGCTCATTCATTCATATCCCTTTCTTTGAAATTAATAGTAGATGACCACCATGTGTCAATCGAATTGCTTCATTCAAGATGTGTTTGTTTACCAATGTCTTTGCGCAGCTATTCACGGTCCACCATCTCCGCCAGACATTGAATGTCAATAATGCACAAGAGGAGATGGTCGTCGTTTGCATCATCGTCGTTCACGTTATCATCATTCACATTAGTACTCAAGAGCCTAAACACTCTTATACCCATCTTGACGTATATATTTGTGAGTGAGAGGCTTTGTATTGCGGCAGAAGACAAACACACTTAAGTGAGAACTGCACATTCAGCCATGTCAATGGAGACCTGATGCAATAACATCACCAAGTACTGTCAACCACCAAATCACAACTCAATCTACGTTCTTTACTTTATAGGTGTACAATTGAACTCTGTTACCTGGCCGATCAAATTCAGTGCCGTTCACTGCCGTCAAGTTCCATCCGTCAGACCAAATGCTCGTGGACAAACGATGTGACGATCATCTCACTGATTGATATCAGAGCTACAAAAATAGCCTTACACATCACAATGACGCAATATAATTTGGCTCCTTATTATTTCTACATAATCGCATGTATCATGAGAATTCTGGTCTCTCTAGCATGGCCAATGCTGGCTTGCCGGGAATGGTTACACAGCATTGTCAACCCGATGGTGGGCCTCCAGCATGATATCTGCATCCCAACGGCCGCTACCATTGATATTTTGCGCATGCTATTCGCTATCCTCCAGATTTGCCATGGACGTGGCAATTTTTCATTGCTCATCTCTACATGAAGGTCATAGTACAGTGCAGGCTATAGGAGAAATAGGGCTGGCCGGGGCGGGTGGCATAATCAGGTTTTCTTCGAATCCCGGAAAGAACACAAGAGCCTTTTCCCAGGGAAGACTCATTTCAACTTGATATGCCAGATGCCGTATAATCATTCTCAATTATTCGTATCAAATTCCATTCAGAAGTCTAATCACCCAGAATATATCAGAATATTCCGAATGGCAGTAAGTTTTACCTCACCCTAGCCATTTGATCTACATGGCTCATTGCTGCAAGCCTGTATCGCGAAGCCTCGCCATGACTATGCCAACATCTTCACAAAATGAGCAACTACGAAATTGTCGACATTGCAAACGACCCGGACAGCGGCGAATAACCAAGTACTCAAACCGCAACGGCAACGCTGGCCGGCCTTACTACTTGTGCGTATCGTGCAACAAGTTTATCGCGTTCGATGACAATCGTGGCCAGCACGAAGACAACCCACGATGCGAATGCGGCAGACCGAGTCGAACCCAGCTGAACGGAAGCAATGGAAGTCCCCCAAGAGGTGTCCACTACGTCTGTGCAACGGGACAGTGTAGTTATTATGCGCGGCTAGTCAAGAACGAACAACAGGTTGTCGTTGGTGAAGATTTCGTGGAGCGTTTTGCCAAAGCATTGATTATCTAGGACGGAGATGTTCAAACTTTGGCGCATGGATTGATGGAAGTAAATTCCAAATCATTTGTATCTTCTTGCAAGGCCGAGCTCACTGTCGTACTGGTAATCAAATCCAACTTGGAAGTTGAGGCGATCTAGACTTGGACATGTGCTTCACCCTGAACCAGGATGTCCAATGTTGTATACCCTGGTTTCTAGTATAAAGTCCAGCTACCGTTAAATCTGATCCATCGTCTAATGTCTTACCGAGCAAGTGATGTTTTAAGTTTTGTCTAATTAGTGCAAGAGGTCAACACTGGCCGCACTAAGGGTCGTGGTGACATCACCTGGCCATGCACCATTCCTACGCATGCAACAGTACAGTTGTTTCATCACACTCACAACAACTGTTCGGATGCACGCATCTACACCATCATTGCAAAGCGCCATGCAGAGCTCAATACAAAGATGACGACGCTCATCGAATCCACACCGCGGGCAGTACGCATGAGCTATCGCATCGCCCGTGGCGAACAAGGAGTGCTCACGTTCGAGCCATACAAGTCCGAATTACTACCGCTCTGGAGGTTTCGCACCTCATCCATTGCACGCAAGAGTGCTGCGGACCTGTGGAAGCGCTTCGAGGAATTCAATGAGCAGGGCGACTTTGTCGGTATGGACATGGCGCGTAAATTCATCCAGATGGGCATGACACGCGCAAAGCGCTACGCCAACCACGCGGGCGGTCGCAAATACAAGAAGGGCACCAAGGAGGAGCTGCCAAAAAGCGAGACTCACAAGGACAAGAAAGAGAAGGAGGCGGCGAGCCTGGTGTTCAGGCAGGTCTGGGAGAGATGTCGAGCTCACGAGGGTTACCAGAAGCACAAGCAGGAGTTTCTCGAGAAGCAAAAGGCTTGGGAGAAGAGCGGTGCCGGCAAGGAGCTCAAGGTCGAGGATACTTGAAATTGAGTAACGGGGGAAGCGAATTCCTTTTGCTCGTAGCGGAACATGCTGGTCAGCCAAATACGCTCGTCAGCATGCGACACGAACTCTACATGATCCCAATACTCTGGCACAAAGTTGTCGGCCAGGCACTGGCCCAAGTCGTCAAGCAAGCAGAGCAAGTACTGTTCACAGCGCCTTCTTCTGCCAACCTTCCAGAAGATGGAGGACATCCAAGTATTGAAGTGGAAGACTATGTACTGTGCAGTGTGCAGCACACCTCATCAGGGGTTGCCGGCAGATGACCCCTTGTCCTGAGTCCTGGCCTTGCCATCAAAAGGTCGAAAAGGCTCTCTCACTGGAGGAGGGCTTGGCGAACATGGGTACTCGGGTCGCGGATCGCTGCATGGACGCCCAAATCGAAACCAGCGGCACAGCGTGCGAGAGCCTGGAGGGTTACCAAGGGGTTTGGCGACTTGTGACAACGTCAGATATATGTATGTATGTATGTATGTATGTATGTATGTATGTGCAAAGATGTCATCAACTACCAACCTACATTAGCCACATTCTACCCTGGCCTTGTCATCATGATGGATTTCCCCTCAATCTAGAATTTTGACAGCATCCGGGCCGTAGGTGAGGTGAACTGTAAAACCAACTGAACTGAAATCAATCAAGCATGGAAAGGACCCACAGTTGCGGTGGTTGGTCCAGGATGGTCAATCCAGAATCACACCCGACATTTGGCGCCGCCGCCCACCATGTTTTTAGCGCACCACGCGTCGCCAAGCGGTATCAAACCACATTTTGACAAGCCCGGGAAAGCTTGTCATGGTGATCGTGCAATGGATCAATGTTTACGGGGCACTGGTTCTACGCAACGGTTGTTTTCTAGGCGCAATACCAAGACACCAAGGAGACAAGGCTGGTCTTGTCAAAGCTTCGCGATGACGACAATGAAAAGGCATTGTTGTTTTGAGGCATGTGAAGAGAAAAAATGGATTGCACAGGTAGAATCCAGATGATATGCAAGATACAGATCTGAATCAGCAGGTGCCGCGAACCAGTTTTACTGGACCGTGGTGGGTGCAGTGGTACCTGAGCACACTAAAAAGACAGTTCGGTCACTGGAGCCAGTCGATCTCAAGTTCTTTCAATACAAAAGTTTCCTGACAGCGGCTGGCTGTTATCTGTCAACTTGAAAGGCTGCCTGCTTGCAAAGTCCAAAGCGGACATACGGATGATACATGATGTTCGTATCTGCACACTACTCCTTTGTCCTACTCTCTCCCCTAGTCAGGTGCAATTTGATGACTGGGGGGAAATTTGCATTTTAGCATTTTTCGCGGCCGGCCTCTACGACGAGTCTTACCAGCTCGGAGCGAGCATTCGCGGCCAGGGGCTGAGCCACCATGTGGATCTTCAATATCATTACGAATCCCCTGCTCCGCCAAGACCCACTCCCATCGTGGATACTATGGGTGAAAGACCTGGGGGTCGACGGCATCGTGCACCACTTCGTCTGCCAGATTCTCGGGGGAAGGCAATTCTTCTATTCTTTTAACCTTCTTTCCAAAGTCCAGTACTCTGCTTCCAGAAAGGCCCAGTCAAGACCCGTTGATGTAGCTGGGCACTTTTCTCCTAACCACCAGTCATTCGTTCCTTGCTACCAACTACTAACACTGCTACCCTTCTGCTATTTCTAATTCCCAAAGAACCATCTCTTCCGTTGTAATCAGCCATGTTGGGGGTCCTGCGATCTGTAGGGTTGTTCGGCCTCCTTTTCTCTGGGGCTCGCGCGATCGATGTGGATTTCTCCGATAATGGTACGCAGCTTGATTTGCGACAGACATCAGATCAACGATTACTAACCGCGGCCACAGATTCCATCAAGGAGGGCGCTGCCACCATTGCCTGGGGCTTGGTAAAATACTACACCGGTATGCAAACTTCACCGACGACTCGCATCATTCCCGTCGCACACACACACTGGGAGAACGAATCGACTGACCATATGCTGCAGGTAACAACTCTGGTGATGTTGCAGGCAACTTGCCTGATCCGTACTACTGTCGGTCTGCCCCGATGGATTTGAGATCAGCGGTTCCTTCTTACTAATATTTTCCTTGTAGGGTGGGAAGCTGGTGCCATGTTTGGCGCCCTGGTCGATTACTGGGCTTTTACGGGCGATGATTCTTACAACAACATCACTTTCCAGGCGCTTCAGCACCAGGTCGGAGACGATGCAGACTTTATGCCCGAGAACCAAACGCGAAGTTTGGGTAACGATGATCAGGGTTTCTGGGCCATGGCGTCCATGACTGCTGCTGAGATGAACTTTACCAACCCGTCGTCTGATGAGCCGCAATGGCTGGCCCTATCCCAAGCCGTCTTCAACGAATATGTCACGCGATGGGAAGATGCAGAGGACACCTGTGGAGGAGGACTTCGCTGGCAGATCTACACCTTCAACAACGGTTACAACTATAAGAACTCCATCTCTAACGGATGTTTCTTCAACCTTGCTTCCCGATTGGCACGATACACCGGCAATGACACGTACGGAGACTGGGCAGAAAGGATCTTTGCTTGGGAACAAGGTGTAGACTTCATCAACTCGGACTGGAACGTTCTCGACGGTGCAGGAAATGCCGACGATGCCAACTGCACTGAGATCAATGCTGCGCAATTCACATACAATGCAGGCATTTACCTGATCGGCGCCGCACACATGTACAACTACACCGAGTCCGATACCTGGAAGGAACGAGTCAATGGCCTGGTCACTAGTATCTCTTCCGTGTTTTTCGAGAACGGAATCATGTACGAGCCTCCTTGCGAGAGTACCTCTTGCAACACGGATCAGCAGGCCTTCAAGGGGCATCTCGCTCGATGGATGGCCTACACAGCCAAGCTTGCGCCCTTTACCTACGACACCATCGTTCCTCTCCTCAAGTCCTCAGCCACCGCGGCGGCCGAGCAATGCTCGGGAAGCCCTACGTCCGGCTTCAAGGGCCACACGGGTACTGCCTGCGGTTTCAGTTGGCTGGATAACTCGACTTGGGATGGAAACTCTGGAGTCGGTGAGCAGCTCAATGCCATGTCTATCGTCATGGTGAACCTTCTCGCCGACTCTCCTTCCCCGTACACCTCAACAACCGGTGGTAGTTCCGTGGGCAATGCGAATGCCGGTGCCAGCGACAGCAGTAAAATTGCAACGGCCAGAGCAATCACCACAGGAGACCGTGCCGGCGCTGGTATCCTCACAGCATTGGTTCTGGCGTCACTACTGAGCTCGCTTGTGCTCATGATTAAAGACTGATCTTTCTACAGAGAGGGGGTCCTCCATATATTTCTTCTCCCCCACATCTTTCTGTGTATTTGGAAACTTGCATATCAAGGAAAACTAGCGGCCTCTTGGCGACTCAGACTGTGCTTGGAGTTTGGCGTTTCTACATTTACAAATACTGCTACGTGCCTGAAATAATGGCACATTAACCAAACCGTTCCGAATTGTGTACTATTGACCATGGAATCACCAGGATCATAATGTCTTGGCTTGATGGGTCTTGTTATACCCAAATACAGTCCCTCTGCTAATCCATCACACTCGTGGCTTGAATTATCGCGTACTGACTGCCTGTCCCAACATTCAAAGTGCCTTGAAACGCACGTTTTTCAAAAACGAAATCACAATTATGAGACGGTCATCCGTCTAAATGTCTATGGCAATAGTCTTGGCATTGCTCTTATGATGACTAGGGTGGATTTGCCAAGTCTTGATGTTTGGATCACTTGGCAATCGCCAAGATCGCCCAGAAAGGCCGGCCTGAGCTCGCTAATCTACGCCTAGGTGCACGCTCCTCATGGCTCCCGTGAGCCAAGACGGCAGAAGGGCATTGCCGTTGGGTCGATACTATGCCGCATTCATGTAATGAGTTAGTTCTATTTTATCCCTCTGGGCTCATAAGGGGTGATTTATGCTCACCTGACGAGAGTCTTACTTTGGCATCTTTGAAAATCTTGGAGGTATGCAATTTTGAGGCTAGATATTTTCCGATCGGTGAGTCCTACTCAGCCCCTATTTGAGTAAATCCTCAGAAGCACATTTACTTGTGCTGTTGAAACAGTACTGCATCATGTAAAATACATCCTCGAACTATATGAGTCCTCATCAAGTTCTAGACAATCACTAAGAGACGGAAATATAGGCGTCTACCTATGCAAGGGCGCGGGCAAGACGTGCAGTGCTCAATCCTCTTTCCGGCACAAGTTGGACGTCCACTGGAATTTGTCACAAATCTTGGGATAACAATGCCCCCTGTGAAGAACAAATTGGCCATCGGATGAAGATGATGGCGGTTAGCAACAGCCATGCACGCCGTCTACTCATTGGCTCTCGTTCCACCTGTGCAATATAATTCCCAACTCAGTTCCAAATCAAGGCGCATCCTAGTTCTAGTACTGCAGAACCACTGTGACCATTGACCTAGATGGCACACTCAGATTCACTGCGCTATCCGTCGCAGAAATCGCCAGCTCATCCAGATCATGAGTGTTGTCCGTAACGAAAGCCTTGCTCTGTTTGATACCAGCCCCGGCCGCCGTGGTGCCGACGGCCAACGACGCCGCGGCGGACCCGGTATTGATCAACTGCACAGCAATCGACCCATCGACATTCCGGAACGCCGACGTCTTGATGCCCGACTTGGTCCCCGCGACGCCGACTCTCACGGCGCCGGGCCGCACAAAGCGGCTCCACTGGCCAAACGCCCACAGGCGCTTCGAGGCCGCGACGCTGTCGCCGCTGATGCGCACGAGCTTGGAGTTGGTGTCGCCCCCTTGCACGCCGACCCAGTACAGGTACGCCGAGCAGTTGGCGCTGACGAGGGCCGTGTAAATATTGTTGGCCCACGTCATGCCCTCGCCGGCGCCGCCGCTGGCGTACCACGCCGCCGTCCATGCGCCGTTGAGGTCCGCGGCCTCGGTCTGCCAGACAGGGTGGCCGCGGGCGCTACCCATGGGCGAGTTGGGCGACGACGTGTAGGCGTGCGCCGTGATGGTCGAGAGGTACTGGTCCACCGAGGCCAGCTGGCTCGTCATCGAGGCCTGGCTCGACCACCCTTCGGCGTCGCAGCAGTTGATGCCCACGTGGGAGAGGTTGGCCTTTTGCAAGGTTGGGCCCAGGACTTTGATAAAGTCGGCAGCTTGGGTCCCGGATGAGCGCATCGATGCATAGCTCGTGCTGTTCACAGTCCTTTGTCAGCGGACACTGCTTTATACAGGATATTGGGCTGATGGAGAACTCACGTCAAGTCGGGCTCGTTGAGAAATCCTAGATGTGTAATGTTGACCCCTTCCTGCTCGTAGAATTTGACATATTGGACGAGGTAATCCGCATAGGCCTGCTTCCAATCACCGCTCGAGCATGAAGCACCACTCACACCGCAGAGACTGCCACCATTGGCGTCATTTCCATTGGTCTTCACTGCAGCACAATCAGATGCCAATCTGTTTTGGTACATCTCTCGGGGTTAAGGCGACTATTCTGCGGGCCGACTCGAACAAACAAATGAATGACTCAACTTACTATAACCGGGTGCAGACCAGGCATCTGCATAAATGGTTCTGACACCACGCTTGATTGCCTCTTGCGATACCCATAGCTGTTTGTTATCGCTGCCGTCCCAGCTATATACGAGCGGCTTGGATGGCGCACCGGGGGACTTGGGCGCGATGCTGACCATGTGATCGGAGCTCATGTCGGGCGACGACCCGATGCCGTTGCGTAGGATCGACAGGCCGGCCCCGGACGTGGTGTTGAAGAGCAGGTCCAGCGCCTGCTGCTGCTTCGCCTCGGACAGCTTGGATATTTGCACGGCGCGCTGGAAGGCCTCGGAGCACCCAAACCCGTCGATGCGCTGGTACGTCTGGTCCAGGTTCACGGTAATGGCTGTGGCCGACTGCCGGGACATGAGCGTGTTTGTAGGTCCGGCGGCAGCTCCAAGGGCCGCGATAAGCCCGAGATATCGTGGCAAATGCATGGCAACTATCGATGTGCCTAGTAACTATTGTGAATCCAAGTCAAGTGTTGCAGTAGATTCAGGTTATCATGATAGCAATGATGGCAAATATTTTGATTTTAATTACAGCTTTTACACATAGGACTCTAACACACCCCAACCTTTACAGAGAGTATCCAACCTCAGTCCGAATTCATTTCCTATTACAGCTGGGTTCTATGAAAATTGAATATCTTGGCAACACAGTTGGCAAAAGTTCCGGCTGAATAGCATTGAGATTCCTTTTGTGAAGTACGTGTCGGCTAAAGTTGGGAGGGGCAGTTTTATAGTGCCCTTGCGCGCCACCAATGGATGAGAGCTTTGAATCAAATACCTAATGTTCCATATACGGATTGAAGGACCTTGTTCATTGTCGTCGACACTCACCAACCGTACGAACGCAGGGTAACTTGATTTGATGATATGTCTTGACTGTAGTCAATCACTTCTCCTAGAAATGAGCAATTAATTTCATGCCTCTTGAAATCAATATCCCAAGCAGTGACCATTAATAATAGAGCATAGAGTGACCCAATCGAAATACTCATTCGATGGTTCGATGTTGTCGTGGTTAATAGTAAGTAGTAGGTAAAGAAGAGCGATCGACGGCAAGGCGGCGTAAAGGGATTATGTTGGCCCAGTCCACGGGAATAAGCTGCCCGGCAAACAGTGAGTGAGGCGCCTTGCAAATTGATCATGGTCGAATGAGATGATAGAATTGACATCAGCTGACTTTGAAATGCGTAGGACTCTAAGCTTTAGCAAATATCCATGCTTGGCATGATGGATTATACGGTTGAGTGACATTGTCGAATGCAGCTTGGCCCGTAGCCCCTTGGCGTAGGCATGATCATCCACATACGATGTATCGTTCGATGAACAAAATTCGAGGCGCTTGGAAATTCTAGTGGGATTTGAGTATGTAATACAAACCGCAATGTAGTGGTCGCGCAAAATCAGCTGAGGCCATGGAATCAATAGTGAGGCACAGGCAGTGAGAGTGCACCGTAGTAAGCTTACTATCAGATAGGCCAAAGCAGCCAAAGAATACACTGCACTAACTAGAGTATAACTTCTCAGACGTCGGCACTGTCCAGGTAGGGAAAGAAAAAAAGATCAGAAACGAGTATCATCCTTTCTCAAAAACGATAATTACAATATTTTGAATAAGTGATTTGAAGGTCAATCATGTTGGCGACATCGGTTGCGCCCGTATTGGGTGCATTGGCCCTGTGGTGGGTGTTCCGACCGTGGGTTCAGCAGGCCGCCTTTTCGCCGCTCGCTAAACTGCCGACGGTCCACTGGAGCTGCTCCTGGTCCCCGCTATGGGTTCTATACTTGCGATACTCGGGCCGGGAGCTCGAGGTCATGCACGAAGCACACCAGAAGCTAGGTCCGGTCTTGCGCGTCGGCCCCCGGGATGTCAGCGTGAGTTGCTACAATGATGGCGTGCGAACCATTTACGGCGGCGGCATGGACAAGCCCGACTATTACGACTACTACCAATATCACGAGTAAGTCGAAACCACTTGATTGGCATTGATTCTGTTTGGTGTACACTACATCCATTGCCGATACATCTAACCATTCAACAGTGTCGAAAACTCCTTTTCAACCCTTCTTCGCGGCGACCATGCAGTGCGTCGTCGCCGCGTCGCCGGTGTATACACCAAGACTTTCGTGCAAAACTCGCCTCACCTCGCCGTCCTTTCTCAAAAGATCATCGATGGACGTCTCTTGCCACTCATGGCCGATCTCGCCAAAAAGGGCGAGACCTTTTGCATGCTGCGCCTGACCTGGGCCCTGTCCTTTGATCTCATCACCTCTTTCATCTTTGGTCTCGAGGCTGGCTCCAACTTCCTGGCCGACGTGTCAAAGATTGACAAGATCACCGATGCCTACGACAACCGCTACCCACACGAGACCTTTTGGAAGAAGGAGACCCCCTTGCTGCACAAGGCCTTGGCTTCTTGCGGCTTGTCGCCTCTGGGCGCGAGAAACACAAAGTATCAGAATGCCAAAAAGTTCCTCGAGGCCTTTACCCTCAACTTTTGTCACCGTGCCGACGCTGTCCTCAAGCGCGGCAAGAATGTTACCAAGGAGTCGGGCAACTACCCCATGGTTTTCGCTGCCATGAGGAATGCCGTCGACAAGGAGTACCCCAACCTCTCGGAAAAGGCCAAGATGACAATCATTGCCAGCGAAATGTTTGACCACTTGTGTAAGTAGCGGCGTCACAATTCGTTATTCAAATCTTATAACTCTTGCTAATTGGCCACTTGCTATACAGCCAGCGCCCATGAAGTCTTTGGCCTCGTCCAAGCCTACACCCTGCGCTTTGTAGCCCAAAACGGCGGCGCCCAGTCCCGCCTGCGCGAAGAGTTCCTCGGCAACCAGGCCGACCAGCCCTACTCACCGCAGTCGGCCTCGACCCTGGGCGGCCTCCCGTACCTGAGCGCCGTCATCAACGAGTCCTTCCGCCTGCGGCCCACGGGCACGCCGCTCCCGCGCATCACGCCCCAGGGCAAGACGACCCGCCTCGGCGGCTACGAGGGCATCCCGGGCGGCGTCCGCGTCAACACGTACCAGTGGTTCCTGCACCGCGACCCGCGCATCTGGAACGCGTCCGAGGACTGGATCCCCGAGCGCTGGCTCAAGGAGACGGGCGGCCAGGGCAAGGACCAGGTCCTGTGGCCTTTCTGCTCGGGTCCGCGCATGTGCGTCGGAAACCACTTGACTGATTATCGTAAGTTTTCTTTTGCACAAATGACAGCGACCCATTGAGACAAGGAGGTGTGAAGCTGACTTGATCGCACAGTGATGCGCCAGATCATGTCCTCCATGATGACCAACTTTGAGCTTCGCAACCAGTACACGGAGCTCCTCGACCGGGAAGACATTGGTACGGCTAAGGACAGAATCCCCATGGTCATAAAGGCGCTGTCCTGAACGGCTTTGTGGCCGCGTGAAGTGTCTTTCATTTGATAAGTTTTCACTTTGCTTAATGGCGCGGAGTTGGTTTATTTTCCATCGAAAAAGTCCTGGGTTTCACTGGATAAATGCTCTTGGTCTTTACCAAGCGGGAAGGTTTGGATTAGAGAAAATCGTCTTGTTTTTTTGCATTCTGCCATGAAAACCATTCGTGTTCGGGGCCCATACTGGCTTCAGATTTTTGTTAATTATTGTTTGCGTGTAGAATTACTTTTTTTGAGTTTTGATAGAGCAGTGGCAATGGTACGGATCTTGGTACTTGTATTTGGCAGCAACAAAATCAATTTAGACGCTCTACAGAGCGATTGGCTTGTTTATGCTTTCCTTACCTACAAAGTCATTTTCTTGTGTGCTACAGTGTTCCGAAAATGTCAAGAGAGAAAAAAGATTATTGAAACGATCATTTCTATGTGGTGGTTGATGGAACCTTGAAACGACATTTTAGTAAGCGTCGAATTATTTTCGTCTGCTTTGTTGTTACTATTAGGCAACTCATGTGTGGTGGTACGTTTATTACCAATTATGGGTCGTAATTGTCTAGTCTAAAATTTGGTGTCTGAGCATCATAAATGGTGTTGGCAAGAGCTGCCGAATTAGGCTGCTCCTTTGCCAGGCCCCTTTTTCTTGCGAGTGTCTGTCCAGCCCATGAAGAATGCAGCAACGAAACTTGCAATGGAACAGACTGCGAGAAGAATGAAGACATGGTCGATACTGTTCGAGTATGACAAGAGCAGTCCATTTAGCTCTGGGCTTCCATCCGGCAACAGCGCACGAACTGCCTCGGCATCACTACCAGCTGCGGTCGCGGCTTCGATGGAGACCGACGGCGCATGCTTGGGGAGTTCCACTGCCAGGCTCTGATTAAAAATGGTGGAGGCGACGACCAAGAGAATAGATCCCAACATGTTTTGACAAAAGACTTGAAAGGCGATAGCCACTGGAATGTGGTATCCCGGCAGGCCTGTTTGAATTGCAATCATGGCCTGTTGCCTATTAGTCATATCATTCTTTACATGACTGTCTGATATTGACGTACCATCTGCATGCCGGCACCGCGACCAATACCTAGAATGATCTGATATCCGACCCATTGACCAGTCGAGGTTGTTGGTGTAAAGGTGGACACAAGACCATTACCAATTGCACTGATAGCTCCAGAGGCAATGGGCCATGGCAAGTAATAGCCCAACTTGGTGACTATACACACAAGTTAGGATCGCTCTTCTTTAATCCGAGATCAGTTAATGGAGAACATACCTAACCATCCTGAAGAGACGACCAGGGCCAGTTGGCTAAAGATACTGGGCAATAGGTATACACCACTCAAAGCGGGACCTGCACCTTTGACGGCCTGGAAATAAATGGGAAAATAGTAACTCGCCACCGTAACTGTTCCAAAAAGAAACATGCCCTACGTTAAGGTTAGAAGGGGACCTTGATGCAAGCGAGAAGAAAGAGCATCATACCTGAATTGCGCTGCTGATGGCAATCTTCTGCTTGATGATCTTTGAAGGAATCATGGCCTTGTCCCCAACTCGGCTTTCCCGAATCACAAAGATGATCGCAAGTACTCCTGAACCGAAGAAGAGACCAACTATTGTCGCGCTGCCCCATTCATACTCATTGCCACCCAGTTGGAGGGCCAGGAGGAACATGACAGACGTGGGTGCCAAGAGGGCAAATCCGAAAAGATCAAGCTGAGGGATGACTTTGCGGATGAGGGCAAGGCTAAATGGCTCCTTTTTGGTAAGGTCGGGAATATCGAGCGCTACGAGGATACATGCGGCGATGGCACCTGCGGGTAGGTTGATGTAGAAGCCTATAGGTGCGATTAGCACATGCCTTGTCTCATTGTACTGTACATTGAGAATACTTACACCATCTCCAGGTTGAGAATTGTGTGAATACACCTCCCAGCAATGGACCTGAGATCAGACCAAGTTGTCCAACTGTAAAATACTATGAGCAAGGTTATTAGTAGCTAGGGCCGGGTAGGCACTTACTTCCCATCATCAAGCTCGTATGGACTGAAAAGATTGGTTAGCTAAATGTTCTCTGTTCAAACATAAATTTTGAGAAAACTTACAGGCACGGCGCTCCACTGGTACAGCACCAGAAACCATGGTCAGTGCCCCGTTGATCAAACCCGAGCCTCCTAACCCAGCGACAACACGACCGATAATAAACATTATTGATGAAGTCGAGACACCGCAGATGAATGATCCTATCTCGAACAAGAAAAGAAAAAGGACAAAAACCCACTGTTCCAAGTTGTCAGTATCTGTCTATTCATCCAAGGCTGGAAAGTTAAAGGTCATACTTTGGTGCTGAAATGAGTATAGAACTTTCCCGTAAGAGGCTGCAAGGTTGCACTAAGAGATCATCGAGGTTAGTCTCAACACAAGATGACATGAACCGAAGGGAGAATGTCTGCATACCTGGCTAATTGATACGCCGCAGCATACCAACCAACATCATCGAGAGAATGAAAGTCGGACGTGATGCGTGGAATAGCCTAACATTGATCGATCACAATCAGTCTTCGCGTCTTGCTCGTCTATCGAGTGGAGTCCGACAACGCCCTACTGGTCATGACGTTTTGAAACTCACAGTTGCGATGATTGACACGTCTAGTAGCAAGATGAATACGACCATGGTGATGCTGCTGACCACGGCCGCAAGCTTGAATCCAGAAATATGATTGTTGTCATCCTCTGGCTTGAGCGAGAGAGGCTCACTGGAACTGATGGTTGCCCGAACGTCCTCATTCTTGCTAGCAGAGGCTTCCGCCTTTGTCTCGTCAGACTCGACCATGGTTTGGTTTCCTGTCGACATGGTCGAGGGCGCTGGAGTATCGTGCAACTCGTGTTCCATCATGACTGCCTAGCAGTCTGACTTGACTGCTGCAGCTCGTGGGGTCTTGTACAGTCGTAATATTCTTCCTAGACGCCCACAGCGACAATTTCACGATGCTGGCAAAACAGAGAAAGAAAAGTTTGCAAAGTGACGGGGGTAGGAGAAAAGTAACCGAGTTCTTGGCCTCCACTCCGGCACAACCACGTTTCTTTCCTTGATCCGTTGAGCTGCAATGCAATGCACAGCAGGGCTGTTTTTTGTCCGGCTTCCCGAGGCGAACAGATTTTGTTTCAATCACGGCCAACTCATCAAGTGCCGGAAGGCCACGACGCAGTGGAGTCTAGAGTTACGGTCATGGCTAGAAATCGCAACACAAACTGATGCACGGTTTGCTCTCAAGTATACGATAAGACCGGCGGCAAAGCTACGTACGCGAGTCTGATACCAGCTGCGATTTTCGGAAAATCTCCACTCTACGATCGTTATAGGCAGGTTCTTTGATGATTGCTGCATCGTCATTCGCCCCTGGCAACGGCCAGGGTCTCTTCTCTGCTGCTACCGACCCGATTGGGGCATGCGGCAGATCGCCCGGATCTCCACTCCACCCATGACCGAACGAACTTCCGAGTCCAATCTCAGATTGAAAATTGTGTGCGCAATCCTGCACTTATACCTAGGCTTGTGAGGCGGGACGAGGTGGATGTCCGTGTGTTAGCAAGCAAAGAGATGCCTTTCTCTGCCCTGGACCCCACTCCCACCTTGAGGACCCCTGTTCATGTATTGGAAATGTGCAGTGTGCATAGTATAGGGTGTGCGATGAGTAAAACGCTACGAGTAGGTGTATTGACTGTAGCAATACCTCGTCTTATCACTCTCATAGGCCAGCTATTGCCGGGGACATACCGTTCTTGGCAAGAATATTTCGCGCGCACTGCGATGAAAAGGCCAGTGCTGTGTTGATAATGCAACCTCATTCATATGGCTGCCAAGATGTTGCAGATTGGTCATTGCCTGCATAATATCAAACCTGCTGAGGAAGCATTGGTATTATATATAGATATTCGAGTTGTTTGCTTTCTTGCTTTCTGAGTTAGAGTTTCTTTGCGCAAATTTGTATTTTGAATCTTCCAAAATGTCTGGCTGGAAACATGCGTTCAATGTCTCCAAGGAGGACCTCAAGAAGGCAACGCCTCCTGGGACTGTCGTTGTCACACCTGGTAGGTGCCTCCACTGTCTTGGTCTCAGAGTGCCCATTTGCGGCGGCTTGATATTGTACAGAAAGTGTAGGCTAACAGCGGATAGACGACGTGAGCATCGGAGAAGTTGTCGAGGCCACTGGCAATCTTCATCGATTTCCCATTCCATCGGCGGATCCAGCCGACCCGCTGAACTGGCCCAACTGGCGTAAACATGCTTTGCTGGTCGTTGCAGCGATTTACTCGTTCGTGGCGAATTTCGCCTCGTCGAGCGTTGCCCCTGCCCTCCAGCTGTGGCCCATGTTCTTCCCAATGGACCAGCGTCCATTCACCGAGCTGACCAGACTGGTCGCCGTAAGTATCATCTATTCAACATGACCGAAATGACACGTCTTCTGACCAGGCTTTGAACGTTAGGTAAATGTTTTGATGATTGGTGCCGCCAACATCTGGTGGGTGCCGCTCTCCAACATTCTCGGACGACGACCGGTTCTTCTGGCAGCCATGCTCATCTTGGTACTTACTACCCTGTGGTGTGGCCTTGCAACAAGCTACGATTCGCTTCTTACTGCCCGAGTTCTTCAAGGTATCGGATCTGCTGCCGCTGACACAGTGGCACCAGCGCTCGTCGGTGATGTCTACTTCATGGATGAGCGTGGTCGTGCAATGGTAAGGATTCCGCGGTGCCATGTCTTCCCAAGAGTCGAAACTGATATTCTAAACCAGGCCGTCTACACCATCTTCCTCGCTACTGGTTCTATCGTTGGTGGTTTGGCTGGTGGAAACATCGCCGCCACGCTAGGCTGGGCATACATCTTTTGGATCGTCCTGGCACTGGCTGCCGCCTGTTTAATTGCAACGTTCTTCCTCGTCCCGGAGACCCTTTATCACAGAAAGGCGACGACCCTGCAGCCTGCAGATTTGACACCGCAGGGCTCTTCCAAGGGCGTGACGTTGCAAGAGGAGAGTGCGTACCCACCTTATACGTACGGCAAGTCACTGGGATTCCGCAAGCCATCAGGTGGTGTTGTCCACCACTTCATCAAGCCTTGGCGATCCCTCGCGCTTCCCGGAACCTGGGTTGTGACGCTCCAGTACGGCGGTCTCGTCGGTGGTATTGTCACCATCTCCACGATTGGTCCGCAGCTGGTTGCTATGCTGCCATACCTCTGGGGAAACAACGCCGGTTTGATCAATGTTGGTGGCTTGATCGGCACAATCATCGGTTACATCTACACATATGTTGTATCAGATGCACGTCTCAAGAGTTCAGCCAAGCACCACCATTACGTTGAGGCCGAGGCTAGATTGCCTACCATGTTCCCGGCTCTGTTCATCGCGACCGCTGGATTTTTGGTCTTTGGCTTCTGCGCTCAGAACCCTGGCCCGAATGTCTGGGTTGGACTCGAGTTTGGCTACGGCATGATTACATTTGGACTGATGCAGGCTCCTTCGATCGGATTCAACTATGTGAGTCACCTCTTGAAGCTGAAAACAAAAAAATGTTAAATAGACGGCTAACGTGAGCAGTTGATTGATGCGTACTCGTACTTGGCCGCCGATTGCTTCGTCATTGCTGCAATTCTGCGTGCTGTTGTCGGATTCGCCTGGTCCATCTTTGTCGCGGACTGGATTCAGAAGGACGGCGCTGCTGAGCCTTTTGGCATCTTTGGCATGTTGATGGGAGTCTTTTCGCTGCTTGCTGTGCCACTGTGGCTCTGGGGCAAGCGTCTGCGCATTGCCACTGCAAGCACCTTCTCCAAGGAGCGTGTGTATGAGCAGAGCCACATGTAAGTCGAAAGAGAGGGTATATCGTGGGTTCGACCTTCCGAGAGTGTGTGACAAGGCCGAACCAGGAATGCAAATGCTGTTGGGCGGGGGGTTGGTGCTGTCTGGTGTCGTTTGGGGATGAAATGATAGTTGAGCTACACTTGCGTCGCTGTTTTCTTGCTGCTACTCGAATACCCGATATATTTCGCGAAAACTCATAATAAAAACCATCTTCACCACATGAGTTCCGTAGCCCCACAAGAAGAATGGTGAAATGAAATAAAGTCGAAAAGTTGCCGTCTCGTGACGCGTACGGTAGGTAGGTAGGTGGCCGGCACTTGAGCTTTAGTGGTCTTCCATTGTTTTAGCGCTGGTGGGGTCACTAAGGTATCGGCTCTAGATTCCATGTAAGCCCTTGGCCAGAACACCTATTTCCAAGACGAAATCAATCACTGCCACAGGTTTTAGGTCGTAAAACTACTCAAGTCTATAGGTTATGTGAATGACTGAATAAATATATAATTCCGGATAAAATTCATGCATATGCGCCAACCATCTACCTAACAGAACCCGATATGTATAATTGTCATCTAAAGGTATGTATGTACCTACATTACGTTGGAGGTACGCGAAAGACCTAAAGGCCACTAATAGATTACCTAGGTAGCTCAAACTAATCAAATTTACAGTTGAGTCTTGGCGTACTTGCTCACTTGTCTTTCAAAGATGGCAAGCGCATCCAGATCCTCATTCTCCTGTTGCAATCTCAACGCTCTGTGCTTGTAGCTTGGGGTCGTGAAGATCTTGTCGCACGCATCGCCAACCTGAGTGCTCGTCGGCCTCTGCACCTTGAGATTGATGGCAAAACCAGCGTATTCACCCCTGGCGCACACCTCGGCCTTGTCTTCAGTAGTACCGGCCAAAATCATGGGCACACCGTTGAGCACGCCGTGGCTCAGACCTCCATAACCACCATTGGTCAGGAAGACATCAGCATACTCCAGTATCGCATCGTACGAAAAATAGTCAATGACGCGCACGTTCTCGGGGATCTCGAAGTCTTCAGAAGATTCCAGAGTAGCACCCTTGACTCCCAGGATGGCCACCGTGATCACGTCTGACCGGTGTGCAAGGCCTTGGATTGTAGGAAGAATAAGATCGGCATAGTCGAGGGCAACGGTACCCTGTGCGACTGCGACCACCTTCTTGCGCTGTTCCGCGGGAAGCTCAGCATTGGCCTTGATCTCCGACCACCAAGAAGGGTACTGGAAGTTGGAAGGTAGAGGCCTCTTGGGGAGTGCACCAGAGTAACGGATGGACAAATGAAGATCTGATCGTGGGTATTCGAGGCCCGGGACACACAACTGGAGCGTCGTGTCATACGACTCCAGCCATGCATTCTGGAAGAAAACCTTTGGCACAGATGTCGCACCAACGCTCTTCAACGACTCATGGAACACTTTGTCCGTGCCGCCCATGGGCCCTCTGACGAGCATCTCATTCATGATCTTGTTTCTGGCGCGACCCGACTCGGAGGAGTCTGGTGGCAGACACGGTCCAGTGAAACCAGTGTCAATACTGAGCAGCATAATCGGCACGGTACTGATGTTGATGGTCTTGGGAAATGTGTCGTAGCCCTTTGGCAATGGGGCTCCATAGATGAACGGCATCGGGGCCAACGACATGGTTTCAGTCACGACAACAACATCCCGGGTAGGGTCGCGCTGTCGGACAAGTTCAAGCAGTGAGCCGAATTCCGCACTTCTTGGCAGCATCGGCTTGATGAACATATTCTCCATGTCGGCACACAGAGTGGGGAGTCCAGGTGGGAGTGTGTGTCTCGACTTCAGGTAGTTGAAGTCACAGAAGGGTGTCTTCGACTCATAGAACTCGGCGCCGGCCTTGATAATGGCCTCCTTGAACTGGACTGTGGACATGAAGATGACTTCATATCCTTGCTTCGTCATCTCTGTGGCTAATCGGAGGAGTGGGCTCGTGTGGCCCATGACTGGAGGTGCTGTGAACGCGAGAAGGGGCTTCTCGTTGCTGGGGCCGTTGGCGGCACCATTGTCGCTGACGATACTGCTGTCGGCCGTTAAGCCGGTGTCGCTTGGTGCACTGCCATCGACTGTACCATCGTTTTCACTTGCTGCGCTGCTGTTGCCTCCAGCCTCACTGGCAGTCTTTGTGGTTTCTTCCTCAGCTGCAGGTTCGACAGGCGTGACTGATGAGATGCATGAGTGTGGCGCTTCGACGTGGTCTACTGTAGCCTCGCTCTCGGCAGAAGGATTCTCTTCCGTTGTAGGTGCCTTCTCCTCCGTTTCGGGGGCCTCTTGGGGTACAGCTTCGGTCACTGCTGTTTCGATCTTCTCATCTGCGGCCTTTTCTGCCACGGCAACACCGGGAGCCACTGGCTTGATGATTGTGACCGGGTCGCTGGTCAACTCGCGGTTCTCGATCGCAGCGATTGCGTCGGCCACAACAGTGTTTTGGTCTGCCATCCTGCTTGGGCTTGCTAAAATTTTGGGCAACAAAATCAAAATGGAGATGTCAATTATGTCTCTCAATTCAACTGAGCGATATTATCATAAATCTCCCGAATGCCCGTCATCGGAGAAGCATGATCTCTATTTAGGGCAGACAACTCTACCAGAGATATGGAGCCGGGTGCAGTTCAAACACGTACACCTACACGTAGCCGGATCGCCTGAGCAGAGTGACATGCCGGTATCATTTCAGTCAGATCTCTATTTGCCTGCATACAACTACCCAGCTTGGCAGGAGCGCGCGTCCTGATTTGTACTGGGAAGGCATAATCGCGGGCGTATGGCTATACTCTACGCGCAAACGGCGACAGGATTATGGAAACACCCCGAGCCGCTGACTTAGCAACTACAAATTTCGACCCTGGAAGATAGCCTGGAAGATAGGCGCGCTGGCTAAGCATTTCGTCTGCCGAAGCTGCATATATCCCCATCCACGTGCGTCGTGGGGGGTTCTACGGGCTAGGTAGTTCGGGTGCATTGGCGCCGGTACTGAGACCCAAGGGTCCGACCGAATGTTTTGTGTTGGCGCCTTTGTCACCATTACCAATGATGACTTGGAGATGCAAGACGACGACGACTTTGTCCACAATGTTTACTGCGAAACAGTCCGGTATGCATGTGCTTATCAGATCTCCATCAAGAAAACAATTCGAGTCGCTGCTCGGAGCAACGTGCCGACTCGCACACGTCTATCGTCTCATTGCAGCATGCAAATGGGACCCCTGGTCGGCACTCTTGCAGCCATCCGCCCCACCTAGCCTTATGACGAGATCTTCAAAAGGAGATCGAGCCCCGAGTCGACCGGCTTTTGTTCCTCATTTGAATGTGACTCGCATTGACCCTGTGGCCACCAGCATCGGGCGGCAGATCCGAGAGTAGAATGTAGCTTCCAGGCTTACGAATCCCAATGAATCTTTTACTCTAAACGCTGCGCGCGATGAACCGCAACGCCTACAACCTGCACTGAAGTATTCCTTTTCTTCCTAGTCCGGCATGCAAGAGCACGCCCACTGCGACATTATTTATTGCGCAATGTTTCGAGAACAAGAGAATTCCCCGACATTCGGATCAGCCTCCATGTGGAACTGATTCCATACGTCTGCCTGCTTGCGACAAACTGTTATCGTTGATTGAACCGCGCAACGCCCTCGCCCCGACTTCGCGTGTGATAATGCGTCCCAAATCTCAGGGTCGTGTTTGACTAGGCGCACAGGATGACGGAGTCACACTTTGGGCTAGCTTCATTGAGGCCATAATCATGCCATCAAAATTTGTCGTGGCCAAATATGTCTATGCTCTCTGCCAGTTCTGGCCGACACGATCATTGTCAATTGCTATGCATGCTCATTTCTTCCTGATTGATGCAATGAGACATAGTTGAACATTCATTCGCTCGACAAATTTAACATCTTCTCGCAACTGATAATCATGGCCGCGAAATCATTCAATGTCCTTGGCCTTTGCAATGGAAGCCTGCATGGGAATTCCGAGATCCTCCTAAAGGCTGCGCTCGATTCTCTCAAGTCATCTATTACGCGGCCCACAAAGGTATCATGGGTCCATGTTCCGTCGGTCGAAATACCTAGGAATCCTAAGCCCTTGAAGACTGCTGCCGACATCTCGCTCGGCAAGGTCACCTCAATGAAAGCAGGCGCCTCTTCGTCGCCAACTGAGGAACCGGCGGATGACAGGCTTGCGATTCTGGACGCCATTTTAGATGCTGATGCATTGATCTTTGCGACTCCTGTTTATTCGCACCAGCCACCGGGTTTCCTAAAAGCCGTGACAGACCGTATCATGGGGCCCTTTACGGATGCAGCATTCGTACAGCGTGTTTTGGAGCGCAAAGAGGCAGGCGACCCCAAGTTCAAGGATCAAGTCGCCGATGCCCGGGTGCTCAAGCCTAGAGTCGTGGGCTTCTTGGTTGTGGCCGGATCCAAGTACAGTGAGCATTACACAATGGCTTTGCCGACTCTACACCAATTTGTTTATCCCATCCACGCAAAGGTCGTGGACCAGATCATCTTTTCTGGGTTTGCCAGCCCCGGCTCGGTCATCTTCAAGGATGGCGGAAGTTGTGTTGAGCGGGCGAAGCTTCTGGGCAAGAATGTTGCAAGTCAGCTTGGGAAAAAGTTCGACGATGCCACTTATCTTGGCCCCAAGACAGAAGGATCATGCCCCTACTGCCATCTTTCGCAATTTGAGTTCATTGGAGGAACCACCAATGAGATTTGCTGTGTCATCTGTGGCATGAGGGGAACGTTGGTGGCCCAGGGCAACGCAATCAAGTCAGTCTGGTCATCAGACGCGAGCCAGAGTTGCATCACCATGGAAGGCAAATTCCTGCATGCTGACCATATCCAAGATGCGGGCATGGAGGAAGCGCAAGCTCGCCAGGCCTTTACGCCCCAAAAGCTCGAGACCGTTAAATCGGATTTGCTTGGTCTTGATATTCCGGTGCTACCATTGCCAAGCACAAAGCGATCACAAAATCTGAGCAAAAGCTCCAGCTTCTGCTCTGTGATGTAGGTGCATACTATGCAATATGACATTTCATGTTTCAAATCACATGTAATATAATTGAGAACATCTTAGTTCATAGAGTTTATACTATCTTGTTACCTTTTGTCATTTCTGATTCATTAGTTGTGCTTGATGTCCACAAAAACACTGTTTTGTAAATTTGATTCATGGTTTGGTCTCCGCACAATCCAATCGTCCACGCCAATTATCAATCACACCCGCTCTGATCTACCACCGTGGCTTCTCCAACCTTCATCACTAGCATTTGCTCAGCCCGTATCTGCTTTCTAGCTACGGATCCGTGTCGTTGAATCCAAAACACATTGTCTAATCATAGACATTTTCAAGCAATAATCAGCCATGATCAACTAGGCTTTGTCAATGCTTTCAAGGCAATGAATGCTAAATCCCCATTGCAGGACCTTGCTTGAATAACATGACAGTTCAAGGCATAAGCGTTTACCATAAATGATTCAAAAGAGTGACATGCCGCTAACTCATAATTGATTTCTAAATAATGAGATGTGTTGAAACAGGAATACGTTCGGTGTCCGACACTGCCATGTTGAAACTGGAAAAATGAGAAGAAGAAAAGACTTCCACGAGAATACTTTCGCAAGTATGTGATAACTGTGGAAACAGGTTCAAACTACTGTTAATTTGTGCGAATAGGGCCCTAAGGGTAAACTCACGAACACGAGCGTACGACCTATTATTTCTTAAGGCAATCGAATTGGCTGCCTACGTGCTGCAAGAAATAGTCCTGGCGTCTCAAAGCGGTCTCGTTTTCATTGGATCTCTGGCTGTCGCCCCTCGCTGACTCCGTATTGTCAGGTTTCTCTTCAAAAGGTAATTTATCAGAAGGAGAAGGATGTTCAACAATGATGCTAGACGGCGACTTGGCTCTGTGAGTTCTGTGTACAGTGAAAATCTCAATACAAATGAAGATGTGAAAGCTTTCGGTGTTGGTTCTACCTACTTGTGGCGCCTCGTGGTCTTGTCGGAAGCTTTGGTGGTAGAACATGGTGCTATGGTCGGCATGATGTCTCTTTCTGGGCGAGGCGTGTGATTGTCAACGACTGCTTATGTGTTGAGTGGCTGGACCATCTCGGGGAGATCCAGAGCACGGGAATTTTATGGACCTTTTGTAGACCATGGGAGGCAAATATTGCAGGTTTTATCTGAGATTTCGAATGCTGAGAGAATAGAGCGAATATCCGAATAACCATGATCCAGTCAGGCGTCAAAAGACGGAAGGCATCAACGTTCACATCCCGACCTGTTCGGCTAAGGGAAGTAGAATTGCATAGACTTTGCTGTCAGCCATCGTAGAAGTCGTAAGTCATACATAAAAGTCCTTCATCCCCCTTGATGAAAGATTGCCAAAGTAACATACGGTGCCATGATTGGGTGTTGTCATTTTGTAACCTTGGCATACGTCCCACAACCATGTTTATCCACGATTGATGGAGCGTAGTATTCCAGAGAAAATGGCATGGAACCTAGAGATTCGCGTCATTAGCCAATCCAAGTCATTCTTCCATGCTATTGAAAATTATCCCACCTTCAAAAAGGGATGAAAGGGCCAAGGCAAGCTAGGTGCCTACCTGCGTGGACTTCGCTTCTCCGCTCAGAAGTGTATGCCTTTCGGTACTCCAATCGCGATGTGGTGCCGTAGCTCGACACATTCCCTCCGTAATGATGTGGCTTCGATAACATTGCTGAATCTCTCTGACCGAAAATGCATGGCAACGGCTCGGGCACTCGGGCGAGACTGAGCATCCTCACTCCCGCTTCCAAGATGTGCGCGGCACGTACACCTAAGCGATTCCTTGTGCAACACCAAACATCGCTTCACTGGCCAGTGTCTTTTACCATAAGCGACTGGGTAACATCCCATTGGTCTAATGCCTTTATCTTGTTCGCGAATATACGCCAAGAACAAGCGGGAAAGAATTCTCTTAACCGCTGGCGGATGTTTTCAATACTGCTCGGTTCTTATGATGCTGCAGGTTGATGTTCTGTGTAGCATCGGTGACAGGCCAGATTCTCACAACACTGGTCATAACTACTTCGGTAATGTGATTTGCATCTTCATGCATGTTTCCATGACACACTTCACATGAGACTGGATGACTGTGCGCGCAGATATATCAATCTGAGCTTTATTCCCCTCGCCAATTTAGCCACAGTTGGGAGTAGAGCTTGTAGCTGAACAACTGGGAAGGGATCAAAAACATGACGTTAGCCATCAGCCATCCACGCGACAACATGTTGACCGATGTATGAATGACATGAATTTACTCTACTTGTTTTCCTCGCGACGATACATCAGTGGTATGCGCCAGGCAGGCTGTAGGGGCCAAAGGTGAGTGCACGTATGCCGAATGCCAAGTAGTGAAATAGTATATACTCATGCGACTGCTAATTGAAAAGACTGATGACCGCCCACGTAACGTTCAGGTCAAGCCATATGGTAATCGAGCTTAAGTCATCTCTATCTTCTAGAATTTAAGCCAAATTCTTCCAGCGCCCTGCTTCTAGGAAATATTAATCATGTGGTTTCGTTCCCTTTAATCATCAAAGCACTAAACTACAATTTGTAAAAAGAATTTCATCCAAATTCTACATTTCTGGCAGTTGAACACGCAAATACATTTCCTTGCCCTACACGTTTTTCCATCGCCTGTACCAATTCAGTAGGTACCTTCCAATTCACGTACACCACTTCTCCCCAGACGAAGATTTGCCAGCTTGGCCTTGTGATTAGGCCTTGGCGTTGGGATTGGATCTTGTCTCGAGACCAGCCCGGCCAATTTCCCGAGAAGCGTGGCTGTTCAGCCGGTTCATTTGCTGAACCAAGATATCCAAAGTGAATGTGGGATATGCTGCCGAGGAGGTGGACTTCGACCACGCGTAGAGGACCATTAGAACTTGAAACTGCATCTGCGATCGAGGTGGCTAGGGGCATGAAGTTCTCAGGACTTGGGTCACCGCGACTATCTGTGGCCGGTAATTCAAAGTTGGCCTTGGCTTCGGCTTTCTTGTCCACCCAGTCCACTGCATCTGAATCTGCAGAGTCAAAGTCATCATAAAATGTTTGCTCCGATTCGCTAGGAGAATCCCCATCGCTGACATCTTCTTCGTCAGAGGGAAGAGGTACAATGTCAAATACCCATTTGCCGTCAGGAGTGACCGAGGAGAGGTCAATATATACAGAGGCTAATGATGGTCCGAATCCTCCCTTGAACGCAACAGGTGATAGGGACCATTTTCCGCCAAAGTGTATGTCGCGCAATTCGGGAAGAGTAAAAGTTGTCTGGACAGCAGCGCTGAGACCGTCGTCGCGGCCATCTAGCACGAAGTTCTCCGGCCCTGTCTCTTCATTACGCGGATCCTTGTCGTGTAGAGTAATGTGCAGCATCCTGATGGAGGAAAGTGAAGGAAGCATTAACAAATGCGCAAGTGCTTCTCTGAAAGTTTGGCGCCGGGCTGCCATGCGTCGAGGGGGCATGGAAAACTCCCATGCTGCGCTCTCAAGGGCCGGAAGTGCTGTCGCCATGGCACAGACAAGGTCCGGATGAAGTCTTCGTCCTGACGCTTTACCAGAGTGGCAATCGAGTTTCAGAGTATTCAGGGCTGCAATGGCCCGAACTGAGGGGAGTTGTGCATTGGAAAGTACGGTGCCATTAAATGTAATGTACTGCAAGTCATTACGGCCTGGCTTGGCGTGGACACTACGAGAGCCGTCTCGAAGTGCGGCATCATCAGATGGTGAAGTGGCAGTGAGGTATAGATCAATACCCTCAACCTTCCAGGCACTGAGTATCGTGAATAGACTTGAAAGCGCGCGCGTAAAGGCAACCGCATTCTCTGCAGCCTCGGCGTTGCTCTGAAGTTTGTTCTGCAGCCGCTTGTCGCTCACGGGCGGAAGTATGACGTCGTAGTGGATGCTTCTAACCAATTCCTGCAAATCTGCATTGGAAAAGATTTCAACGAATTGCCGCAACGACTCGGCATCGCTGTTTAAACGTATCGAGGAGAAAGAGCGCAGTCCGATACAGTTCAGGACTATCTTGGAGACGCGTCCAGCTTCCAGTGAGGAAACAAAGTCAAGCGGGGCGTCGAAACTTGCCATTGATACCTGTGGTACGACTTTGAGGGCCAACTCGGGCACATTATGGTGCTACCTATGGAGAATGGATGCCACCTACAAGGACTGTTCGGAATTCTGGATCGAGTTTATGCTGCAAACAAACCTCGCAATCGTATTGGGTGTAACATGTATCAAAGGGACAGCTGCCAAAGAGCTGCAAGTCTAGAAAAGCCGCACGTTTATACTGCTATAGTGGGAAACTGCGGGGCACCACAAGCCTTGTAGTCCTTGTATAAGCGCTGTAAGCCTTTTGTAATAAAGGTCACTCATGAAGACAATACTACTCGTGAGAGCAACCATGCTCATGAGCCCCCTGGAAGCCTATTGCAAGTATTGTGACGATATTAATTCCATTGGGTATCTAACCGCGCGAGGCATGCTAACGCCGGTAAACAGCAACGCCATCCATCTTCAGAATGGTCGCTACAGGTCGCTAATTTTTTCTCTCCAAATGCAAGCCAAACTTTTACGACGCCCTACCCCTAGGAACCATTGATCGTGTGCTTTCGTTTGTCTTGTCATCGAAAAATTCGAGATTATCCGACTCGTGAATCGTATCGTAGACGGGGCCCTTCTTCAGACCCAAGCGTCCGATGGTGACCAGCTCGGTGGACTGGCCACTCTTCTTCTCCGAGTCTTCCTTTCGGAGTGGCTTGATGAGATGCCTCAGCATGGGCAGTGATCCAGCAATAATGGCAACGTCGCATTCAATGACTGTCCATTCAATGAGGTGACCAAGTCCGACGAGGTAGTTCGTGGTGGCAGTGTAGGCCGAAGAGTACGGGATTCTGACAATCGTAGCCACTGAAGAAAAGACACCGAGGCCCAGGACAAAAGAAACGGCAATCTTGATCTTGCGGGGCATTTGCAGTTTCCACAAAATGGCAATCGGCAGCAAGGCGACAGACCAATCCGTGCCAATATTGAGGCCCGAGACGACATAGGTCAGCGTAATGAGGACGCTCACGTCCATGCACTCTCCCGCGACCTCGCCCCACGACGCCGCCAGCGGTCGGCACTGGATCCAGACGCTGATGAGAGTGACAAAGGTGGTGAGAATCGTCACCACAATAATGCCGTAGAGAAAGTAGGTGTATCTTCGCTGGACCGAGAGCCGGATCAAGGTCATGCAAATGCTCGTCTTGATAAACACGGATCCGCCCATGTAGAATATTTGCCACAAGGTGACCATCTAAGGGGATATAACTGTTAGACGAGTCCTCGACATGTTCAAAGAGCATTGCCAAGGGGCCCACTGAGGGATACATACCTTCATGCCCTCCATGTACGTCGCACCGGTGGTTCCGTTTGGTATCGCACTATCTGGCGAAGCAATCCCGGTCCATGTGCCGTATGATACAATGGAGTTGTGTGCCATGTTGATGACCTAAGAATGGAGCGACACACAGGTCAGCAAGAAGCACTTCCCAAACTGTGGCATGAAACAGAAATAAGAACATTGTATACCCACATATCCAGTACACATTAGCCAGTCCTCGACCCCAAACGAGTTCCTCTTGAGACGACACCATATGCGCAACGTTATAATCACGGTGCACAGGATTGATAGTACAACCGTCAATGTGAATAGCCGTTCCGCCTCTCCCTCCGGCTGCATCCGTACCCATCCTGCTGGCGCCATGACTTTTTCCGGTTCGTGTCGACCAGTCTCGGATCTGTGGTAATTGCTGTTCCTTTTTATAGTCGTCGTTTTGTTTTGTGGTGAATGTATCGTAATTAGGTACCGGCCTCATTGAAATTCGTCAAACATAACACTCATGAAAATGCTTCGAAATCGCTCGCTTCTGGCTGGGAAAAGAAAAGACAAACAAATCAACAACAAAACCCGGCTTATTCGTGTTCGATCATACAGGACAACCAACTCATTGAACGAGTGTGTCGGTGTTGGCGGGTTGAGGCACGTGTGCGTATCATATAGTCCAAGTGTCCCGTCAGCATTGGGGTTGTCTGGGGGTGGGCAGGATTTTTGAAGACGGCCGCGGATCAGATTAAAGTAAAGAGATCGACCTCGCATCAAACTCGGGTGAAATCCCTATCCCCCATCTCTCGCTAGGACAATTTTTTTTTTCTTCTTTGGTCTGCGTTGTTGGACGGCTATTTTCAACCTTGGCACACGAAAAGGCCCCGGTCCCGTAACAGAACCTGGAGCCCGGTTGGATTCCCCGGGGGCGCTAGGTTATTAGATTTCCAGGACTGCCAGCAATTGCTAGTCAGCAGCTTTGAAATATCCCGGTAGCTCATAGGTGAGAATGGGGAAAGGAAAAACAAATGCATGACATACGCACATAGTTGTGCGTAATGTATTCTGTTTGTGTACCTGGGTATTGCCGTAGTATTCCGTAGCCGCAGTCACATGAAACATGTCGTGGACAGAGAATGACTGATTCACGGCCATGTAACTCCACATGATGGATAACGGTTGCTGTCCCATGCTAGCCACAGGATCTCGTGATTCTCGTGTAACGAAAGATTTGAACATTTTTGAATTTTTTGCATTTGGATGTATAGTTTGGCGTGTACGCCACTATATTCATCGTATCATGTAAAAGGCCATCTAAGAGCAAGAACCAGATCCAAGCTGAGCAGCCCTATACATTTCAGCACTACCTCTATGTAAGGGACCCTTGTGTAAAATCTAGGCGTTCAAAACGAAAGCAGGAAACTTGTGCTGCAGTTCATGAAGTTGGGAAAAATGTTGAAGCAGCGACTTGCAGCGACATCCGAAGAACTGGGAATGAATGGACAGCAAGTCTGTGCGTGCGTCTTTATGCCCACACGCGCGGATTAGTCAGTCCCGCATGTGCAAGCAAGCCTCAATGCCGCGAATGCAGTCCAATCAAAGGAAGGGAAGAGGAACAGAGCAAAGGGATGACACGGCCGACTTCAAGGGCAAGAGGGGCAATAGATTTACAGCTCAGACTCATCAGAGTCGTACGCGGAAGACCTCCGGAGCCCCAATATGATTATTATCATTATTACTACCACTTTTACTACCAGTCTACTGTGTACCACTGCCGGAGCCCCTCACCCCTCTCCATGGATTCAATTTTGCATCCTTCGCACGGCGTCGCCAAACAGCGGCCCTTTTACCATTCATTACTGTTGTTTGGGACTGTGCCCATGATTTCTCCACCATCGTGGGAATCGAGTCCACTGGGTGATCCCACTGCTAAGGAGAAAGCGGAATGTGCCTCGCCCGTTCCCACCTCTTTCGATCGCCGCCCGCGCCAACGCGCCGCGCCCTCTCTTCAGCGGGCCCTTCCGCTCGCTGCAACTAAGGACTACTGTATACAGACTAGACCGACTTTTCTTTCCCAGTTCTCGTTGTTTTACTTTACTCGATACACGATAGCGTCGAGCTCAGAGTGAAGCACTGAGGTGAGCCGTTGACGCCAAGTGGACCTGATGTGAATAATAAAACGGCCGATAAACCCGTAGTCTGGCTTTCAGGGCTGTTAGTTGGGCTTGGGGGGCTTAGGGCGCGATTCGCGCGCGCGTGTCGTGGTGTGTGTGCGTGCAATTCGATCACCGTAGTTGGCCAGCTTACGGTGAGCCCGAGTAAGTTGGAAGAGTCGAGATCTGTTGATCATGTTTTCCAGTCTTGTGTTTATTGAGTTGGTGCTCAGATGGATAGTAGATATTGATTCGACTATACACTTTATTTGGACTCATATTGCATCAACAATCAATTGACCCAAGCCCCGCCAAATCCCTTCAGCACCTCACAAGAATTGCACGTGGCTCGGCCGCACAGCCATGTTGCGGTGTGCATGCAGGGATTCTTTCAGGGCCGCATCTGCAGCAATATCAATTCCAATACTATGTCCTTGTACTATATGCAGCTGTCAACCAGCATGTTTTCAATCTCTTCGAAAGCTGGTAAAACTACTGCGCATACGTACTGGGGTGCATAATATTCTTCCTCAGCCCCCGGTCAGCATTACGTTCATCGAAAACCAGGATACCACGTATCGGCACCATGAACATAGTATCGTGTTTTCCGCCGCTTAACTAATACTGATCTGATGAAATTTTCTTACACATCAAATCAAGAGGCTTCTTAGCTCAGCACAGAAAGCAAGACTATAATAATCCATCAAGAGTCTAGATCTCGGGAGAAATCATCGACAATGCATAAATGTTGGGGGAACTCGATCGTGATGGCAGGGAGCTCCTAGCAATGGAAAAAGGACCCTTTGACCAAGCCGTTGCCTGGAATACATACAATCTCAAAGGTTGATCCCTCCTACGGAATTTGCCCCGCTTTTTCCGCCATGCTCAATGAGGGAAGATGCTGGAAGACGGGCAACCCATCACCACACACAACGATTCTGGCTTCATTGGCCAGCTACTTTCAAAAAGCTTCACTGACCCGCAGATCTTACTCATCTGAGTTACCGAACTGGTTTCTACATACATCTCCTGTTGCAACAGTAAAGACACAAGAGTAGGGCCGAGGGGACAGCAGGACCGGGGCTCCTGAAATTATAGACTCCTCTCACTCTGATCACGGGAGGAATGAAGATCATTCAAATGCAATAAGAACTTTAGCAGGGGGATCGATCAAAGTGGGCTTTGTTTTTGGCGGTGTTCGAGAAGGACAGTACCGGAGCCTCATTAGGGGAAGTGTGCGAGGTGTTCAGAGCACCAAAGAAAGCTGCACACCCATGAAATGTAGTATAGATGCCCAACGGCCATGCATACTGCAGATCTGTGCAGTAGCATGTTGGATACCTCTTGAACGATGGCTCAGACTGCTACACAGTACTTGTCCTGCAACATGATACATACTCTGCGTACCCAAGTCAGGGTCCTGCATTCACCCAGGTCGCCAGGCACATTGAAAAGTGCTCACGGGTCTCCAACTGGTTACAAGGAGAACTCCACTCAGCCCATATTTCCTCTTGATTCGTCCGCTGGATCGAATCACTTTGCACGACCCCTGAGCATGAAGATATACCGTCCGCCATAAAATACCGGGGCCACTTCTGCAATACTCCAGAATGAAGCGGGGGGCGGTCAAGGAGGTATCGCGAGACGACAAGTATGCAAGAGTCCCTATTTCACCAGCCAAATCTTGTCGGATATTTTTTTCCCTGTTGCATATAAATCCTTGTTCTGTTTTGTCAATTCAATTCCTGGTGAAACACAGTCCTCGCCAGTTAAACTTTACACAAATCTTTCATTACTAGCCGAGTTCCTAGTAATATTCATACACATTAATCAACATGTCTGCTTGGGACGTCAAGGGCAAGGTCGCCATCGTTACCGGTGGTGGCAGTGGTACGTCATCATGGGACTCTCTGCTGCTACTGCTTGTGGAAGCAGGAATCAGAACCATGTACTCTGTAACCGAAGCTGACATTATTTACCTCAGGTATCAACCATGCCTTCGTGGAGGTCCTCCTGAATGCAGGCTGCTCCGTCATCGTGGCTGACATTAACCTGCGGCCCGAGGCCGAGGCCACCCTGGCTGCGTACCCTCACCCTGCCAAGCAGGAGGGTTCTCCCTCTGCCGTCTTCAAGAAGACGGACCAGAGCAACTGGGCACAGCTGAACGAGATGTGGGACTTTAGTTTGAAGACGTTTGGCCGGGTCGACCTCGTGTGCCCCGGCGCCGGCATCTGGGAGCCCCCGTCTTCCAACTTCTGGATCCCCCCTGGCACCTCGGACATTGCCAAGGACGACCCCAACGCGGCCGTCGGTCAGTGGTACACCTTTGCCGTCAACACGACCGGACCCCTGCGCCTGGCCCAGTTGGCCTTCAAGTACTGGATCGAGAACAAGATCCAGGGCAACTTCCTCTTTGTGGCCTCCATGGGCGGCTACTGCGAGACGGTCAGCACACCCCTCTACTACGCCAGCAAGGCCGCCCTGCTGAGCGCCACCAAGTCGTTTGCCCAGATGCGCCAGCGCCTGGGCATCCGCGTGGCGGCCGTCTGCCCCGGCCCGTGCTACACGCCGCTGTTCCTGCCCGAGTGGGCCGCGGCCAAGGTCCGCCCGACCGACTTTACCATGACGCCCAAGGAGTGCGCCGAGACCATGCTCAAGGTCGCCTCGGAGCCCCAGTACGGCGACGGCAACATCATCGAGGTCATGATGATGGGCACCCGCGAGGCCCCCCGCCTCAACGTCCGCCACGTCCCCTACGACAAGCTGCTGCCCGAGGGCGTCGGTACCCTCGGCGACGACAACAACATCATCAAGGAGGAGGAGAAGCTCTGGGCTCACCTGCCAGTCAACGGCATGACCCCTATGTAAAGAGAGAAAAAAATAGATGATGAAAATGAATGAGATTACGAAAAGAAATCAACTTTAATCGGATTCCGCATTATAGGAAGTCCGCCTTGTTAGAGGCATTTCATAGAGACCAAGATCAAATAGATCCCCGTTAAAGTCAGTAGCACCATCTAACTACCTCAATATGATTAATGCTAGTGAAATCTGTGATTTTATGAATGTATCTATTCTAATGCTTCCTTGAATAAACGCAGCCATTTTTGGCAAAGTGCATGTTCAGGTACTTTCGTAGATTGGTTATTTGAAATGGTCTTTGAGCATCACCGTCAGATTGGCAGCTGAGACCTCTGTAATGTAGCAGCACTTGCCATGTCTCAGGACAATGTTCGCCTACCGTTTGACCGAGCGACGATCATCTTCCTTCTCTGGGACTCTAGGAGTTTTGCCCTGGTCCACGTTTCTGTCGCCTATGCTCCGAAGGATTCGACATGGTACCAAAGATGCTTACAGACCGGCCTCAAGCTGTCGCCCAAGCCGTCTCTAAAGTCGAAAAGATCAGACGAGTACTGTTGGTACTGGAATTTATTATTAGCAATTCAAGCTATTTTTACATGCCATTATGTAGAGCTTGTTAACACCTGGTAGAGTTTAGTGGTCGGCTTCTACAGCACAGGCCATGCAACTCGCAGGTACCAGCTGTCTGTATTCCCAGCATTGAAATAGTATATTTCTGGATCAAGACAGATTGTATAAAAATTCATTTGACACCTCGAGGTCACACATTGAAGAAGTACCGCTGTTCGTGCCCCTATGTCCACTTGCGTTATTGCGTGTTATTCTGCGATGGTCGGACTGACTATACCCAAACCAATGAGAAAGAGTATACAGCGAGAACCGAAGCCACTAACCAACCAAGCAGGAATTCATACAGATTTTGTGTAATTTGAACATGACTATGGATTTTGACTATTGGCTCATATTTCCAGCTACGGCGTTTGTTTGGGCATTGCGGGTTGGCGGGTACCCTCGCCTTCGAACGAATGCAACGTCCAAGGGATGATCCCAGTGCTGACTGGGTCCATACTCCGAGTCGCTATTCGATGATACTCACATTGCCTCGTATGCACCCTTCCGGCGCAAACCTATACCGCCGGAAGTCTTAATCAGCGTCCCGAACATGCTACAAGCGAATGCGGGCATATTCAAAGAACACCATCCATCGCCTCAACTTCATTCATGCTTTTGAGGCGGCAGCTGAGTATTGTCCACGGCTTTCCTTGAACAGATCTGGTCTTTATTCAGGCGCATCGCAGCGTCCCACAAAGCCCAATGGCGGAGTGTCACTGTCGGTGTATATCATGCATAACTCATGATGGTATTCAATTGAACCACCGCCTATCATACATGACTAAGCAGTTTACTATATGGTATGATCGCCTTGAGTCTTGTATTGGACTGGCCAAGATCATCGACTCTGCTACCAGAGAGAAAACCCCATCGGGAAAGGCTTTGGTGGTTCGATGGGGTCGAGATCTCATGGTAGTTTTCAATGCATGTTATTCAGGCCCAACAGTAATAGGGGCGCCTGTACATACTACGCTGGTGATATCTTATATATGTGTCCACGAATAATTTCCATATACCTTTTTCCTGTGTGACTTGACAGCAGCCACCCACAGTTTGTGGAATCTCCCTGTGGGCGCATCAATGTAGATTTCATAGAGTATCGCTCAAGTAAAAGTCAGCATCGGTAGCCAGGGCCGGTTGCTTTATGAGACGATGGTCTCACTTCTCAAAATTTGACATAGCGAACCTCTTTCCGCTTCCCTTCGCCTCGGATTGTCGGCAAATATTCAAGGGTACTTTCAATGGTGCGCATCGAAATGTGTATGTATTGTAGGATGGTATAGGGAAACTGAGTTGCGAGCATCTCACCCGTCCCTTTCTAAATCAGCGCCAGGTTCAACCTTATTTCCAACTCGAGGAGACCGACACTCGCGACACATTGGAGGCCAAGACTTTCCCGCCATCTTTTTTGCAAGTCCTTTGATTCAGTTTGTAATTAGCCAAGACCTCAATTCATATATCTTACTGCCGCCACCAACTTCCACTATATCACTTCCCGTGCGAACCGTAAACGTCACACTTCGGGATGTTCAGCTGTGTGTCATAAGCTTTTGTATATGTAAACTCACGGCTCGACATGGCATAGTATAGTTGACATTTCGAGTCCGTTCCCCGGATTGAATTAAGGTTCCGTATGATTAGTTGTCTCGTTTGGCTACAAAAGATAAAGGACTGGTGGCACTATACCAATTGGTTCAAGTATTATGCTACAAAAGCAGTAAATTCTCATCTTCATATTAAATGCTGAGTGTGGTCCGGGGAAATGAGTTACTGCCTGTCTCAACAACCCCTTTCCAATGCTGGCCAGTCCACAAAGCCAATAATTCTACCATGATGAAATCGACAATTCTTGAACTTTTCTTGTGGTGTATTGTCGCGTCGTCTGTAGCGGCGCGATTTGGCCAGCCTCAACACCAGACTTCTAAGTACAATGACGAGCATGACTTGGACTTCTCAGATGAAAGCAATCTAGGTTATGCCTCCCAGACAGATGCAATTGATGCGTATGAGGCGAAGGGTCACAAAGGTTCTGAAGGCTTCGGTCACGGCAAAGGTCCCCATCGTGGTCATAACGAATTCCAGGCCCATTCAGGCCACGATTGGTCGTATCGCGGTGGCTCGCATGGTCACGAAGCGCATCCTAAATACGGTAATGAGGACTATGGTAGCAAGGGAAGCGGTGGTTATCACGCCAAACCTTTCCATGATGCATATGATTACGGCAACGACAAACTCAATGGCAATAGCTATAAGCATGCCGGATTGACAGGAGCCTACCCTCAACCGACCGAATCAGAGTCTACAGAGCCTACAGAGCCTACATCAACGGACACTGGAACAATCTCACCAGGTCCCGACTCAACCTCGACAACGCCCACGACGGATACAAGTACTAGCAGCACGACGTCGTTGGCTCCAACGTTCACTGAAATCCTCTGTCCAGAAGTCGACCTGCAATGCGTAGACAACTTTTATGTAGGATGCTCAAAGAAGTTCAACCAGATCAACCCATCGCAGCAGTCCAGAACCAAGATCGAAGGAGTGCAAGACGCGCGGATATGCCACCAACGATGTCTAGACGACCCAACTTGCACAGCATGGGAAGACTCGGATATGCCATACGGCCAGTACGGAGAATGCTACCACCACCACGAAGTTATTACTCTCAACCTCACTGCGCCCTACGTCGCGTCCTCCCTTGGAGTAGACTCTTTCGGCGTTCGAAACTATTGCCAACTGTCCCCGGGCCCCCTGGATCCCATACCGCCTCCCTTTGCGCCGGCGACCACCACCGTGGTCACCATCCCCACCTCGTCATCAAGCGATCTTTGTCCGTCTTTTGACAACCAGTGCCTCAATGGCCTCAGCATATTCTGCGATAGATCCCTCACCTCGGACGCCGTACCTAACCCCTTCTTTGGCTGCTCGATTCAGTTCGACATCACGACTGAGCGCCAATGCCACGAGGCGTGCGCGGCCAACAGGCCCGCCTGTCGCGGCTGGCAAGTGTACCCCGACGGCGACTGCTGCCACATTACGGAAGGATTCGTCTCCCCAATGAACCCGCTGCCGCCAAAGACGCCAGATACGGTTGGGTACTCCTTTGCCAGCAACCAGGGATGTACGACCACGGCGGATGACATCCTGTGTGGCGAGGACCAGTGTACAGATGGTATCCGCGTCCAATGTCGCCGAGACTTGAGCACGGATGCGGCCACGGGCATCAGCGATGCCGTGGGAACTCCTAATGTCAGGACGGTCCTGGCGTGCCAGCAGGCCTGCGCCGAAGACGACATGTGCCATGCTTGGTACGGCTACATCATTGAAAATGAATTCGACAGCGGGCTTTTCAGTTACTCATTTGGTTGTTTCCGTCTACTCAATCGCACGATTACACTGAGGTCAGATCGACCTGCGGGACCTCCGAATACGCTTTTCGCTACCTACTATGGGATCAAAGGGCTTTGTTGATAAACGTACCTACCTAGGTAGATGTTGGTGTTATTGATTTCCCACATTTTGTTGGGAGCTGATGATGGACTGTTCTTCAACTTGGCCTTGAAGGTGCCAGTGGCTATTGACATAGCATCTCAAGACGCTCGGAAGCGCATGGCCATCATGTACTACTTCTAATGCAATAAATCCGTTTACGAGCAATCTGCAAATGACCCATTGTATCTGATTTCCCACTATATTTTATTTCTACATGCTTCAGACCAGCACTGCCAGTCTTTGTTGAATACACCCAGCCAAAACGCCTTGCTCACAATAACCCACAGAATGGTCGAACACGACCCACATATCAAATCTACAATGCTTCAACAGCTTTGAAGAATGGGTTCGCGAGCAAGCGCTGGTCATTCTTCACGAGGTCTCTCATCTTGGCGACCATCTCCTCCTTGCTCATACTGCCTCCCTGGACCTGATCTTTCCATTTGACGAGAACTTCTTTGAGCAAAGCACTACCTTCCTCAACATCCTCCTTACTATAACCTACGCCCAACCCGTTTTGTTCATGCTTGCCAGTAAAGTCCTCGAGCTCGTCGGCCTTGCGCTTGGCCATGCGAACGACCTTATCGGGGAAACGGACAAGTTCTGCGACATGAATGCCGAAACTCTGGTCGCAAATGCCTGGCTCGACCTTGTACAGGAGCGTGACCTCGCGCTTATCGGCAGTAGAGTCGGTGCCAGAAATGTGCGCCGTAACGTGCAGATTACGAACTTGGGAGTAGGTGTCGGCAAGTGCAGTCAACTCGTGAAAGTGTGTTGCGAACATAGCAGAACACCCAATCTCCTTGACAATATGCTCTGAAATAGCCCAGGCGAGACCAAAGCCATCGTACGTGGAAGTACCACGACCCAACTCATCAATAATAATCAGCGATTCGGCCGTCGCGGATTTGAGAATGTTTGCAGTCTCGAGCATTTCGGCCATGAATGTCGACACGCCCTTCAGCTGAGAGTCACTGGCACCGACACGGGCCAGAATTGAATCGAAAATGGTGAGCTCGGCCTCGGTGCAAGGTACAAAACAGCCGATTTGTGCCATCAGAGCAATGACACCAATCTGGCGAATGTACGTAGATTTACCACCCATATTGGGACCGGTGATGATGAGGAAAGACGACGAGTCCCGGACTAGCTCCACATCGTTGGTGATGAACTGAATGTCGTCCTGCATCTCCAAGCAAGGATGACGCGCTTCCTTGAGCACAGTCTGGCCTTCGCCACGAGGATGAATTTGGGGGCGTACATAGGATGTAGGGGCGTGGACAGAGCAGTGAGCGAACGAGACGATAACATCGAGATGAGCAAGTACGCCTGCCAACCGCTCAATAACAGGACAGTACGATGCGGCCACGGTCACAACTTCATTGACCAGACTGCTCTGGGTTCTGTTGTAGTTTTGAGACAGTTGGTCAAACTCGCGCCGAAGAGCCTGTAGCGTTTTCGTGGTGAAGTATACACCGTTCTTCTGGGTCGAACATTCCTGGTACTTGGACTTGTTGCGTATGCATCCGGCCTCGGTTCGCGTCAGGCGCATACACCAGCCGTGCACTTTATGATTCTCCATGAATATCTTCTTGTTCTCTTCTTGGCCGAGGTCGTCTGCGGCATCCCGAAACTCCCGGTCCATGTCAGATCGCAACTTGTCCAATCGCTTGCGAATGACCCGCAACTGGTCATCAAACTCGGGCTTGATGATGAATTCATGGTTGTCCAGAGCATCGAGATCCACGGTTGTCTCCACCATCTCAGCAAGCTTTCCGAGACTATCGGATAGTTCCCGCAGCTTGATGGTATATGCTTGGTCTAGAGGATCTTTGTATTGCTCATCCATGACTGCTTCGAACGTGCCGAGGAACCCTGGTAACCGAATAACGACTTGGTAGGCTCTCACAACATCCTCAAGATTGGCCTTGTTTCTCTGGAAGCGGTTTGCCAGACGGTACAGATCAGGGATAGACTTCAGATGCTCCTCTTGGATAGTCTGTCGTAGTTCTGTGTCATTTGCAAACGCCTCGACCAATTCGAGACGCTTTTCAATCTCGTCCCTGTTCATCAGGGGCTGTTTGAGCCACTGGGACAGCAAGCGACTCCCAACGGGTGTTTTGCAGTGGTTGAGCAGACCGTACAAGCTCATACTCTTGACACCATCACGCGCCCCGGGCATGAGGTTCAGGGCCTTCAGCGCGGCAGCGTCCAGTTTCATAAACTGCGCCAAGTCGTGCTGGTAGAGCTGATATTGGCCAAAGTTGGAAGGGTCCTGCATCACACTGAGATACTTGATCAGAGCTGCGGCCGAGCCCATGGCGAGCTTCAGGTCAGTTTGAGGCAGCAAGCTGGCAGACCGCTCATCCTTTAGCAATCTTGCCAGGTCCTGCTCAATATCTTTGATGCCAAAGTCGCCGGCGGGTCTTTCGGATATGGCGACTCCGCAATTGTCAATGATCTGCTTAAGCTTGGAGAGTTCAGGGTCCTTTTCCTTTTCAGACTTGTCGAATTGCAGCAGACATTCCTTGACGCCCAGTTGAATGAGCAAAGCCTCAAAGTTGGAGTAGAGGTCGTTGTCGAGGAACTCGCTCACACCCAACTCCCGTACACTGGCATCTGCAAAGCAAACTCCGACGCTCCTCGCCTCGGTCTGTTTGGCCGATATCTTGACAGCCAGAATCATGGGTGCCGACTCAAAGTGTTGGCCCAATTCGTCCTCGACATCTTGGAGATTACCAGGGGACGCCTGTTTCACAATCTTCCAATTCATGCGTCCGCCGCTGCTGGCATATATCTGTACCCTCTTGCCGAGCTTGAAGAGCGCTTCTCGAAGGAATTGTCTAAATACTGTGATGGTCATGGTGACCGACGGTAAACCGCTCGCATCGTTTCGGCCGAGTTGTCGGACTACCGACGTTGTCTTGTACACCTGGAAGTTGAATATGTTAGCGACAATATTTTACTACGAAGTATAAGCGCAATGGACCATCATACTGTTCTCGCAATGAAATTTGCATCTTCGCCATGGGCCGTATACCAATCGCCTCTGTCGAATATCCTGACGGTTTCATCTGTGACGGTGGGTAGGGACTTGAAGTAACGAATGAACCCAGTCTCGTCCTCGACCTTGAGCTCGGGCCGGGACGACATTCTGCTTCAACTTTTGTCTTTCTCTTTGTATGAATTGAATCAAACGGTATCAAGTCTGCATTCAATCCTGGATACTTAACATAGAAAGACGTCGACCAAGTGTATCGCCAGATTTTGGGATTTTTGTCGGGAAAAGGTAGGTACAGGCCAGTCGCGTCTCTTCGGCAATCAATTAAAGCTTCTGGGGCGGGGAGACGCGCCTCTAGTCTAGCACGCGAATCCCTGCAGCAGCTGCATTAGAGTCCCCTAAAATTCTGACCAGGCTCTTTTGGAGCTCTAGCATTAGCAGATCAACCCCACCAACAACCTGGAAGCTGCGAACGTCACCGTGCCAAATTTTTCGGCTTTTTTTTTTTTTTTTTGGGCTTACGGGTTTGATATGAAATAGCTTTCTTCCACCAACAACTTGCGTGCAATTCGTGTCGCAATGGAACAAACAACCTCGGGTGGCCTCGAGACGCTTGCGGCGGAGAAGTCTGAAATTCAGGCACAGGATCAACAAGATCATATCCCAGCGATCCAATCCCTCGCAAGCAATGGCGCATCCGAAGAAGCCAACCGGGGGCTGAAGCGGGCGGCCGAAGATGAGGCTGGAGACGAACAGCAAGAGGCCGACGAGTCGCAAGAAGTGCAGATTACGACCGAGGGCGATGCCGCCGACAAGCCGCTGTCCAAGAACCAGCAGCGAAAGCTCAAGCGCCAAAAGATGTGGGAAGAGAAGAAGCAGGACCGAGCTCTCAAGCGCAAGGAGAAGAGACACACTGCGCAGGAGCGCAGGCGATTGGAACGCGAGGAAGAGATCGCCAAGGCCGCCGAGGAGGGTCGCGAGCCTGTGCTACAAAGGAAGGAACGAAACCGAGACCCCAAGAAAAAGACTCAGGTGCCTGTGTCCATTATTATCGACTGCCAGTTCGAGGACAAGATGTTTGAAAAAGAGCAAATCTCACTCTCCAGCCAAGTCACAAGATCATATTCTGACAATCGCATGGCCCAACACCCCGTGCACCTCACGGTCAGCTCGTGGGGAGGCAAATTAGAAGAGCGGTTCGACAGCACGCTTAGAGCACAATACAAGCAGTGGAAAGGCGTCAATTTTGCCAGGGAGGACTTTGTAGGCGCAGCAAAGGTTGCTGCAGAGATAATGTCTGGCGAACAAGGCGGTACCGTCATCGACGTGCTGAAACCCAATGAGTCGGGCGACTCTCTTTTCTTGGGCGAGATGGCGCCGACTGGCAAGGCAAAGAAGAATGACCCAACACCACAACCCGAGCCGGAAGCCGAGGATGTCGACAAGTCCATTGTCTACCTCACTGCTGATTCCCCATACGTTTTGGATCGCTTGGAGCCCAACACGAGCTATGTGATAGGTGGTATCATTGATCGCAACCGACACAAGGGTTTGTGCTACAAGGTGGCAAGAGAGAGAAATGTCCGGACGGCCAAGCTGCCGATCGGCGAGTTCATGGTCCTACATGACCGACATGTGTTGGCGACGAATCACGTAGTGGAAATCATGCTCCGGTGGTTGGAATTGGGCGATTGGGGTGCCGCTTTCATGCAAGTAATTCCGACCCGCAAAGGCGGAAAGCTGAAGGACGATGTCGAAGGCTCAGAAGCTGCAGTTGACGACCAGGATCAGGAAGAGGCCGAAGCTGACGTAGCCGCCGAAGCTGATGCAGCCGCAGAAGAAGCTGCTGCTGTCGACGTCGAGGCCTAGACCTGAGATGTGGTCGTTCGGTTGCGCTACAATTTCGCTTCTGCAAGAGTACAATTCAAAATAAATTAAGATACCCTTTTCCCTTGGGCTTTATACTCCCACACTATCTTATGTACAAATTAATCATGGCAGTTACCCCATGTCCTGTATTGCCTTTGTTCCGTTTGTCAAGGTGATTGGGAAAAGAGAGGTTGACAATCATATAGTGCCTATGCGATTCGTGTGTAAACGAGAAGCGCGGACTGTGCTCATTTTATCGCTTGACAAAATCATAGCAGGACTGCCTTGAGCGCCCAACTGATCAAGATTACCATCAGAAGCGATAATAGCCTTACTGGGTTAAGACTGCTTTGAGCAGGCATATGGGGGATGCTGCGTTTCTGCAACTTGGATTGGCTCTGAATTTACACTGCCACCGCCAATAAGACTTCGCGTCACCACTTCACTTACAGGGAGGCGACTCGGCAGAGCCTTACAAGGCATACTGCGAGAGGGGTAATTTGCCTTCTTCACCAATCTTTTCCTGGTCTCTTGAACACCTTTGTTTTCAATCTTTTCGAGATCAAGATCAATTTCAGTACTGCCATCACTTCGGTCGGCATTTGATACGTATTTTTGTCGATCTATCACAAAACGGTCAAAGCATCGAATATCGTGTGCGAATCTCACCGGCACCTCGCCCAAGCCAGCCGCTGCCAACATGCCTTGTGTACTTTGGTAGAGTCAACCATGACGAAGCGTGGTTCCTCCATCTGTGGCAACCATGGATCCGACAAGTGCACTGGGTGCAGCTGCAGCAAGCGCACAATTCCTTGGCTATGGCGTCAAAGGTCTGATCTACGCCGCTCGGCTTCTTCGTGACATCAAGGGAGCACCCGATGATAGCCTACGGATCGTTGCACGACTGGAAAAAGAGATCGCGTCCATGACAAGGCTGTTGTCTTCAGATTCCTCAACATTCTCTCAGTTCACGACAGCACAGTATGTGCACATTGCCCCTTGGGCCCTCGAGGCCAGGAAAGCATTGGACGAGGCCAACAAAATTTTGGCCCCGCTCTCATCTCAGTTGGACGGATTGAGAAAAGAAGAGGGCGCTGGAAAACGTCTGTTGCAGGCATGGAAGTCGATCTTGACGGTGAAGGCCATGCGAGAGGTCAAGAAACAGCTGGACACGATCCAAACGCTGAACGTTAGCCTCGTGCGCGAGTTGCATGTAGCTGGCTTTGAAACACAATATCTTCTGCGGTGAGTCGATCATCATAAGATCGCACTAGACTTGTTAGGATTTATTCTGATCCGAAATCTTATGGCAGTGAGCAAAGTGCCGAAGCTCTCGCCAAGGTCACTGAAATCGCCACGGTGAACAATGAGCTACAGCAAAGCATAGGCAACCTAAGCAGCCAATATGACAAAACCAGCGAGATGCTGATGGCATCCTCTGACTTAGTAGCGAGCGGTGTTGAGATGCTAAATCAAGCCAATCAGGACCATCAGGTTATCATGACACAAGCCATCTCTTCTATCGGCAATGAGATATCCGCAGTCAGGAGGGGAATGCAAACAGTCGATGAGAACAGCAGAACTCTGAACCTGTCAATGAAAAGTATCGAGACAACTGTGATCGATCAAACCCTCCTCTTGGAAACACAACTGGAGAATTTCATTCGCATACAGGGTGATGAGAACCAGAGGGTCCTCGTCGTAGAGATGAAGAAGATGCTCGTCACTGAATTGGTGGCTACAGTAAATCATTTCGCGAGAGATAACCTGGTTTCCACCAAGCCCAAGGACTCTATATCCCAGCCGAGTGTTGTTGCCAAAAGCACAAATTCCAGTCACACAACTAGGAGCTCTAGCTCTTTAAGATGCTTGTGCAAGCGTGGTAAAATATCAACAAGCAAGAGATACGGGCTATTCAGATTCAAGATCGACCACCAGAGCAGCCAATTATGCCCGCTCCACGGAAAGATCGCTCAGCATAGTTATTCGATCGAAACCCGGCTGAGTCCGTGGCTCAACGGTGCTTTGGAACTGACCCTCGGTGCACTGTGTTCAAATTCGTCTTGGTCTATTTTGCCGTCTCTCAGATTTCACGGAACTGTCAAAAGATCAGAAAGTCCAATCTATCAGCTTTTTGATAATCTTTATAAGATCTTACCTTATGACGGTGGCTCAGGAATTAGATTGTACAGGAGCAGACCAGATTACAGGAGCAGACCAGATTACAGGAGCAGACCAGATGCCGGGGAACTCTTGTCCGATTTGATATTTGGCATCAAACAAGCCGTCACATCAGGATCAGCCTCGTGCAGCGATGTGGATGAAAACGGTAAAAGTCTACTGACGGTAAGTTAGTGCCCATCGCACATATGCCGCTGGCTAACAAACAAAAAGGAAACAGCCAATCTGATGGTATTAATGAAAATTTCCGAAATTTCTGGTGAAATTTCCACATTGTTGGAAATGTCCCGGAAGGCCGAGCTCGATCCAGCAGCGAGTATGAGAGGCTACTTTGGGAACGGATTCGACATCAAAATTTTTGAATTTATCTTTTTATTCCGCTCGCACATATACATTCTCAACACATCATTGTACAACACAATTATCCAGTATGAGGAAATGGCCGAATCGTTTCAGACGCGTTATCGCAAGGTCAAGGATGGAGAGGGTAAGATATTGATGCAAAAGTGGATTACTGGGGATCCTGATTTCGCAGCAGGTAAGCAATGTGATCATTCACATGTGGTTCTTCGAATTCTTAGTAGTTGGGAAGGCCAACTTGACTCCGCTCCGTGCATCATGAGCTGTCTAGTCTTTATCGTTCGTATGTTCCGCCAGTGCTGATTTATTGACAGCGGCGGGTCATGGAGACCCCTTGCAACAGGCAGTCCTTCGGCGATCGTTTGATGGATTAAAAGGGCATTTCCGCAATGATAAAAAGTACGACGGCCAATCTGAGGATCATGTCAGCCTGCTTGTCATGGCAGTTGGCTGGCTAGAGGGACTTCAATACTTGATTGAGCACCAAAATCACCTTGATTTGGAAGCAGCATTATCATATGCTGCATCGCAAAATGCTGCAGAATCTCTAGAGATTATTCTTTCCGCTAATAGCACGAAGCTATTCACTTTGGAACATCTCTTACCGGGGGCTTATCCTGGGCATTTCTATCCAGCACTTCTCCACACATCTGTGAGCGACCTATCTTCATTTCGACGAGCAGTCGAAGAACTGCGGTATCGAAACGACGATTTCAGACACGCCTTGCTGGATTTATTCCGTGTTCCGCTGGAATCGCCGCCGTCAAGGCATAACATATGGGTGCGGGATTTTACTTACAACAACTATGAGTTCCATGATCTCCTCACGCAAAAGTTGCGGAACCCTGAATGTCTCGATGAGCTTGATCCTTTCATTTCAGCATCTCTATACTACGTGACATTCGACAATTTCTCCTCCAACCACATGTATTATCAAGCCCTTTTCGACGCTGGCTTTGTGCATACAGATACTCTATGTGGACGCATCGGCACCCCCCTAGCTTGGCTCTGTCAACAATCACATGGAGTTTCAATACTCGACAATGTAGAGAAATGGCACAAGGGAGTCTGGTGGTTTTTGTCGAAAGGGGCCAACCGCAGCTTCTGGTTTTGGAGAGGAAAAGAGACTGGAATGGACTGGTCGCATTTGCAGTTCTATGTGGCTGCTACCATGGAGCATGGTTATTATTCTCCTCGCAAACTTTTGAGATATTGTGGGCAGGAATACGTTCAGGATGGTTGTTTCTGTCCTTGTTCTTCTGGGGGTTGCATTCCACCATTCAAATTTTGGCGAGACTGCGAGGCGGTTGGGCATGAGCATTGTCGAGACCGGCTGAGTCGTCGCTGGACAGATTTGACAGACTGGACAAATTGGCTCAATTACTCCGCATCGCAAAAGGAACACACCTACCGCGAGGTATGTCGGCTTGAATTGTTCGATCGCCTTGGTCTGAAGCATCGCTGCTGCATGGGTTCATCAGATAATTATCAAGAACGTGAGCTCTTTCGGCAAGAAGATGCAAGGTCGGAAAATCAACTGGAGCTATTGATGAGATTCTATAGAAGTGTTCGGCGACTTCTCCTCGATCAGCCAGTAGAACGATTCTGGTCAATTTGGTGGGCCACAGTCGACGTTGTGGTTCTGCCATTGCTACCTGTGGAAGCCTGCACATGGCCGCATTTTGCCTTGGGAGAGACGGAAGGTGGTTGGCCCACCGATGATGCTGTGGAAAGTTTCAAGAACAGAATAGCGATCGCCAGAGAGGATCGGTGGGCTGAATTGCTTGAATCAAACGGCTACAAGGATTGGGATTATGACGATGTGATCAAGGCCCATTTCGCGCAATTATTGCAGAGAGCAAAAGAGCACAAACAAAGGAAACAATCATGGAAGCGGCATCGCCTGGTGCTGAAACCGAGATTCGTCGGCCGGAAACATCGAGGTATTTCGAAAGACAGGACAGACAACGAGTGGCAGTGGGTTTCCGACTCTGATGATGAATGGGTATAGATGCTGTACATGAGGATACAGGTTTCTAAAGAATGAAAATTTGCAGCACGGGACTTGGAGACACTGTCATATATGATAGTGCAACCATCATTGGGAACAGTCTTGTTTATTTCGCCAGTGGATTGGCATCAAGACCGATAAAGCACAAAGATTGATACACGTGCATTATGGCTTGACCACCTCCTGTCACGCTGTGGTGCAACAAATGGTCCACAATATATCTCCTGATGGCAATTGTATCTATCTGGTTTTGCCAGTGTACATGTCGGTTTATACTGAGTCTAAAGTCATTTCGCGTAACCCCAAGCCGCCCAAGCTGCACCAACTGCAAGTAGCCAAGGTGCCGAGACCTTGATACTCTTGACGATAAAAGTGTTTTCTCTTGCCCTCGACTCCTTACTATTTTCCTGCTTCTCATTCGCACTTGGAAACTCCTCATTCGGCACATTGACACCCAAAAACGCACAAAGAGGCTCCCAGCCAGAACCCAACTTGTACTCTAGCCTCCTCTCCAGCGGCACTCGCGCCCTAATCTCCCGAAAATAGGCATCATAGGCAGCCCGGGCGCAGTCAGCATCCACCTCCAATCTAGTCCGAGCACCAAAGAAGCCCAAGATGACCTTGCACATGGCATGTACAGGTCTAATGCCCAGGAACCACCAAGTGATAAAGGCGTGGAAACTCGAGTTGGGCTCCAACATGACCTTGTCCCGAATCTGTGATTGAAACGTCGGCCACCACGTGTCAAAGTCGCGCTGGACCACGACGACTTTGGCCTCGGGATACGCGTCAATGAGCTCGAGCGCAAACGGCGAGGCCAGGTCTGTCACGGCGTCGTACTTGTCGCCCCAGAGCGCGTCCCAGTCCTTGCGCTGGTAGGGCGGCCGAGGCGTCCCGCCTGGGACCCCCGGCCAGGTGGCTTCGGCCGCCTCTTCTATTTGTGTCCACGGGCTGTCCATGACGCTTTCTAGCAGTCCGTGATGTGTCTTGAAGCCTAGGATCTGGTATGCCATGGCCATCGATTTGGTGCCCATGCGAAAGAGGCTTGCGTTGATGATCTTGAGGCCATTGCCGTCGTATTGGACTGAATGTTGCGACATGGTGGTCAAACGTTGCAGACAATGTACTAAACACAAGATACAATACAAGGCGAAGACTGTTGAAGTAGAATGCTAGATAATATATCTAAAGTTGAAGGATCAAACATCATATCAGCAGTCATCTTTGATAGGGGGTCAGCTTTGTGACTTGTCTCTCTATAGCGTTGTTGGTTCCAAACTTAGTGCTGCTTTGGCTACCAGGTTGATGATCCTTTACACATTGCCAGCCAACAAGAACGCACGTATCATGTTATTCCCTGGGGCAGAGCCGAAGAAGCCAATCATTATTTTTTCATACAATTTTGCTGTGCCGTGCGCATTCCCAATTTTAGAAGACTCTAGATATGATCTTGCTGAATGCACGCCATTTCCGGTGCTGAGCGATCTCGAGGGGGCGGTCGCAACTAGAGCTTTGACTTCCCAGTCACCAGCGTCCTCGAATCCCACTCCCATACTTTGCCCTGAAACCGCGTCTTTTCCCATTCTTCTATGATTTTGTCTCGAATTTTGTCGTCGTCTTCCCCCAGTATTTGGTGATATACCGATAATTGCTCCATGAAGCCAATGTTTGGCTGACAGACTGGTCTCCCCTCACAGACCTGGGCCAGCGCCTCTGACGGCGAGATCCCATATTTCCACATCAAGTACGCGCAAGCAATCGTCGCGGACCGAGACTTTCCCATGGCGCAGTGAATAAACACGGCACCTCCGCTTTCGAGCGCGTCATCAATAAATGTCGTCGTGGTGTTGAAATAGCAAAGCAGGTTCTCCCCAGGCACATCTTCTGCGTCAATGTGCAGCTGCTTCATCCTTTCGAGCTGCCTCGCGTCCACGTCATAGTCAATGACCGAGACGACGTGCGTGATGCCAGCCTCCTTGACAAGGTTGGTCTGGAAGAGCGCCCTTTGGCCGCCAATGTACAGGTTGCCCGCCCGTGGTATTCGATCCAGCCAGCCCATGGCGATGAAGCCTTGCTGCGGCTCAACAAAGATGAAGAGGATTTTGCAAACGCATTAGTGAAGCATCAGCCTGATTGGAAACTGAAGCGATTATGGAGGAACGGATCGCATGAATTTTGATCATCGTCAAGGCGCATAACAATCAATACGTGAGGTGAGACGATCACTGTTTGCCGAGGTTCGGAGATAACCCATTGATTTATTCCCGAATGTACTACGTACGTAGTACAATTTGACAGCACTACAGAATGAATATATATTCCCTTACACCATCGACGTCGAATGCTAGCACCCTTCTCGTAATCCTGTTTGATACTTTCAGTACACCCAACAATCAATAAATCATATTATAAAATGTTACTTGAATGGCACAACAATGGAGTCACCAGCAAGATTGATGTTCTGGGTTGGTCGTACACAACAATACTGCTACTTTAAGCATTGCATCATCAGCTTTTTTTTTTTAAATAGAGGGAAGAGTGATTTTATTTTGTCACTACTTGCTCAGAGAGCCAACTATACACTCACTGACCCAACTTGATCTGATGAACACCTCAGTGAGACAGTCCAACGATCCAACAATGTTTCGTCAGTAAGAAAGCGATGTCGCTCTTCCAGCGTCCCCCTAAAAATATTTTTTTTCTTTCGTTTTTCTGTAAGCATGTTCTCAAACACTTTTGCGACCGCACGTCATCGGCATATCAGGACTGTTTCAAAGCCTGACTTTTGCACACTCATGACGGCTGCGATCGAGAAGGCTTGTCGTGCTGTCCCATTAAGGGACCATGATAATTCCGCCGTTCCTTACGCACCTCGTGCGTGAACAAGGTCCAACAAAACCAAAAGGTGAGCAATGGATCAGGGCATCCTCCGTCACTCGATCTGGCCACAGGAGGGCTACATGATCGAAGCGCCAGAACCACTTCCAGTATGACTTGCCGTCTAACACATGCGCCAATACTCTTTTCACAAAAGCCAGCAGCCAAAGCCGCTGCTCCGTTTCAATAGTCTCTTTTCTTTTCGTCCATCAAAGCGTGAAACGTCCGTTCATCACTTCCGTATCATCGTTCAACTTTCGGTTTTTGCCCTGAACCGTTTGAAGAGTTCATGTCGCCAACACAAAAAGCTTCTCCTAGCTTCTCTACCAAGCCCGAAACGCCAAAAACGCCTCCCCTTTTTAGACCAACCACCCGTCCATCTGGTATGTGCCGAGTCTCATATTGCAATGCGTCTCGGAAACCGTCCGTGACGAATGCGAAGTGCAAGTAAACATGACCGCGAGAACAAATGAGACCATGATGGGGTATGATGCAAACCATAAAGTAAAACCAATAGCATAATATGTACAATGCAAACAATTCAGGGCTCTGTCAGCACTCCAAAGGGAAAAGATCAGGAGCAATCGACAGAAAAGCCCTATCGGGATTAGGCTTGAGGTTGCTGAGGTTGCTGACCTCGGCCTCCACCTCGGTAGTTGTTGTAGCCACCTCTGTTTTGGAAGCCACCACGACCCCGTCCACCTTGGTTGTTGCCGCGATAGCCGCCACGTGACTGGCGCTGCTGGCCATCGCCGCGTCCACCTTGACGAGGATCATTTGAGCCTGGCTGACCACCAGGGTTGATGGGCTGTCGCTGCGGTTGATCCTGCTGGGAGCGCTGGCCGTTCTGGTTCGCAGGGGCAGGGCGAGGAGGCGGCAGGGTGTTAGCTGGGCGCGGGATGTTCTCGGGGTTCTCGTAAACGTAAAGTGCCTTGTCGATGGTCTGAGGAATAGGTTGGATCTCAGTTCCAAGGTCGCGCTCGATGTTGTACAGGTTGAATCGATCGTCCCAGTTGATCAGGTTGATAGCCAGACCAAGGTGACCATACCGTCCAGAACGACCAATTCGGTGCAAGTAGGTCTCGGCATTCTTGGGAAAGTCAAAGTTGATGACTACATTCACGGCCTGAATGTCAATACCTCGAGTCAGGAGATCCGAGCAAACAAGGTTGCGACACACGCCATTTCGGAAATCGTGGAAAACGCGGTTTCGTGCGTGTTGCGCCATCTTGGCGTGACTGTAAAAGCACGAGTAACCCAGTTCCGTGATCTTCTTGGCGAGAAGCTCAACACGGTTAGTGGAGTTACAGAAGATGATTGACTGGTTGATTTGCAGTTTCGAGAACAGAGTGTTGAGGCAGTGAACCTTTTGCTTCTCCTCAACAAAGGCGTAGTATTGGGTAATACCACGCAGCGTGAGTTCATCCATGAGGTTGATCTCGTAGGGGTTGACCATATTCTTGTCCGAAAAGTCCTTGACGGACAGAGGGAAAGTGGCAGAAAACAGCATGACCTGGCGGTCCTTGGGGTGGAAGCGGAGGAGCTGTTCAATGACGGGCGTGAATTCTTGGGAAAGGAGCTTGTCGGCCTCATCCATGATAAACATGGGGCACTCGCTCAGGTCGGCAACATTCTTTCCAGCCAAATCCAGAATACGTCCGGGAGTGCCCACTACTATGTGGACGGGATCCTGAAGACGAACGATGTCATCTCTGAGGCCAGTACCTCCAGTTGTAACCATTACATTGATTCCAAGGTGCTTTCCGAGCGTTTTGCAGACCTGCGAGGTTTGCATGGCGAGCTCTCGAGTGGGGACGAGGATGAGACATTGAATCTTGGCGACCTTGGGGTTGATACGCTCTAGTGCCGGCACGACAAAGGCAGCTGTTTTGCCAGTACCGTTCTTTGCTCGAGCAAGAATATCGCGACCGGTTAAGGCGACAGGGACAGATTCCTCCTGGATTGGGGAGGGCTTTTCGTATCCGGCTTCAAAAATGCCCATTAGTAGGTCTCGCTTGAGGGCAAAGTTCTCCCATTCGAGTCCCTTTGTGTTTGTCACATCCTGCGAAAGAGAAACATGAGGTTAGACAGAGTAATAGAGAATGTGAAATGGCGCATTCTTTGACGGTTCGGCACCTACCTCAGTCTGATGCCTGGCGTCTTTTGCAGGTAGGTTGAGATTGCTCTTCCAGTCTTCTGATGAGCCTGCATTGTTATCGCTGATTGTTGAAGCGCGGAGCTTCTCTGCCAATTGGTCGGACATTGTGAATATGTGGTCTGGGTTTAAGATGTGTCGGAAATATTGGCACGGACGTTCAGTGAGTGATGCCCGGTGGTGGCTGTAGTTTCACTTGATGCTTGATTTTGGTGAGTGGAGTGATCGAAGGAGAAGTCGCACTGCAGACCGGCTCTTGTAATCGTGGGGTGGAATAAGTGGCGTGTTTTGAAAATGTCGTCGCCACTGTAAGGTTGAGATTATCGAGAATTGTTTGCTCTCGAGTCTTGTTGTGCAGTTGGTAATCAGGTCCACCAGTGTTTCGCAGGGATGGATGATGTCAATTAACGAAGCAGCTCGTGGGGTGGAGCGCGGAGCAAAATGGGATCGAATGGTTGGAGTTGCGATGGGAGTGACACGGCGTGATCAAATCGACACAGGACGAGATGTTTCCGAGGTCGGAAGAGAGGCAAAGAAGAAATCACACGAGCAGGCTACGACAGATCACCGTCGAATCAGTGCCAGCTCGAGGAGGGTTGAGATCGTGGAGAGAGGAGGTGGGTGGATTGTGAGATGGGTGCGTGGCTTGTTCTCGGTGGGAGAGTGCGGAGTGCGTGGGTTGATGACTCGTCTCAAGGCAGTCAATGCCGCTCGGTCGGTAGGACGTTTGAGTGTTTGTCGGGAGGGAGAATTGGGGAAAAATCAATGTTGTTGTGTGTTTTGTTTGTGTCGTTCGAGGGGGGGTTCCATCAAGTGGAGGATCGAATCGGGGGCTGAGAATTTTAGTGGTGGTGAGAGAGATCTTTGGTCGAGGTCGGGCAAGGTCTGGTTGGTGCGATGTCGTAGCTTCCATCTGACTGAAGCACCAGACGGGAATAGTGGCTGATCAATACCTAGGTACCTTACTAGGCTGGTTCCATCGCGTGTGAACCCCCATCACTTATCCTCGTCCAAAATAACACACGATGAGATAAAAGAAAGCAGAAATGGAACGGAGTCCAAAGTAGTACAGATTCTTGATTGGTGGTATCTTTCTGGACATTGTGATCCTTCTGCTGGCAGCAGCTTTTCAAAGCCATTTCTGTGCTCTTCATGTATTGATATATGCTGGTGTTTGTCTTATACATGGGCATCCTGGACCCTTCAACATGCTGCTTTTTGGAATATCTATTCGTGGCATCTAGGAAATCTTCAAGTGTGCAACATGTACTCTGACGGCAATTGATCATTGTAGGAATAACAGCAGCGATTTGCCAGACTTGATAACAAATGCCAGTCTTTACACAACGTTTGCTTTGGCATTCGGTCGGAGTCTGGACGACCCTGAAAGAGCTTGGGCGGGTCGGAGAGAGAGAGCTTGAGCCAATGCCATCATTTCTTCCATGCTTAGAAGTTAGGACAGACAGGTCGTGCGAGGAGAAGCCAAGTCAGACTGCCGGGGCAAAGGGAAGAATAAGAAGAGTAACAAAAAAAGAGTAGGTAAGAGTTCATGTACAGAGAATTGATCAGGACAATGAAAAAAAAACAGAAGAGGAGCCCTCCAGTCCTTTGCTTTATATAATACCCCAAATGCACTAGCCCATCTTACTATTTGCGACCTGCAAGTCAACATGCAATCAATTGCCTGCCTGCCTTGATGTACATGTAGGGATGCACCTTAGCTGGCGGGCAGGCGGGGTTCAAGATCGATACCGGCGCTTGATAGCGGACCCTCGGATGCGCGCAGCTTACTTACATTGGGGGTCTTGTGCCAGGTACTACTTACATTGTGAATGACGACCTCGATATCCATTACACCTCAAATGCCATTTCCTCTCGGACTCTTGTCCCTCTGACAAAGAAAATTGAGTTTCGTATCAATTCTTCCACAGTTTGAACCCTGCATGAGTCCTCATTCAAACTCGCGATCATGCTGAAACCCTCGACTCTTGCTATTTGTTCGAGCTCGAACCTCCCCACCTTCGTTTGGCCCTTCTCGTCGATAACGTCACCATCGCCATGCTTGCGATCAAGACGACTTTCTGCATCAACCCAACGCACAACACGACAGCAGCGGAGAAGCGTCCGTGGCTACGCAACAGTGCACGATGGACACAATAACTCCTCCTCCAACTATCATCCCGATCCTTCCAAGTGGCCTTCGGCCGCCAATCCGACACCATATCAAATCTTTGACCAGAAGATGACCGCACCCTACAGCAAAGCACGCTTCTACGAGCTAGTCAAGCTTTACCATCCTGACAGGCACAGGCATAGTCTTGATGATACCTTGTCTGATAAAACACGTCTTGAGAGATATCGTCTGGTCGTAGCCGCCAACGAGATTCTTTCCGATCCGGGCAAACGGCGCGCATATGATCTCTACGGTGCAGGGTGGGATTCGGTTCGTTCTATGGACAACATGAGTTTCCGTAACGCCGATCATAGCTGGCGCAACGAGCCGGGCAATCCTTCGATGAATGCGACGTGGGAAGACTGGGAAAGATGGTATGGCGAACGGGGCGGCGGTCAGAAGCAGAAGCAACAGACGGTCTTCATGAGCAACGAGCTGTTTGTCGTTGTCTTGTGCGCTTTTATCGTTGCTGGCAGCATGGGACAGGCGAGACGAGCGAGTGCAAATACAATGGCCATCATCGAGATGCGAGATCAGAAACACGACGCCATTAGCCACGACATGGCGAGAAGACGAACTGAACAGGGTCCCTTGACTAGGCATGAGAGGGTTGAGAGCTTTTTGAGACAACGAGAGGGTTGGAACCTTGCTTCCTCGACTGCATCGCATGGTCACCACCATGACGAGGAAGGCAAATGAACACGCCCATTTGCCAGGAAAGAATACTAAGGAATCCTGCTGTACATATGAAGGCATTCCCAGTCCTCAGCGTTCAACATGTCTGAATATCATCTGTCCCTGCTAACCATAGTCTGAATGTTTGTATTAATATGCCTCAAACACATCATGATATTTTTATTCAGACACTCAATGACATGTTGTCCAAGTCAATGGTAGCTCTATCGAATACCTAGATATTCGCGGCTGCAGTAGGAAATGCTTTCTTGTGTTAGTCGAGTATAACTGTGGCACAGCACCTCCTCGTCCATACATTACCTAGTAATCAATCAAATTACCCAGATAAGTCATCTGCCTTGAGAAATATTCGCATGGACTAAATTCTTAGTGCCGAAGGGCCCTTCAATCGAGAACTTTAATAATCAGACTTGTCATCGTTCCAAATGACTGTTTTTGTTAAACACGCACCAGGTCTCGTTTCTATTCGTTGATTTTTTTGCTTGCCTGGTTGACTCCATTGCCTTTCCGAGGGTTAAAATTGCAGTGAAACCTCATTTGTGACAGTGCTTACCTCACCAAGCTCGCCACGACCCGCCATGGCGCCCTACAGCTACATAGTTCAACCTCAAAAGGGACATGGTCACACGCATACAATCATCTTCTTGCATGGAAAAGGAAGCAACGGCGAAGAGTGCGCCAATGAGCTCTTTGAGAGCGAAACCTCGGAACATTATGCTCCCAGAGGCCCGCAGACTTTGGTCGACTTGTTCCCTACCGTGAGATGGATTTTCTTGTCAGCACCGCAAACACAGTCTACGCGCTTCGACTGCATCGAGTCGCAATGGTTTGACATGTGGTCTGTCGAGAACCCTGAGGAGCAGGTTGATTTGCAAGTCGAGGGCTTGGCAGAGAGTATTTTGCTTCTGCGCCAGACGATAGCGGAAGAGGAGTCAAAGGTACCGCAGCAGAAGATGTTTCTCGCTGGCATCAGTCAGGGCTTCGCGACTGCAATCACGGCCTTTTTGTTGGATGAGTTTCACTTTGCCGGCCTTGTTGGTTTGTGCAGTTGGATGCCGATGGGGGCGTATCGTGCTATCGAGAATAGCAAAAAGGTCGAAATCCGGTCCAATGGCAACACAACCCGCGTGCCCGTGTTTCTTGGGCATTCAAGAGACGACAACGTGGTGCCCATTGATAATGGACTTGCACTCAGGGATTTTCTATCGGAACGCGAATTCGCAGTCGAATGGCACGAGTATAGCAATGGAGGACATTGGATCAACGAGCCAAGAGGAGTTGAGGACGTTGTGGGTTTTCTGCAATCAAATGGGAACTGCTCATGACGGGAACAAATCGAGTTGCTCACTACAGCATTCAAACATAAATTAAAGTATTTTGTTATTGGCAGACAACACATCACTTTTAAAAGAGTAAAAAGATGTTCATACTTCCCATAGTTGCCAAAATTGCCCCGTTTTCGCCTTAGCTAGTGCCCATGGTGCTGGAAGCATTGGCCTTAGGCATGCATCAAGCCTCAAAGACACAACCTTTTGTACCTTGATCTACATTATGGCGATTGCCTTAGTTTAACAGTCCTTACCATCTTGCTAGGCAGGAACCCTTGGAGACTGCCTGTTAAATTGCCTCAGATCACGTGGTTGATAACAATATAAGTAGCATACAGCTACAGCTTCCGTTTGTTTGGTGCAAAAGCAAATAATACCCTTCCTTCCCACATACACCCACCAAACACTGACAAACACTGACCCCTCAAATTTCCGCGTTTTGGTGCAGCTCACTCACCATGGAAGACGAATACATCCCCTCAGATGCCCTTGGACCTCAGAGGTGCAATGTTTGCGACAAGATGACTGGCTTGAAACTATGCAGTGCCTGCAAAGTCGTCAGCTATTGCGGTGCTGCCGATCAGGCCACCGATCGACCACACCACAAGAAAGCGTGCAAGGCAATCAAGAAGGCCCGAGAACACCTCGAGGCCGAGGAAGCAAGGCTCCGAGCGCTGCCCGCCGACATGTTCCGACCGGCAGATGTCTTCAACACCTGTGTTGGGAGATTCTGGGGCATCTTGGACACGCGTGACTACATGCGAGCAAGATATGCAGCTGCCGATGCATTGCTCAAAGTCAATACTCGCGTCGCTGTTGAAAAGGCACTCGATCACTTGACTGATATGCTTCGCCTCAATCGGAGCGACAACATGGGTTTGAGAAGCATTGTTCCCGCACTTCAATTACGACTCGGTCGCGAGCAAGAGTGCTACGATTTCCTCAAGTGGTGGGCAACCACTGGCAGTCAGGGCGATTACGATTGGGGTGATACCTCGCTACCCCATCTAGATATTCGTGGAGCCGATGTACTCGAAGGCATCGGAATGTTCTCCAGAAACTCAGAAGTCGCTCATCTTGTGGCTCTGACGCTTCTCAAGTTGCGCCTTTTCCTCGACCTTTCCCGTTTCGAGGATCCGGATTACATGGACGACATCGACGATCCTGATCACAAATTCGATCCATATGAGCGGTCTCCAGGATCTCTTTCAAGAGACCTGATGCGCCGTGACAATGTTGATCTGCGCAGCATGACCGAAAAACTGCAGAAACAGTATCACATGCTCCTGAGCCGCGTCCAAGAGGAGAACCCGCACTTTTGGTCATTGCTGGTGGACGACGCGATTGATCCAGTCGTACCACCCATGTATAGTCCCGGCACGAAAGAAGAGGCTATGCTTGTTCTCTATTACTGCAAGCAGGCCTGGGAAGAAAGTGAAGATGCCATACTTATGGTTGATGCGGACACAGCAAAGCTGACTCCCGTATACAAGGGCCCAAATGTCGCCGCTAATGCGGGCACTGCTCAACCATCAGTTGGGAATCTGGAAAAGCGTCGAGGCACGGGAAAGGTGTTTCCGTCGATATTCACACCTCCGTCGCCTACTTCCGAGCCAGAAGATCATTTCCCTCTCTCCCTTCTGCCTCCCAAGCATGTTTCTCGCTTTGTCCACCTGCACGATCGCAAAAAAGGCCTTGTGTATGTTGATGGCGCATGTTCGAACAACGGGAAGTTGAGCCCGCGGGCTGGCTGGGCCGTCGTATATGATGACCGCTATGGATTAACAGACTTGAAGGGGCGGCTAGAATCCAGAGGTCCATTTGGAGAGGAATACGAGGCCACTAGCAACCGCGCCGAGCTGCGGGCAGCCATCGCAGCCTTACGTCGTAAGGATTGGCGGGACGAGGGCTTCGAATGCCTTGTCGTTGCGACAGATTCTTCATACGTTGTGAACGGTGCAACAGCATGGGCAAGGAGCTGGCTTCGTAACGGATGGACCACGAGTGAGGGCCACGCAGTGAAGAACAAAGACCTGTGGGAATTGTTGCTGGGCGAGGTTGAGAGATGGGACGAACAAGGCCTGAAGATTGAGCTCTGGAGAATTCCAAGAGAGGCCAACACCGAGGCCGACGCAGCCGCAAAGAAGGCTGCTGGAGAGATGATGGAGTACGAATTCACGGACGGACCCGCCGTACTTGGATCCCGCGCCCTGCGCTACAAAGTCATTGCCGTGGGCCTTGACCACCAAGGTCTCCTTGAAGAGCAATATCCAGATCTCTGTTCAGTTATCAGGAATAGGGGCAGTCTTTATCAAGCAAGTGGAGAAACAAGCGCCCTTCAACTGCTCGGCCTGGAAGTGCCTCCAACTGTCATTCTCATCACTGATGGTGCCGTTGCACGCTTGACAAAGGTTTGGGAGCGCATCATCGACCTCCTCCGTGGGGGCGTCACTGTGGTGCTAGCTGGATTTTTCAGCAGTTCCTTGAATGAAGGCCAATTCACCCGCCTCTTCGCAAAGATTGGTCTACCATGGGAGCGAGGTTCATATCACCGGGCCACGGTCAAGTTGCGCCATCAGTCCGTCCCGGCTCACCTGCACAACTCACTTCCTGTTGAAGACAGCCAGAAACCGCTATTCGTGAAAAATGTCGACAAATCAGCGATTTGGTATGCTGAATCAAGCAATCCCAACGAGGGCGCAGTGGTGTTCGCTAGCGTGGGCAACGGGAAGCTGGGATATGTTGGAGATTGCAGTGGTTCTGAGGCCTCAACCGCCATCATCAAAGCCATGTGTGGTCTTTCACCCTAGTTTATGTGTAATTGTAGCCAAATTGATATACTAGCTGCTCAAAGTCAAGACTGGTGTATGATAGTAATCAGAGTCAGGCGCCTGAATGCCTTTAGACCGCGCATTGCCTAGTATATTTACCACGGACGATATGTCGTTTGTGATTATTGCGTGCCGGGCACAAAATGACATTACTTTGCAGCCACTAGCTCGAATTCTAACTTGATGTTGTCGTCAACATTTCCGCCCACCTTCTTGCCTTCAAGCTCCTTCAATTCGGTGAATAGGGCTATGGATACACGTTTCACATCTCGGGCAGGCTCGAGCCGAACTTGGCCGCCCGTGTGAATCTTTTCGCCTTCCAACGTCGCCAAGTCCCAAATTGAATCATCCTCAGAAGTTTCGCCACTCAGAAGGGCATTGTAGACCTTGTCCAGCCTCTCGGCCTGGGCCCCTCCGGTAGGAGTGACCGACACCAAAGACACACCAACGGCACCGGTCGGATGCTTGACCACTTGATCCTGCTTGTACGGCACCCGGAGCTCGCGCTTGGTATCATCAAGGCACCAAAAGGGGAGAAGCCCTGGTTCCAAGTTTTTCTTGCTGCCATCTTGGCCCTCTTGCGCGGAAGAGATTGCCCATTTCAGCTCTACCCCATCTGGACGGTCTCGTCCTCCTGGTGTCAAATCACTGTAAGATATCCCAGTGTGTGATTCTTTCACGGCCGTCTGTATAGTCTTGAAACTTTTCCCAAGCTCGCCCAGACCCTCGCCAGCGCTGCCGGGAAGAGTCAATGCCCAGTCGATGACGGTGCCCTCCTTTTGCTTACCCCACCTGTGCTGTTCCCGCTGGACTGGGTCGATGCCGGGTACAAAGGCAAAGAACTCAATGTACGACCCGTCGGCAAACAGCACCAGCGCATTGTCGCTCAGGCCGCCAGCGTGGCGTCCGCCCGGGTAAAAGGTGAAGAGGTTGGCGAACCATTCTGGTGGGGACGTGAGGAAGGAGTGAGGTACGAGGATGACTATGTGATCCAAAAGTGGCGTTGTAGCTGAGGATGACATTTTTTTTGCTTCTTCTACTTTGGGATTTTCTCTTTCCTGTACTCTTTTCAATAGAAGGAGTGGTGATGATCAGATCTCAAATGCAAGGGACGCTGGCGCCATTGTATCAAATGACGTGCTTTTTTGTACATCCGATTCGGAGAAGTGGGGACTGGTATGCAGGCAGGCGAACACAGATGCCAGAAGCAGTCTGAATATCACATTGGCAGTACTATTGGAGACAGAGGCAATGACACTAAACAGATATCAATGCTTTTGTCAGGCAGAAACACGGTCAACACTGAAGTAAGGGATAATCATGTTGACTGCAATCTATCTAGAGCGTGCAAACATCATCTCATGTATAAATACTTACGCCTCCAGCCAGAGCAATGATCAAATGAAAACAAGACCATTTACGTACATCAAGCAAAACCATTCTCCCAGCCATGAATCGCTTCGTCAGCAAGTTGACTCAGCCGGTGCATCCGGGGGTGATAATGATGATGTTGGAGTAAGTCGAGCTTTCAGGTGGATCATATCGTTGACTAGATATATCGTTAACGGCCTTTCCATAGACCCAAGAGCAAACATGAGGAAGAACAAATCTCGTCAGCAGATCCGAAAACACAATGTCAGACTGATGCGCCTAAATCCGCTGGACAGTGCAGTCCTGGATCGTCTGATCCACAGATCACAAAGTGCTCCAAGCACAAGACCACAGACACTTGAAATTATCCTTGGTCGCCGCTCAGATATCCTCATGAATGGCGAAATGGATTGGACTTTTAGCATCACGGAACATTACAAGGGGTCTGGTGTTAGAAATGGAAGTACAATGGATATTATCTAAAGACTTTCTTGAGAAGAATGGTTATTGTAACTGCAATATACTGTGGTATGGACCATTCACTTATGCCTTGATTTCCGTGATACATTGATTTGTACTTTGCTTCTGCCATTTATCTAGTCATTGTTCGATTCTATAGTTTTATTACCAACCTCGCTTCTCTAACATCAATAATTCATACACTCGACATTCGAGTGACCTGGTCCCCGGCTCTTACAATGTGCTGCCCTGTCGAGTCGCTAACCATCTTCTCCTTTTCCGACGGCTGCATCTTCCAAGCCTCGACTTCGCACCCTCCACGAAGAACACCAACCCTCATGGTGGAGAGCAAGTTGTGAGCTGCGTTAGAGTGGTCATAGACACCTCCGTTAAAAATGGCCGTGGCATCTTTACCAATGGCCGAGCCAATCAAGGTCTTGCCTCCAGGATGGTCCTGGATAAAGCCGGCAACGTCGTGGATCACACCGGCAATGGCCACGAGAGCCTTGCCGTCTACTCTAGCATCCCTAACGAAGTCGTCCCATGAGATCACGGGGAGTTGATCCAATGGGACACCCCAGTCGAGTTTGGCGCGGCGCTGGTCGAGTTTCTTTTGGAGTTGTTGGACGCGACCCTTTTCTATTTCGTTTGAACGGAACTCCTTTAGGTCGTAGGCGAGACCCACTTGCTTCCATACCCAGATCATCCTATTGATTCTTGCATCAGTATGAAGTCTTACATGTGCATATATGAATGATGATAACATACCACTTAGTAGGATCGTATTGATACCACTGGATAGCATTGCGGTAGTCGGATGGAAACTCGTGGTGGAAGTTGTGGTCTGCGTTGAACAATGGTTAGCATACCTTTTACTGAATACCTTTAGTCTTTATTGTCTAGGAGAACTTACATCCTTCACCCAGAGTAACCAGCGCTGTGATCATATTGTCCCTTGGCGAGTTTCTATCATCAAAGGGCTGATCACCAAGCCAGTGCGCCAGTGAGTTGATACAAAACGTAGCCTGCTGGACAAAGCAGCTGCGCAGAATACCGGCATAGATCAGGCCTCCCTTCCAGTCACCCCAGACACCACAGACCAGAGCGGGAAAGACCCAGGCCATGGCGACGACGGAAAAGACATAGTGGCGGTGCTGCCAGACGACAAAGGGGTCCTCGTTTAGGTCGGTAATGTCGGCGCGGCCGATGCGCTTGGGATCCTGCTTCATGACCATCCAGCCCATGTGCGAGTAGGCGAGACCCTTGCGGACCGAGTAAGGGTCCTTGTCCGTGTCGGTGTAGCGGTGGTGGGCACGGTGGCCTCGGGACCACCATCGGATCGAGCCCTGTACGGCGCCGGAGCCGCAGGCGGCAAGATAGAATTTGAGAATCGGGGTGGCTTTATACGAGGTATGAGACCATAATCTGTGATAGCCTAGTTGGCTTTGTTAGTATATATGTGTTTCAGTCAGATAGACCAATCACGAACCTGCTGTGATACCAAGACCAGTGTTGAAATAAAATATGACGGCAAAGATGAAGGTATATGGATGTAAAGGGACAAAGTAGGAGCTCACTACTCCGATGAGAGGAATTCCAACTACGAAGACGACATTAAGCCAATCAATATGTTTGTACCAGTTGAAGAAAGTAATGGGCTCTTCGCTAATGTGTGGTTTCCTCGCAGGAGGTTTCGATTGTGTCTCCATCTTGTTGAAGAGATGAACAGTTGCACTGAACACGCGACCAGCAACAGAATAGATTCGTGACTTTTCAGATAATGAGTTTGCAGCGAACAAGTCAGAGCATTGAGTAGAATCCGTGGAATATTATATTTGATATACCTACAGATACAAAGCCCCAACCAAGTATTACAAATGTAGCTCAGCATTCTACAAACTAGGCAAATGGAAATTTGTAGGGCATGTTCAAAATCACTTGTTGTGTGGCAAAGCCATTATGACGAGCCATTATGGGATGATGTTTTACCAGTCACCTAAACGTCAATCAATTCAACATATTCGGAAGTGCAAGCGCAGGATGACTGTTCCCCCCATGCCGAGAAAACCATATACCAATAAACATGTGACAGCAAAAGGATCCATCAGAGGGTAGCTGATTTTTTACTCAAACATGGTTGGTTGCCTAACAAGCTGCGCACCGTACGATTTCCTCGCATTCGCATGTTTTGTTAGTTGTGTTGGGATATGGTCTGACGTTCATTTTGTTGGGAGTAATTTCGTACCGGCTTAGCGGGTTGCAGGACAAGGTTGGAGTGGGTGGAGCCAAGGGATTGCTTTCCGGGGCGGACGAGACCTAGGATTTGCTGGTTAAGCAAAGACAACATTGGGCTATTTGCGACATGTGAGACCGAACATAAAATATTGGAAAAAATCAAGAAAACTCTACTTGTTCCAGAAGTTCATTGTGCTTTTCAATCTTGTCTTGTTTGATCGTTATTGCATACGCATGTGGCCACGAGTGATAATCATTACTTTCAAGTAATTATAGCCACTACAACCGCTAGTCAATGATCTACTATAACGAGTCCAGTAGGTTACCCACAACCCACTCTCCTAGGTATTCAACTCTTTCGGCAAGCTTTCTTTCGTCAACTATTTTGGGCTTGGTCTGTTAGTGTAAGAAATTATATAATCGTCTTGATCGGGATGATTTTTCCTTTCTCAGCCTTTTCGGTCATCTGTTATATATGTTCAGTCGTTCGCCGGATCTCGACAGCTTCGTCCTTGAATATGGTTATAACAGAGTGATGATTGTCCTACATGGAAGCATTCATGTAGAATGAATATAGTTTGACGGCGCGGCAAAGACTCGAATAACATGCAAACACCTTCTTGTTTCGAAAGCTTTCGGATAAGCTTACGGCACAAGGGACTGACAAGACAGGCACGAAAAAGCAAATGAATACCTCCTTGTCATGAGGCTCTACTGTGATGCCACAACGATTTAAAGACGAGCCGTAGAACCAGCGGATGTGCCATACCGACTGCGAGATATCAACTTCTTCAATAACATCGATACATTATTCAATATGGTATCTCTATCCAAGATGGTCCTCGCTTGGACTGCGGGTGCTGTCGCTCGTGCTGCTCTATCCGACTGCTTCACTCTCCAGGGCATTCGGCCAGACGGCACTGATCTCCACCACGTAATTGTCACTGGAGATAATGGCGTTTTCCAGCTCTTCCAGGCCAAATTCACGACCAACCACACGGCCGCGACCAAGTTTGGCATTGCTCGGGCGAGCAGCCATCTGGTTGATTACACAAACAAACGCCGCATTGCCAATATAGGCCTCGGTTACGATGACGACTTTATGCTTTTTGATCCTGAACCATTACTGCTCAACAGGGATCCGCTCCTCTGCGGCCTCTCCAAAGACGATGGGGTCCTGTCTTGTGCGGCCAAGAGCGATGCGACCGTTCATGTCATGGTGGCCTGTAGTGGGGCAGGTCCAGAGGTATTCATTCGGGTTCCGGGACCATTGCTGGAAGAGGAATCCAATGACCTTATCGAGCCGTGCTACGAGGCCACACTCGTGGCAAGCCAGGCAGAGGGATGCGTGTTGCCGCTCTCCAGCACTTCTAGGACCATCTCGCCGGCTAGTACCAAGTCTGCGACGAAATATCCCCATCCCAACACCACTTCTGCAGACCACCATTGGCAACCTGAATCAACCGCTTCAACCACTTCTCGCCATTGGAATATACATCATTCGCACGTCACTCCCCACCAGCCACAAAGACCCAGTATTTTCTAGACACCGCAGGGGAGGGCTTGGCGGAGATACTTCCCGAGATGATGATTGGTGCAGGTTTCATGTCGATGACTGTAGAACGAACAAATGACTCTTATGACATTTCATTGTTTGGTTGATGCGGTTCTGTGTTATGATCTGAACTGTATTTACTGTTCTGACGTGTGAGCCCTGAGCATTGGGACATATTTCTCTTCTAGAGCGTTCCGCATGGCCTTTTCTGCGTTTTGTGGGTTGATTCTCTCCTCTGCGCCTAGCCTCAGCATGCGTCCGACTAGGAACATGAGCTTTCCTTGAGGATACTGCTTATACTCGACGAATTGTTGCACAATATGATCCTGTCCTTCGATTGCAGAATCCGCCAACTCGGCATACTCCTCGTCAGATAGTTCATTGAACCACATATTTTCCGACTCAATGGCATCAGCAATGCTTGCGTATTGAGAGGGAACAGTGCCTCGAAACACTACCCAGAGGAGTTCCTTGGCAACCTTCATGGTAATCTGTCGTTGATGGAGAAAGAGCAGAATATCAGCCAAGTAGTCGACAGGAACACGCTCGCACTGTCCGTCAGCCGTGAAGCCGAGCTCCGAGACTGAATCGTCATGAGGATTCGCCGTCAGACGTCCAAGTTCGTGGAGAATCCAATTTGCAGCTAATTGGAAGCAGGCGAGGTTCGAGGTTGCTTCAGCAGGTAATCTAGACACCAGAGCATCAATGACATTCCAAAAGTACTCGACTCTGTTGCCACCATCAAGAGCGACTAGCGAGAGCGCATCTTTGGGAGTGAGCTGAAACTCTTGAACAAGCTCATCTACTTCAGCATCTGGCAGTTGGCCCAGGGTACCTCGTAACCGACTGATCAAGTCCTGGCCAATGAAGAGCGGCGAAAGATCCGGATCAGGCATGTACCGGTAGTCGACCTCGCCTTCCTTGCCTCGGAGTCTTCGGGTTTCTGTCGAACCGATAGACCAGCCACGAGTTTCTCCCTCAATGGTCCCACCTGCTTCAAGAACGGCAATCTGCCTGTCGCGCTCAGCAATGATGGCATCCTCGACAGCTTTGAAGCTACTCAGGTTCTTGATCTCGGTGCGAGTTCCTAGGGGGCCTTTCGGGTCATTGGTTCTCCTGACGGAGACATTAACATCGGCCCGAAGTCCACCCGCTTCCATACCTGATACACAAGAGTCGACAGCATTGAGGAGAATCTGGACCTTGCGCACAAAAGCAGCGGCTGTTGCTGGGTGGTGGATATCTGGGTGGGTGATGATTTCAATCAAAGGCACGCCGGTTCGGTTGAAGTCGATCCAGTGTGTATTTTCCGCCTGTGCCATTGTTTTCGCCGTATCTTGTTCCATTTGAACCTGCTTGATACCTATCCTGAGACCATCGCCATCCTCGAGGGCTATCCCGTCTCTTGGTTGCAGAGTGATATGTCCATCGCGCGCAAAGGGCTCGTAGTACTGCGTAATTTGATACCCCGATGGCTGATCCCAGTGAAAGTAATGTTTCCTGTCGAAGCGGCTTGTTGACTGTATATCGCAATTCAAGGCCAGTGCAGCTCGAAGTGCTGGGATCAAGGTCTCTTTCTGAAAGAGCGGCTGGCTTCCGGGAGTAGCAAGATCAAAGTATGCAACATGGCTGTTGGGCTCATCGTTGAATGAGGTGGCAGCAGGAGAGAAGAGCTTCCTGGCCGTATTGAGTTGTGCGTGGATCTCAATGCCCACCGTTAATTCCCAGCCCTCAACCAACTGGTTGTTGGCATTCTTCTTCTTCTTCTTTCCCGACGCCTTGGCCTTCTTTGCCTCGTCCTTCAATTGCTTTCGAAGGGGCACATGGGCTGCAGCAGTCGAGGGTGCTACCACGGTGGCAGCCGTCGGGGCTTGCGTTTCAGTGTGGACGCATCGTGAACTCGAAAGGGCAGCAGGAACTGAGACTGGTCGCCGAGATGATGCTGCTGTGGCTTGAAGTGATCGCAGACAGCCGCGCCTCGTCACTTGGCCGTGCAGCAAGTATCTGCTGAGGGCCGCCGTCGATGCGCGAGGCATTTTCTTTGGCGAGTCGAGAACTGCCGCGAGACTCTGTTCAGGGTTTGAGCGAAGTGTCGTTTGTTGGCGTTTCGCAAGGGAAAAGTGACGCGATCGTTGGCAGCTAGCGAAGCTCCAGTAGCGCAGAAGCTTTCAATTGTTTCTCGGTCCCGTTGCATCAGCTCCCCGAGAGTCCCCTGCCATCACTAACGACCCCCACTGGATGCACCCGCTAAGGTGCGCTGATGACCATTGATCTCGGGAGCTACCGATATGCTGGCGGCCCTGGACTGAATTGGGTTCACGAATTAAGGTATCCAAATGCCGAGATCAACTCACTCGCGTAAGAAAGAACCTAATAATAATACCGCCTCGCCTTTTGGACCTGCATATAGAACGGCACCTGCATCAACCTAGTCTCTATATGCAGATAGAACCTGGGCCATCGTAATGACTTGGCTGTGTCTGGATAGAGCAGTATGTTGTTGACAAGAAACATACCGACCTCTTGCGCTGAGGTAGGTAGGTACTTTAGCAAGAACGACGTGCGACGAGCATTCCACTTTCGACTCCCATGGTGTTATACTATATGCTACTGTGTACTTCACCACCGAATCACGGACCACGACCAAGAATATTTGGGTAGTACTAGGATCACGTACACACACCCATACACACCAATAAATAGTAAATACTATGCACCACTCCAGTAGTCAAAGATGCCAGGTCAGAGGATCGGAAGACTTGGTTGGGAGGGATTCCAAAAGCCTGATCCTACGTACCATGTGACCACATATCACCACCTCTCTATTCGGCAGTACCCCTCCCCCTTCTCAGCCGTGTGTCACCACCACCTCGTCAGGTGAAGTCGCTGTGGCTCTGAAACACTGCAGACTCCAGCTGTCTGACACCCCTTAGCTACAGTACCCAAAGATTGCACACTCCAATCGTATGTCGTCACTGACGGGACGGGTAGTAAATGTGTCTTGATCTCTGAGACCACCGTACCAAAAATTCCCGTTGTTCCAGCTCGACAACCAAACAGAATATGTTCTTCTCACCATTTTCGCGCTTTTTAGTATCTCGTCGCAAACGCATAATGCGTCTTATATCACCATTCTGAGGAGTCTTTATCTCTTCCCAGGCTCACTCTAGTCTCTACCCAAGCAGGCCTCGGCGGATAGTGCCTGCGTTGGCTGACCCAGTGTGCGCGCGCACGCGAAAGCCTCACGGTCCAGCAGAAGCAGGCGTATCTTTAAAAACAACGTGGCAAAAGTCTTGGGATCGACCAGACTCATATATCGATATTGGCATCTCGTTGCGACAGTGATATTCGGATTACAAGAGCGAAATTATGGCCACACTGGCTATGGCTGATCAGGGAGCCCTGTCAATTGGTAACAATATTGACGATGCAGCGATAAGTGGTCACATTCCATCGCCATCAAGCCCTGCGCCAGAAAAGCAATCACCGGGATGGAAGAAATCTCATCAACGACTCGTTACCGCTGTGCGCGTAAGTGATGTGGTAACCTCGGACAAGGCGCAAGAAATTCCGGTGCAAAAAGATATACCAGTAACACCGGGTGACAATGGGAAACTCATAAATGCTACAAAGGAAGAGACTGTCATGAAAAGCCTTGCTGATCAGGAGCCAAGCGCTGGTATACCCCAACCTTCTGAGCTTCCAAGCACGAGCTTTGAGGGTCACAGTCTGGTTGATTCAATGAATGAATCCGAAAGCTCAAGTAGCAGTGATTCGACCGTCATCGGATCATCAGACGAAAGAGGTGTAAGTAGAGGGAGGCGCGGCAGAAGTCGCAAAACGTCCTCTCAGTCGACAAAGCTGGATGCCTTGAGATATCTCGAATCCGACTCAATACGGACTTCCTCAAATAGCTCTCCATTCGGTCGTTCGTCAGTGGCACCGCTCAATACATCGCCGTCCAGCCAAAGCAGCACATCGTCTCGCAGCAGTGGCTTCTACAGCGACGGGCTTACTGGGGACGACACAGACCGGAGTACAAGCCCAGAGCAAAGTCCGTTCAATCGAGGGCTCCGCATCAGGCCGGGGCTGCCTTACATTGGGAGACGGCACAGTAGCTATGGTACGCCCGAGATGCCAAGAGGAAATACCACGCTGCCTCACGTCTCCCCCAAAGTCCTCACTTCTCGAATACTTGGACAGCCTCATCCGCACGTCTCCAACCTTCCACGAGCCGAGAAGCTACCCTTGACCGGTTATGAGCAGTTGGCCTCCCAGCTATCTAGTCAAGGCTCTGAGAGCTCTGGACCCCATCTGCGACCTATTTATCGCAGATTTGAAAAACTGAATCATCGCCTGCTGTTACATCTGCAAGATGAGATTTCTGAGTTGGAAGAGCAATTGCACAGACTTGACACTGCGGATACACAGACCAGGAGGCTGCAGACTTGTATCATGCCAGCGTCTCGGCGGGCTGAAACTCTAGCGGGAGGCGAGCTTCAATGGCATCGAACAGATATTCTTGGCAAGATTGGTTTCAAGTTGGAGCAATACAGTGAGTTTTTGTCCTCCAAGCAGCTGGATTCATTGTCACTGGTGCCCAGGTTATCTAATATAAATGCAACGACCTTTGAATCCAGCAGCTGACCTTGCACAGACCGTATTCTAGCATCATTTCAAGCAACCGAATGCTTCGAGACTCCAACCATGGCTGACGTTCACGAGTATCGGGGATACTTGGCAACTCATCGGCCAATCGTTGAGATTGAAAGTCAATTCCTTGATGCAGGAGAGGACCTCATCTGTCTCGGTGACACTTTCGACAGCGGGTACGACGAAGATGCGGCACCAACTCCCACGCCTCGTCGTGGCTCAATCTCGTTCGAGCAGAGGTCGCTAGATGATGATCCCCAGCAGTATTTTCCGACTGTGAATGACAAGGACTCTGCGTTGGATGATCCCTCAGTCCCGATAAATCTTGCCCTGGCCATCGCCGTGGTCGTTCCGACATTAATATTCAGCTTGATCCCGGGCTTACTTGGACGCATGGTCGTCGTAGCCTTGGTGGGGACTGGGGTTGTTGGCATACTCAGACGAGGCCACGTGATTGGCACACGCGTGACAAAGGATTTTTGCATTTGCGCTGGAACATATGGTGCCATTATGGCAGTGATTGCGAGTGTTTGTGGATAGTGAATGCGGAGCAATTTCGATACCTACAAGCTCACGGGGCACAACTGGCTCAGACATGTGGTTGGAGCAAGGATAATAGGGCCATAAATTGGTGCATTAGTTGGGAATTGGGACATGACTTGGCTGGTATCTGGGCGTTGGGTTGGATATGCTTCATATTCGATATGATGAGGCTCGAAAATTGATAGCGAGGTAATACCAGAGTAGGGACTCATCGCACCAGTTAATACTATTACATGACTGTTCAAATACCATGGCAATATAATGCTCTGAATGAAGAGTTGTTCATCAGCAACCATGGAGGTGCAATCATGGTCAAACGTATTTATCTGTTTTTGATTACCAATGTGGCTCGAAATGTTCTGCTGGGTTATTGTACACTGGGGTACGAATTCCAGACGCTGCAATGAATACTCTGGGACAGTTGCCTTGGAGGGCCATCGTAATCAAACATGATGATTGACAACACGCACAAAATCAACGCGGGTTGCGGTAGATATCCAACATGTAGTAGCAGCCTGCAGTAGATCCCTGATTTCAATGTTTCCAGTGATAACCATGCCAGCGGCACAGAGTGGGAAGGCGCTCAGCCCCACCAACAGACTTGTGGTTGTGCATGCAAGAGTGAGGATCAGGTTGCACCGAGAAAGAATCCATCTCTAGAACCTCGGCCTAGTTTGATTACAGCCTTTCTTTATTTCACCAACATGGAATAAGTGACTTGAGAAAACGACTCAACATCCAAGGAGCATTAGTTATTTACGGCACAAGCTATGACTGCTTCGGCTCTTTCTCATTGTTGCCCACTGAACCCCGCTACAGCAGATCTTGCTCAATAGATGCAGCGGGAAATCACAAGATATTTGGTTTTCTCCCTTCTCTTTTCCGCCAAACCTTTGCAGTCATCGCCGAGAGCCTTTTTGTGTCCAAGGGAACTTAGCAGGGCAATCGATTACGCTGTGAGGATTGCTCCCATCAGTTTCCATCAAGCTCGCATGCAATCAGATATGCCTGTTTGACAGGTCACATGGTAGAGGGGTCCTGCGATTTCTGTCCAGAATCATTCCAGAACAAACGCGTTCTTCGATGACATGAAACGCAATTCTATCGTCACAGCCAATCTGCACCATTACTAAAGAGCTGTTCGTAAGAGCCACACCCCAAAACTTCAACTGTCAAACAACAACAAACGCCAACCTCGGGTTACAAACACCGAGGTCCACCGAACCAAGCATTTTCAGCGAACGACGATCTGAAATTGTTTAGCAAGAACGTCACAATCACTTACCAACCCAGTGGTCTGCCAGCAATGGATCATCGTCTTGAGCGCCAAACTCAGCAAGGCCGTGCAAGCACTCGTTCAGAAACTCTAACGCCCGTTCTCATTCCCACCATAGACAAGGTCGATGCTTTTGCCACACCTGTAGTTGACAGTTCCAACCTGAGTCCAACTAGGCAGGGTGACAATATGGACAGCAGTCACACCCCCGATACGTCTGACGAAGGTAATTACTAGCTAAATCTTCAACATGAGCAGCCCGACTAACTCGGCCACAGACGTTCCTAAAGAGCACAAAACCATTGTGTTCTTGCCGCCGCCTCAATATCCAGCTATTCAATTCGACATTGCCGGCCACGCAACCTGGGGTGATAATGCGTACAGTTTGATTCCTCAAACGCAGAACCTGGTTGAAGCTATCCGACTGAGACGCCATGACCAGGATCGTTTACTCCGTCAGAGGATTCTTACTGTTGAGAACTCTTCTGTCTGGTTCGGAATGCGTCTCCCAGCAGGCGTCAAGCAAAGGGATTTCCTGGCTGCCCCAAAACCGTCGGTTAATCGTGCCCGCCGTCAAGTCGTTGCCATTGACTGTGAAATGGTCGGAGTCAACGCTGGCAAACCTGGAGAGAACTGGGAAAGAAGCGAGTTGGGTCAAATTTGTGCAGTCGATGTCTTGACCGGCGAGATTCTCGTAAACATGCTGGTGCTTCCTGCAGAGAGAGTCATCAACTGGCGCAAGAGATTCAGTGGTCTCTCATATCCCGCCATGATTCAAGCCGACAAGGAAGGCAGACTCCTTCGCGGATGGAAGGCAGCTCGTACAAAGCTTTGCAGCTACATCGACACCAATACAATCATTATTGGACACAGCGTGGAGAATGACCTCCATATGCTACGCCTCGCGCACAGCAACATTGTGGACACCTCCATTCAGACGGCCGAGGCTGTATTTGGCGACAAGCTGAGCTTTGACAGGATCTGGAGCCTCAAGGATCTAGCCAAGGCACTTCCCAAGATCAACATACAGAACAGCAGACAGGGACACGACTGTGTCGAGGACACCCTGGCCACGCGAGAGGTGGCCTTGTGGGCCATTTGCTACCCCGAACAGCTTGCCGCTTGGGCTGCGCAGATGAGAATTGATTTGAAGAAGAAGAGAATGGAGCTCGAGAAGAAGCTTAAGGAGCAGGCCAAGAAGAGGGCAGCAGAAAAGAGGATGCTAGAGGAGGCCGCTATGCAGCAAGTCGACTCGACGATGTCTCAGTTGGTCCTAGCATAGAGCTTCAGGGCTCGTTACGGACACATTCATGTTCTTGAGGTGCAAGCGATTCTGTTTTCCCACCATGACATACTCATGGTCTTTCATAAGCAAGCGTTTACATTTCCCAAGCCGCATTCGATCCTATTTCTCACATACTCTTGTCTTTGTATGCGCACTTGTTCACAGTTTGCATGCGTATACATTCTTGTTTTCTTGTACATAGCATGTCATGCAGCGCTTGCAGATTGTCCTCAACTACATGCTTTAAAACGGTTTTCACTGACTTTTTATTTGTGTACATGTCCCACGAATTGCTTCGACGTCTTGATGGCTGAGATGAATGTCAAAGTATTTCTTCAGCGCGGCGATTCTTTCCTCCTCGCTCTCCAACTGCTTTTCCAGTACGGTCTCGCCGTCTCGCCGCCACTTTAGTTTGTTGTTGTCCAGAATCAACGTCCCGTCAAATTCATCCTGCAGTTCGAGAGCTTTTACACGAGGATTCTGGGCCCCTTCGACCTCGATTTCTCCCTTTATGGTGAATCTCGTCACGATGACGCGCTGAGTGAAGAGCGATGTGGGACTCTTCCATGGAGAAAGGTTCATGCCACGAATATCTTCCAGTATAAACTCAAAGTCCACAAAACAGTACATTGGCTCCCAGCTGGCACGGGCATTGATCCTCTGCTGGTATATCCACAGTTTGCACTCCTGGTCGGCATTTTGAGGGATTGGCTCTCGGACAAGTCGCATATCCGCCGGCGCAATCTGCGTGTGCTGGCGTCCAACGTCTAGCGGCAACGGCACCGTGGGCCCATTGGCCCCGAACCCGACGTCGACCATGTACCGCGCCCCGTCGCCGATCCGGATGATGTTGACGCAGTGCGAAAAGCCGCCATAGGATGCTGTCGGGGCCCTGTACACGCGGGCCCCGGCCATGAAGACGCGGAACCCCAGCGACAGGAGCAGCGTGTGCAGCAGCGAGTTGACCTCCATGCAATAACCGCCGCGTCCGCGTCCGGCCCCGGCCCCGGCCCCTTGCCGCTCGGCAACGATCTTGTCAAAGAGGTGCGGCGGGTTCACGTCGACGACGCGGTGCCACGAGTAGTGCAGCGTCAGGTTCTCAAAGGGCACCGTGACTAGGTGGTGCCTTTGCAGGAGTTGCAGAAATCTCAACTGCTCGTCGTCTGACAAGTCGGAGACGGAGTACTTGCGCTCATGGTCTGGGAGGGCGATGCGGGTAAAGTAAGCCTCTATTTGGGACTTGTCGAAACGTGGACGGCCTGCCATGATTTCCGAGGGCTTGGGGAATCGTCGCTGATGATTGCGGTAAAATTCTATTTGCTTATGTGTCGTGAGTCGAAGAATGCTATAGTCATTCAAGGTCCCTTCCAGATGCACCAATGATGTAAATAAAGGTATTCGACTCTGTCAAGGCTCAATTATTCGGAATATTCATGTCGTTGAAGGGCGTGCTTGGCGACCCGCTATTGAGTCATGGATTCTAGTGGCTAGGCCAAGTTCTATTGGTGATGCACTTTATATTGCAAACATTGAATGTGTATGTCTGTGAAACTTCTATCAAGTTATTATACAAGCTGTATTTATTTACAGGCTTCAGTAGGTAGCAAAGAAACCACAAACTTACAAGCCGAAAGTTTATACAGTTCCTCAACTGTATGTATAGTCAGAACTTGGAAACTTAATAGTCGGAGCAACGCCCTTGAGCTAATGTCCCGACCTCGGCAATTAGTGCCTCACTTGCAAGCACTTGATGCCGTCATAGGCACCTACAGTCTTGATAGTTTTTAAAGTAAACACGAGATCATGGCAACAAATCGTTCACTTTATAGAAAAACACGGGGTATTTATTATGCATAAACCTAACACTTTTGCGTGCAGTCCCTTCTAGTGTAGTGGGAAAAGTTCAAGGTATCCCTAAGCGACACGGAGCGTCGTTAAAAGTCAAAGGGGCAGATCTCGGGATTTAATCAGAATCGGATGAGCTCGAAGACGAACCGCCTCGGCTTCTGTCTCGCTTGTGGTGCTTGTCTTTTTTGTGCTTCTTGTCCTTCTTGTGCTTCTTATCCTTGAAGTGATCCTCCATCTTGTGGCCGGCAATGGCTCCACCAATGGCGCCCAGAATACCGTGTCCGGCCGCGCCGCCGCCAATAGCGCCCAAGACGCCTCCGCCCATGGCGCCGAGGAGACCTCGGTCACCCTCCTGTCCTTGGGGGTTTTGCTGTTGTTGGCCTCCGTAGCTATGCGACGGAGCGCCTTGGCCGTACTGAGGTTGCTGCTGCGAGTACTGAGGAGCGCCGCCGCCGCCTTGGCCGTGCTGCGGGTAGCCGCCCGGCGGTCCTTGCTGCGAGTACTGCTGCTGAGGCGGGTAGCCTCCTCCCTGGCCATAACCGCTGTGCTGGTGCTGAGGCGGAGGCGGGTGGCCGTACCCGGGCTGAGGGCTGTGGCCTCCGTACGAGCCAGGCGCGGGAGAGCCGTAGTAGTTGCCGCCCTGCTGAGGCGGGGGAGAAGCATATTGGTTCTGAGGCGGGTATGGTGACTGTCCGCCATGCTGTTGCGGGTAGCCCTGTTGTTGTTGATTATACCCGTAGTTCTGCTGACCTCCGCCGCCTCCGTAGTAATCTCCGGCTGACATTGTGTGTGTGTGTGTGTGTATGTGACGCTGGCTGAAGAGCGGGGTTATGTTCTATGGATGTACCTAGGTAGGTAGGTAGGTAGGTAGGTATAGTGGGAAGTATAATGTTTTTTCTGGTTGTTCTCTTGGCACGGTTCCAAGTGGAGCGAGTCGACAGGTGTAAAAACAAAAGAAGCTTTGTTCAATGCCTGCAGGGGAGCTGATGATTTATGTAGTCAAAGACAAGCTTACAAGAAGCCAACGTGGATGAAGTAGGTACTACTACCTACCAACCAGGCTGACTTGCCGACTCCGCTTTGTTCATCAATCTAAATTAAGGATCTCCCTTCGCCATTCGCTTTAGCTTCCCTCAGCCCTTATTAGCAGAATGCTGGTCGTCCGTTCCGTGCATCCCGTTCGTCTTAATGAGGCCTCTCCCTTCGGATCCCTTTGCTTCCCCGCGTGGCAGTGCAATTATGTCGCTATCTAATTCGCCCCCAACTCGCCATCTGATCTGCCACAGTCAAAGCTCAGCCTTCCTTCATCGCCTGCATGCACGTAACTCTGTCTCAATTGCGAATGCTTGTACGCGTATCATCTCGGCTGGTCAAATATGTAAGCCACAAAGTATCGCGTGCTTGTCAGAGTGCGCGCTTCGCTTATGGCTGTGCGTAGTCTTTTGTCGTATCCAAAAAAGACCTTGAGAGCTGAAACCTAAGATACAACTGCGTCACTGTAATTCTACTGCCCCAACAGCCTAACTTATCAGGCGCTATACTTTACTTTATACTGCGGGGCGCCGCCACAACGGCTGCTACTACTGACAAGGAAGTCGAATACCAATTACCTGTATTCTTTATGCCGAAAGCGAGTGCAACAAGGACTGTGCTCTGATTTACATCTATAGATTACAGAACACTAGCTACCTGCAGGTATGAATTCATGTTTCATAGCCAGTCTGATAACTTGACTGCCTCTTCTGGAGTCGGCTTTGTCGGATACCCCCAGATCATCCATGGCTCGTCCTGCCTGCGATCGTCACGAACCTGGCCTCTGGACTTTTGCACAGCTTCAACGCCGCGACGCATCATATGTTCCTGGTATGCTGCGATGTTCTCGAGGATCGTCTCGCCGCCATCGTTTCCGCACCTATCAATGGCTTCAGCTAGCTCTAGAGCATCGCGCATGGCATGGACTCCTCCCTCACCGCGGACTTGATGAAATGAAGAAAAAAAACGTCAGCTGAGTGGCACAATTTGACGGGATCCTGAGGGACCAGGGGGATTTTGGGGAACTAACATGGTGCCATTGGGTGAGCTGCATCGCCCAACATGGTAACGCGGCCACCTCTGACCTCGTGCTCCAGGATCTCAGCATCGCGGAAAGAAAACGCATCGGTCCGCATGCCCTCTTCGGGTGTCAGCTTGATGATCTCGGTAAACGTATCATCCAACTGTTTTCCATATTCCAGTGCTTTTTCCAATCGTTCGGCCCTGGTAGCGTGCTTTGTCCAATGATCAAGGTTGTCAGTGTGCTCATCGGGAACCATGAGATACCAGTAATAATAGCCAGTTCTGCCATCGTCAGAGACCTTGTCCAGCCCTACAAATATGGACAAGGTCTTGCTGGCGCTTATGCCTAGGTATGAACTGTGGCTCAGGGACAATTGACGCTCAAATTCGGCACCAGCAAGAGTGGTCTCTCCCACAATAACGGCAAACGGGTTGGTTTGAAGTGTTTCCTTGTTCGGCCGGGATAAAAGGTATTCTCGCACTGATGACTATATCAGTCAAGACATTTCTGCAAATACTGGCATCATGCTTACCATAACTATTGATGCCGTCAGCACCCACGAGTATGTCGCCTGAAACTTGGGTGCCATCTTGAAAGTGTACAGTCACTCCATATTCAGCTTCTTCGATACTTGTTGCCTGCTTGTTATAGCTAATGGGAATATTGGTGGCTAGCCAATGGCGCAGGCGATTTCGGTTCGCTCGCAGTACAAAGGTGTCTGGGGATCCAGTGACGGCCAGACGCAGGCCATTTACGTAGCAAGCAAACTGCGCAGGCAATTTCAAAGGTTCGAGATGATTCACAGATGGCTCAATGGGAGGAAGCTCATCTGGGACGTGGGCCTGGATATCGTTTAGGATACTATAATGGTTAGTCAATGCTAAGAAGTAATTCATTGGTCTCGGTGACACCGTACCTGTGCAAGCCGAGAGCCCAGCCTTGCTGTCTAGCATTCGCATGTGCGTCTCGCTCAAAGATTTCAAAATTTATCTGCCGCTTGCGAAGGGCTTGTGCCAGCAGGAGTCCGCCCAGACCGGCGCCAATTATGAGAACATGTGGTTTCTTGGAGACCATGACTGCAAGTTCGTACGAAGAAGGTGGTCAGGCGTAGCTGAAAGAATAGGTGCAACGCGAGTCAAATTTACAAAGATTTCTTTACTTACGATGGCGGATAAATATATCCAATTCCACGGAGCCTTGCGCAATGGCAGAGATACAGAGATTGGCCATGCTTGCAACCTTTTATGTCGTCTAGTTCGAGTGCCGTCCGTTTGTACTCACCACACGGGACCGGCGTGCCCAAAACGGCTCGCCGGACGGGGCAGTCTATCATTTATAGTAGCTCCGCGGATCCGGTGTGTGGCTCAGACAGTGTAGTACTATGACGGTCAGCCATGAAGGGTTGGCACGATGGGTGGTCAGCAGTGTCTCGTTGTTTCTTCTCATTCTCTTCTCTTATTTGGGTCAAACCCAAAACATACAATTTGGTAATCTTAGATAATCAAGTTAGCCATACTAACACCTGAGCGGCCCTGACTGAATTATAAAGAGATGCAATAGCAATGTATTATAAGTGGAAGGGCTTAAATGTATTAAGCACCAGCTCCTGTGGATCGGTAGAATAGTGCCCCGGGAGGCAAATGACAGACAACTTGATGAAGCATCAATACGTATAGGTCTAGGGGATTGACTCAAATGGGTACGGAAATATTCTTCTGCAGCAAATATCATCATCAAAGCCGTCGGAATATAATACACGCTTCACACATGCTGCCCTAAGCGTGTCTTGACTTGTCGTACAAAGTATAAATCAAATCCTCCGAATTCAAACAGCGAGGTACCTGTGCATCCTATCCCAGAATTCGAAATGGCACTTTCGTCACAACTGATTTACTAATGAAAACCAGCTGGACGAATTTACCTCAAGCACACATGATCTCACCTCACAAGACTCAATCTTGGAACGGTTGTCAACGGTTTACAGTGTAGCGCGCCGTTAGCAGGGCTAGGTGTTCAGTTAGGCCGCGCGCCAGGCGCTTGCTAACCCCTGAAACCCCCCCTTCGAAGTGAAGCGGGGCATGCGGTTAGCTGGTGTCTGAACTTTTAGCGACAATTCTACGTGTTCTGCAACCGCTAAAACGGCAGGGAATCTGAGATGGATCTCAAGATCGCCAAGCATCAAAGAACAGACAAAGAACAGCTGAACCAACGGACAACAATCAGGGATTATGGGTGAGGCTGGTTAGGTTGGAATGTCGGACTTGGTGGAGTGGGTAAGGTTCATGTATGTAGTAGGTGGTTGGTGGACAGAATCCATGCGTATGCCGAAGCCTAAATTTGTTGTTGTTTTGGCACCTTTTTTTTTTTCCATATGATGCGCGTTGTTGTTGACTTGGGTCAAGCGAGCCTGGGAAGCCCCTCACAAGAAATCTAGATGCAGACAAAAGAAGCAAGTACCTACCTAGACTCAGGACCATTTGATTGGAAGCCAAATGATTGAAACATCATGGCCACGCTGCCATTGCAAAAACACTACGAGCTCTGATCAATAGATCTAGTAAAAGTCGACATTCTTCGCTCGAAGTTTATCTTTGCACCCAAAGAGATCGTTCTGATGTCACCTCTGCATGACTCATGATGTATGCAATTCGACTGATTCATTCATTCCAACATTTATCGAAGCCCAAGTCGCTGAAGTAAAAGAATTAAGGGAAAACGCCCCCCAAAATCGTACAACTTAACGCACGACACGTACCTACTTACAGTACATACAGCACAGCACCGCCAGGTATTGTAAATGCATTAGATATCCACCCTCCCCCTAGCTCCAGGCCTGCATGTCCGCCAAACCCTGTCGCTCGCATTCAATTGATCTGAAAGCCCAACGCGCCGACAAGGGGGAGAAGAAGAAAAAGAAGAAGGACGACGACGACGACGACGACAATCACGACCAGAAACATTATTTCGAAGATTTTCGCCAGAGACAAGAATTGCCACCGAATGCATGAAGTCTCCTACTCGATCCCATGGATGAAGACGAGAGCCGCGCCGGCGCTCGCTCCCAGTCGCCCGCCCTCAAGGTAGACTCGCCTCCTGAGGACGATAGCTACAATGTCGGCGACTCCTCGGACGCGCATGCCGACTCCATGACCGAGGAGCAACGCCTCCGAGCCCACCTGCTGCAAGACGTCGAGTCCAGTTTCGTGCCTCCCATATCGCCAGTTAGGGTAGCTGGGCCCGAAGGCGGAGTCGACGATACCTTTATGTTTGACGCCTCGGCCTCCTCCAAAAAGGCACCGAGTCCGCTACGAGAGTCACGTCACGGTGATTACAACGGGGGTGTAGACCACGGTGCAGAACTCCCAGTGGAAGGAGGAAGAGCAGGAAGAGGAGAGGCACCTACGACGGAAGCGGAAAATCCCCACGAAGTACGCAGCACAACGCCAGCAACAGCGACCGCATCAGAGCCAGACGAAGAGAGAGATGACGAACACGATTCATACAATGGCAACAGTCACGATGACTCCCACCTGGATCGGCATACTACCCACGATGACTCCGAATTGCCAGCCCAGAATATATCTAGTGCCACGCCTTCAAGTCCATTGCTAGACGCAGAACATGCCGAGCTACATGGCGATCACTCTTTTGATCACACCGAGCCTGGCAACACGACCTCTTCCCTCGAGACCCTGTCATCTTCCCCAACTGCCGCTGCTGCCGCGAGGACAATCTCGAGAGCAATTTCCATGGCTAGCCAACATACCGCCTCCGGGGAGGAATACAGCACGAGCGATGCGGAGCATTCGATATCTCGGGATAGCTCAAGACTGAGACTGCCTTGGGCCGATCACTCCTTCTCGGCTGGCGCGTCAAGTCGCGGAGATCATACCGCAGAGCTAGACCCCCAAAAGCTGTCTGTTGACGCTGGAAGTACGCCAGGAGCTGCACTGCGCTCTGGAAATAGACCCAAGTATTTGCACAGTAGGCATGCTAGCCAGAGGTCTTCTGTTTCTTCCTACTCTGCAGAAGAGGACGGTTCCAGCGACAATACTGTCGGTCTCGGTGCGGATTTTGCTATTCAGTCGGGCGGCGCCGTCCCAGCTGGAGGCATGCAACGGAGTCTTAGCAATGTCCTCTCTCGATCGGTGAGCATGGGAAGCTGGGCCTCTGGACTTGATGACCTCCCTGATTCTACTCGGACATTGGAGCCGCTGGAGCCTCTAGAGGAGATTGATGGATTCCCGGAAAGAGCTGGCAAGCTAAACGGCAGCGAGGACAATTTAGCAACTCCAAAGGCTACAAAAAGTAACACGCTTCTGCCTCCCACCGACACCGTCATCGCAAAGCACGTTCAAAATGTAGAGGTTCCCGAGTCTTTGGCGATTGAGTACAAAACCAAGAATGGTCTCGAAACTCCAATCAAGTCATTCCGAAAGACCATGGTCGATTTCACTCCGGTGCCAGGCACTGCTGCAAAGAATGGAAGAAGTATGACCTTGAAAGAGCAATCAAGTACCATCGAACGCCTATCCAAGGAGAACTTTGATCTCAAGCTCAAGGTCATGTTCTTGTCAGACCGGCTAGACAAGCTCTCTGAAGAAGGTGTTAAGGAAATGGTCTCGGAGAATGTTACGCTCAAGACTCAGTTGGCAAAGCTACAACGCGACAATAAAGGACTACGTCGAGCGAATAAGGAGCTCGAACAGCGATTGCGCGATGAAGTAGATACCCGGCCGAGTACTGCCAAGAGTGGCTACTCGTCAGATGGGCAGACAGAATCACCTATTGATGACGATGAGAGGGAGGAAGAACTCTTGTATCTACGTGAGCGTGTCGAGCAACAAATTACAGAAATCGAACGCCTGAGAAGCGAGAACATGACCAACCAGGCAGACAAGAGGAGACTCGCAGAGACCGTCAAGGCAATGGGAGATCAGGCAGGCGAACGGATGGGCAACAGCCTAGGTCGCGAAGAAGAGGCAGACGTGTTCAAGGATCTTCTCGAACAAGAAACTGCCCGCCGTGAACAAACCGATGAGGACAACCGAAGACTGAACGAGGAGATCTTCCGTCTCAAGCAAGAACTCAACATGGCCCATGGGGCTCCTGCCGGGTCTCTGAGCAGCGGCGCTGGAGGCATGCACCACACGACCAATATTTACAACATTACTAGAAAGGCAAAGCCAACATCACCCACAAGATCGCGCCCCATGTCAGGCCTCTCTGGAGACATGGACCTTGGATCAATGAGCCAGTCCAGCACGCTTGTGGAAGATCTTCGCCGAGAGAGTGAGCAGTTACGACACGAAAACGCCGAGCTCAGGAGAGAAGTGGGCGCTCAAACTTCCATGCTTACATCACGCAATCGTGAGAAGGAGAGGCTGTACCAAGAGATCGAAGACTTGAAACTAGCGCAACGACGTAATGGGCATGCGCCATCAACCATTGATACACTGCTGGATCGATCCGCATCCCGAGCCGGCGGCCATGAGAGATCACAATCTAGGATAAGTGCCCGAACGCGACTCACTATGGCTGCAGAGGACCCCGGACGCGAAGAGTTTGAGAACAAGCTCGCGGAGCATCGTGACAAGATCAACGAACTCAGACTGCAGAATCAGGAACTGCAACGGGAACTCGAGACCTGCATGGAAGACTTTGAGATTGCCGTTGAGGGCAAGAAAGAAGCCGAGACAACCGCGATGAGCCTACAGGATGAGCTCGACAATGCGATGAATGATCTGATCGCCATACAAAACGAGCGAGATGAGGCACTTCAAGAGGCTTCCGAAATTGAAACCAAGTTTAATGATTTGCGGCAGGAGGCGCAAGAGGAGATATTGGCCCTCGAGTCCTTCGTCGATCAACAAACCGAGGATATGCAACGACTGGAGCTCGAACTGCAAGAGTCAACGGATAATTTCAGTGCTTTACAGGAAGAGATGCATAAGCTTAGCGAAGCATTCATGCGCCTCGAAGACGACCAAGAACAGAAGTATCGACGAATCGAAGAGCTCGAGGCAGAAGTTGCCGACAGTAACAAGGAATTCGAGGAATTGGAAGCCAAACTCGTTGAGTCCAATGACAAGGCTAACCGGCTTGGCGTTCAACAAGAGTCCAGCCAGGGCGAAATTGCATTCCTGCGCGAAGAGCAGGAGGCTGATAAGATCCGCATCGGTGATCTGGAAGCTGCTGTTGCAAATGCGGAACAAAGTCTCCGTGAAGAGCGTGATCGCGCCAAGGAGCTGGATCAGCGACTGGCGAATGAGAGACGACAACGGGAAATCATCGCCACGCGTGAGAAGGAGGAAGTCCAGCGATTTGTCAATGAACAAAACAAAGACCTCGCCTCGGCTAAAGACGAGGCACGGCGTCTGCGTAAGAACCTCACGAGCCGCGAAGTCGAAGCTGCCGAGTGGAAGGAGAGGCTCATGGAGCTTGAAAACAATTTGCGCGAAGCTTTGGGTGATCTCAATGGCACTAGATCCAGTCTACTTAAGTCGATAGCCAAGGTCCAGAAAGATCTGGAGACCACCGTCCGCGAGCTCGATACGACCAAGGCATCGGTATTGGAGAAGGATCGTATCATCAAACAGCGGGATGCGCTGCTCGAATCGCACGGTCTCGAGGGCAAGAAGCTTGCTGAGCTGTTGGACAAGGAGCGCCAAGCTCATCGCAACACTAAGAACTCTTACGAGACTTTCCAGCGAACCCACCAACATGTTTCCCGCACCGTCACGAACCAAGACACTCGCATTGTCGAGCTAGAGTCCACGCGCGCTAGTGATAAGAAGAGGCTTGCCCAACTGGAGAACAATTTCAAGGACCAATTGACGGAGCGCAACAATCTTCTCCTGGTTCTCTGGACCAAGTTGTCTGCCGTGTGCGGTACCGACTGGGCTCATGACCACAGCTTGATTAATGGTCGGGCTCTACCGAGCTTGGAGGCCGTGGCAACAATGCTACCCGGATTCAGCAAGAACCTCCTGGCTGCGATCAAGCACATTGAGTCCGTCATTGGCGGATTTCAGACTCGCATTAAGGGTGTCGAGAAAGAACTCTGGAAGGAATACCAGGCACTGGACAACAGCTTGGATTTGCGCTCCAAAAAGCTCGATCGCCTCGAGTCCATCGTGCGCAACGGCGTCGTTGCTGGCGATTTCTCTGCAACTGCCAGAATCTCTCAACTTGAAGCTGCGATCCGCGCTCTCAAGATTGAAAATGCCACCTTGATGAGGGCCAATGATGCTAAAACCAGGGCGGTTGGCGGCTACTTCGACTGGCGTGGAGATGGCGATGGTAAGGGAGATGTAGACGAGTACGGCAGCCCGTCTCCGCATATTCCCACAGGACCAATTAAGAAGAAGCCTGGCGATGCCGAGATTGATGGTCAACGGAAATCCAGCTTGACTACTAAGAGTAAGGCATCACATCTCGAAGCCACGTCAAGCTCGAAAACAAGGACGAACACCATGAGTCGTAGCTCGTCTACCAATGCTCATGCGCCAGCGGAATACGAGGCCACCAACAGCACCTCGGGCGGCGGTGATGGAGACACAAAGTGGATGTTCCGACTCAGAGAACTCGAGTACAAACTCAAACAGGAGCGGGAAGCACGCAACATGGACCGATCGGCTGCAAAACAGAGGATACTTGAGGGCGAGCGGCAGAAGGATGAACTCGTTGCTGAGCTCGTCAGGGCCAAAAGGAGGGGCGGGGAATAGAAGGGCCCTCGTTCTTCATCTTCTGTTCGTCATTCCATTGGACTTCTCAGGCATAGGTTCTCGGCGTTGTTAAAGGGCACACGCGATCACGATCACGAGCATTAATCAGGAAAACCCACTAGAACGGAGTCAATGGAGTTGGCAACGTATGACTTGAACCACATGGAACCCAAAATCTCGGCCAGGGGTCTTGTTGTTGTTTTTTGTATCACGTTTGTATCATAAGTCTTTTAAGGGTCAGTCAAACTTGTATGTCACGACTGCGTTTTTATCGTTTTCGTTTCGTGGGAAGGAGTTTATGATGGGCCTCTATTGCGTTTTCAGCGAACGTTGAATTTCGTGTTATCAAGAATTGATTGATGATCAACAGTCCGTACACTACTGAGAAATATGCCACTGAAGGTGCGTAGATCTGGGACTTTGATTCATGAGTGACGTGGACCAGAGTGTTTCTTTATCGAGACTGAATTGGTCAATAGGTAAGGAGGTAAGTATCTATGTGCCCGATGTTCTGAATTGGTTTATACAGACAAGCCAGCAAGAGACATGCCACCTGCGCTCAGGCTGGGTCATTGGTATTGCACCGCTCTGATACCATTCCGTCATTGTCTGTACCTATCAAGCTAAATCATGCTTAAACCAGACAACATTTACACCATCGACACACGGCGCATTCTTTTTTAGATCACAGGCAAGCTGGACTTGTCTCCTGGTTCACTGAATCAGCCCAGTGAGGAGGCGCTAGACCTGAAGGGGGGCGTAATTAAACGCTGTTGATCTTAACTTGACAGTGCACAACTCCACTCCCCCATGCTCACTCAGCCTTGACCGACCCTTTGAATCGTGAGGTTGCACGCAGGGCTGGCTAACCGAGTCCACCGGGGCAATGGTCGATTACCGCCAACCAGGAACTCGGGAGGAAAGGCACTAGGCGGCTGATAAAAGGCGAGAATGTGAGTAGTATATATCCGATTTTGGTCTGTTGGAACAAACGACAACCCTGTCTTTTTATCAGCTTATTATATAAGAAAGCGTATGAGGATTAAGAATTGAAATCGTTGAAGTTGCTACGGGCTAAGGCGAGACTACACATAAACTAAGGGTACCCCCCCCTAGGTGACTTAGGAATTTCTCTATAATTTTGCGAATTTATAAAATAACCTAAGGATACCTGCGGGGCTACCGTTATCTGCATTTATTTAAATAAAGCAAATAAATCGATTTACGACTTTAGCGTATGCAAATTTATATATAACCTTTTATAGGTATATGCCTCGGCGGTAACCGCTATTATATAGATACCAGCCTTTTAAAAGCAATTTTTGGAAAATTATAAAATTATAAAATAATAAATTTAGAACGAATTCGGAACGAGTTTTAAATATATTTTCGGCGAAATCGGGAAAATATTAAATCGAAAAAATACGGTATCGGAAAATGTTACGAATATACACCCTTGCATACGGCAAAATAAAGGATATTAGCGCTTAAAAGATAATATACGGGGCTTAGAACCGAAGTCCGCAAATATTCCAAATAAGGATTAGCCTAATACCCCTGCTACCTATTAATAGCTATTAATAGGCTTATTACTAAATTAATAATTTAAAAGTAAAACTTATAATAAGGATTAATAAGCTATACGTAAGTATTACTATTATAATAATAATTTAAAAATATTAGTAAAAAAATAAATAAATATATATTATAAAAGGATTTCCTATATAAATAGTTATTACCTTAGTAATTAATTTAAGCATTTATTTTACCTATAAATAAAGCATTTGATACGCTTTAACGATTATATTTATAAATTAATTTAATTATTTTTACCTTCGGATACTTATTGCTTAATATTTTCTTTCGAAGCTATCGTTCCTTATTAGCATAAACCCTTAATACCTTTTATACCTCAGGTTTATCCTAGAAACCCGTAATATAGTCGTTATAGAAAAGAATAAGGAAAAAATATATAAAAAATTAAAAGAAAGGATAAATATAAATTAAAAATAAATAGCAAAATATAATAAAAAAATTGCTTTTTTATAGCTTAATCGTTATAAAATCCTAAAGCGGAAATAGCTGCGTTTTAGCTAAACGATATTTTTTTTATTTAGCCTTTTTTAAAACGGTTTAATAAAATTTTAAATTTAAATTTTAATAACGACTTAAATAACCTAAATAAATTCGACGATAATAATATAATACCCGATAACGTTTAACGTCGGAAAGGCGTAAATTTTAATATTATTGCAAAACGAATCGATTTAAAATTAATTTAGCAATAATATTTTAGGTTATTAAAAAGCTAATAAATTTAATTTTAAGCTTAAACCCTGCTATTTTAAAACGTATATTTTTATAATATATATTATTTATAATAAAAAAGCAATTCGCAATTAATATACCTAAATATTTAAATAATAACCTTAACGGTATTACTATTTTTATTTTAATAAATGGGTTAAATAACCGTAAAAAGGAGTTGCTAATGGATTATATAAATATTTTTTTAAATATATTTTATATTATAACTAATTACGATAAGCTTTAATATAATAAAATAAAGAAATTACCTAGTTACTTTTTATTAAGTATTATATTCGATAATGCTATAATTATACGGTATATATATTAGTATATAGGTGGAAAAGCGTGCTAATTTTTATTCGAAAAAAAGCATTTTTAGTTATATACCTTAGTTAATATAAAATTATTAAAAAAGCTCGAAGCTATACGCTTAAAAATAAAAACAGAAACTTCTGCTAAATAAGCGATTGCGTAAATATTTTTTATAATATAATTTTAAATTTATATTAAATTATATTTAAATAGGCACGCTTAATTTTTAACCGATTAAAAAATAAATAATTATACCACGAATAACGAGGATTTTATTATTTTAAAATTATATAATTATAATATAATAATATTATTAATAAGCCTTAAATAAGAATTCGCTATTATAATTATCGATTTATATTAAAATAGGAAGGCTATTTCGATATTTTGGTTTTATTAAAATTTTATAAATAATAGGATTTTATTAACTAAATCTTTTTTAAAAAGTATATTACGGATAAAGTTAACCTAAACGAATGCTATATATTTTTTAATATAAAAAGCAAAGCCCAAATTTGCAATAAATAAAAAAAATATAATATATATTTAAAATTAATAAATTATAGCTAAAACGCATTATCGACGGAATATTCTAATTTTACGCGTAAATTATAATATAATATTTATATTTATTATTTTAAAATAATTCGATATTATATTATAGATAATTATTATATTTAAAAAAATTTACGACCATCCACCACCTCCGCTAACTCGAGTCCCGCCTTATTTATTAGATAATATTGCTCGAATTATCCAAAATATAGGTAATATTAAGCTTATATTAAATATATTTAAAATATAATAATTAATAGAATTAATATTAATTCGATTTAAATGGCTTCTTAAGGTTTTAAGAATTGCAAAATATGCTTTAATAATATAATAGCCGCATTATATTTGACGTATATTAAAGTCTTATAAATAACGATTATTTACGTTATATTATTCGCAAATAATAAATTTTTTCGTTTCCTAAAGGAACCGGGCGGCTTATAATTTAGCATAAATATATATTTAAACGTAGCTAGGCTTTTTTAATAAATATTTATTTATATTTTAATATATTTATAATTTATATTAATTTTTAATAATATATTTAATATATATAAGATTTTGGTTTAAATTAAATAATAATATATTTTTATTAAAAATAAACTAAATAATAGCGCTAATTTTATTTTAAATCCTTTATAGTTAATATAAATTATAAATATTTTTAACGCCTAAAGGAAATAGAAGTTATCTTTAAATAATATAATATAAACTTTAAAAAAGGTACGTTTTTATTTAATTTAAATTTAATAATTCTAATTATTTTAAATAGCAATCTTATTAGCCTATTGCTTTACTAATTCCGAATTAACGGAAATATACGCTTATATATATAAAGTTATATTCGGAATTTTAAAAGATAAATATTAAATTAAGGTAAAATGGCATTATATTTACGGTAAAGGATTATATAATATTATAATTAATTAAAATTTAAAAAACGTTAAAAATAGGCTTATATTCCTAATTTAATCGATTTAGTATCAATTTAAATTAATATATAATATATATAGGCTTAGGCTATTATTTATTATTATACGTAAATTTAAAATATCGTAATTAGATATGGCACGCGATGCGTTATATTCGCTTTTACTATATTTATTTTATTAGGGGTTTTAATAAATATTATAATAGCGATCGCCTATAACGACTACACTACGGGTTTCTAGGATAAACCTAAGGTATAAAAGGTGTTAGGGGTTTATACTAATAAGGAACGATAGCTTCGAAAAAAAAATATTAAGCAATAAATATCCGAAAATAAAAATAATTAAACTAATTCATAAATATAATCGTTAAAACGTATCGAATGCTTTACCTATAAATAAAATAAATACTTAAATTAATTACTAAGGTAATAATTATCTATATAGGAAATTTTTTTATAATATATATTTATTTATTCCTTTACTAATATTCCTAAATTACTATCGTAATAATAATGCTTACGTATAGCTTATTAATTTTTATTATAAATTTTACTCCTAAATTACTAATTTAATAATAAGCCTATTAATAGCTATTAATAGGTAGCAGGGGTATTAGGCTGGTTTTTGTCTGGAATATTTGCGGACTTCGGTTTTAAGCCCCGCATATTGTCTTTTAAGCGCTAATATCCTTTGTTTTGCCGTATGCAAGGGTGCATGTTCGTAACATCGCCGTCCTTATTTTCGATACTCCCGTATAAGCGAATTTTTAATTTGCGAAACCGAGGCTTAATACCTCGAGCTTTATAATTTAATCGAAATATATAAGCCCGAATTAGCACGATAGGCCCGTTATAAAGCTCGGCCAATTATATAAGCAGGATTTTATCGTAA